CTAACCCTAACCCTAACCCTAACCCTAACCCTAACCCTAACCCTAACCCTAACCCTAACCCTAACCCTAACCCTAACCCTAACCCTAACCCTAATAGATCTAAATTTAGTATCACTGAGATGAAGTCAATGTCTCGAATTGAACTTGACCAGGTGATGTTTGATACGTGCGAGGCCAAATCCTCTGATCGGAAAGTATGCGCAATGACTTGGATAGACGTGTGAAGTCTAATTCCACCTAAGTGTATCATCTCCACCATCCTTAGTATCTAACACCATCACCTTCTCTTTCACCTTCAAAACACCGACGTCAACTCCTTTTTGGTGGTGGTGTATCGGGCGGCGATTGGGGCAGCGGACGCGGTGGTCGTGGCTGTGGTTGTGGACGTAGAGAATGGGTTCGACAGTTTAAATCATCTTCCACCTCATCTTGACAGGTCTTTCGATTAGTCGTGCTATGTCAAACGCTGCTACTGTCGAAGCTACTCTTGCTACCGGTAACTATCATTGTCGGTGGATATTGGCCGTGTCACTAACAGTGCGTGGCATCAGTGGGATTGGTCGGTTGGGCTCAGACGCCAGGGTCGGTCTGCTGGGATCGGTAGGGCTGCTGGGATGGCACGGTTATTTGGTCAGATCGCTGGGACTGTTCGGTTAATTGTCTCGGGACAGCGGCTCGAAGTGCGGCGCAAGGTAAAGGTTACTCGGTAGCCTAATTATCAATCATATCCGTGTGGATGGGTTAGAATTCGTGTCTCGATCTAGAACCTCGATGTTGAGCATCATGAACAGCTACGGACACAACATGAAGGGGAATGACCTAGCTCTCAATACATCATGTAAAGCAGTGGGCATGACTGTCTATGCCGTTCCTTGATTACGTAGAGCAGGTGATAAGTTGACGGCGATAGTGGGCGGCTAGTGGTCTGGTGGCACATGTTGATGTAGTATTCCACTGAGTTGTGCAGATACGTCGAATAAGCAATGGTGGTGTGTGAAGGACAGGAAAACTATGACATGATGCGACCGGAGATCTACAGATAGATCGATCTCCCCTGATCGGTACCTACGGTACTAACCTAGGCATACTTCATAGGGCTGATAGTGCTTAATTACAGTGGGGTCAGTGCCTACCGGACTCCAGATCTACCTCAGACTACTACTTAACTTCAATTCATCTAAAGCGGAATGGAAAAGGAGTTTAGGAGTTTCGAGATGAAGATTCTTTCCTAAGCATAATGATGCTGGTAATCGCTTTGGCCCAGCCCGGCGACAGGATCTTCGACATTGTGGGAGTTGGTGCTAGACTCCATCAAGGTAAGATAAATCCAGATAGACGCCAATCCCCAGCGCACCGATCTCATACTCGCTCGAAGCACTATAGTCCGTAGAAACTTCAATGTGTTCGAATCCGCAAAGCGTACCTAGGTATCCGGCTTACCAGTGGTGTTACACCTCTCAGACAGGCGGACAATCATGTCTGACTCATTCAAGGTTTGTAGGTGAAGTGCCAGGAGAGAGTTAGGTAGAGCGCTTCGCTTAACAGTACATTTCACTACTGCACTACATATCATATTCTAGCCGTGGGCATTTCTACTCTACGCATGTGTGGCATATCTACGAATCTTGACTTTAATTACGTGAATTGAAGAGGGCCTTGCGTCTACAGGATAGGGACCAGGTACTTAAGTGCAGGTAATATCAATCAATTCAATTCTCATCTGCGTCGGAAAAGGGAAGTTCAAGTCAAGTGTCACAAGCACTTCATCCAAGTCCATCGAGGACTTCCTCCAATCTACCCTAGTCCTCCTTCTCCAAATCTAATGGCTCGTAGTTGTCCCCTTCACTGCTGGCCACTCCCTCCAGCAGAGTGCGCCCCGAGGCCATCGTCCTCTTCTTCTTTCACCTGAGGAGTAAGAGGTTCATTGGCACTCATGTTGCATTGTCTCGCATGGCATCAACCCCTTCGCGAATAGTAATGATCGTGTCCATAATAATGTCAAGCTTATTGCTGACCTGGTCGAGGAAGTTTTCGATGATCGTGATACGCTTCTTGATGGCGGCGAGGTCATCGAGCGTGTTGACAGCCGTGTTGGGTGTTACACGTGCAACCTCTGTGCTAGCTGAATATGCAGTTCGCCTTGCACTTCGGCCGTACGAAGGACCTTTGCAGGCTGTTCATGACCTTCCAAGACATGCAGGCAATATTGGGCAATATTGGAAAGTGAGGTTATACAGACTTCACTTCTTGAAACAGACCCCAGAGACCTAGGCGGTCTGGGCTGGCAAATCAATTGTATATAGAGTCAAGTCAAGCCACCAACAGCCGAGAAGGAGTTGATTGGTCAAGGACTTATGCAGTTGGGATGGGGTTATTTCCGGCACAAATACTTGTTGTCGTTGTGGGAGGAAAGGTCTGCTCGGGGCGTTGGAAGAAGATATCTTTGGTATGTGAGTCCACTTCAACATAACCTGAGGATACTGAGAGTTGGGCGATATGATATTTGGAACGTCTGCTGTTCATTAACGAAAATGTGCGAGGGATTGGTTACCATGTATGATACATACCCTGATGACGCATTGGTCACCGTGGTCCCGGGGTGTCACAGTACTGCCCGGCTATGGTTGCAGGTAACTGTTCTGTTATTATTGCACAAGGAGGTTCTAATTCCCGCCCCTTATTCCTCTTCTCAGTATTATATGCAGTGTTCCTTGGTCCGTGCTGTATATCGGAAAGTAGGCTTCGTTAGTTCCGTGACACGGGGAGTCCGGGGAATAGAAGAATGGAAATTAGACCGGTTTCCGTTGCGTTTATGATGTTTGTACATGCAGAGGAGGCGAGAAAAGGGGTCAGCAAGTAGAGGGATAGCGGGAAATGGAGCCGTGGTAGACTATAGAGCTTTATCGCATTCCGAATAACAGTGATCTTCAACAGCGTATTTAGACAGCTGTGTAGTCCACTGGTCAACCCAAGGGTAGAATATGGGTGCATCTAAACTGGAAAGCAATTTTCTAGATCGAAAAGTCGATCAAGCGTAGGACATTCAGGAACATGGTTGAATTCGTAGTGAATAATGTGAAAGAAGCCCAATGGCTTCTGGGTCGCCGTCAAGCCTTATTGCTTGGACTTGACCTCTTTTGAAATCTCCCTTGGCGCCATCTGCATATGTAATAATATCGTCATGATATAACATAGTACGCCAAACCACAGAGGCACAAGCAAGCGCAGACGCACAGGCCAAGTAGATGATGGGGTTAATGTCGATCGTCTTGACAATGACTTGCAAATCAGTGTCTCGATGGAATTTTGTCCCAGTGGCCTCCGCTTCATCTTCTGCTTCAGTGACCTCCCGGAGGCGAACCAAAGCCACCTTCAGGAGTGACCAGGTAACTGGGTTTCGAGCTGAACTACTCAAGGGAAGTGTAGGGATACTGCTGGAAGCAGTGGGTCGTTTCGAGTTCTGGCGCTTCAATACTCTGACAAGTGATGGTGGCCAAAGTGCAAGGCACTGTTTGGTCAGTGGGTAAGTCTCGGAAGTTGTGATAACGACTTGCAAATCGATATCTCGGCACAATCCAGTACCAGAAGCCTCAGCTTCCGAGATGGTGGTCAGAGTGCAAGGGATTGTTTGGTTAATGAAGGGCACCTTCATTGTCCAATGCCATCTGGCGGGTTTGAGAGACTCAAACTCCTGAAATTCCCTTTCCATTCTCCCCACGGCTTTCTTGAACCGTTCATGAAGCTTTCGCCACATCCCCCCTGCGCTTCCCCCGAGCTTTCGCCGCTCGAACTCCTCTTGGAGCTCCCTCGCCGTCCTTCTCTATCCCAAAGCTTCCTTAAGCCACGCATACTCTCTAGGTCTTTGGGCCGCTCGCCATCTTCACGTCATCCTATACACCCTCTTGGCTGTTCTCTATGAGAGTTCATGAGTAAGCTGCAGGACACGAATATCCTACAGACTATCACGAAGTCTCGAAAGCCAAGATTGCAGCCTTCATGCGACATATGTGGCACTCCTTGCCGACATATGGAATCGTCTTGATCTTTTCCTTCAATTGTGCAATACTGCCAGTGAATTTCTCAGACTCCGGAGTAGGAAAAAGTCCCGCTTGAGTCAGTGCTGGGATCGTTGAGCCTAGCATCATAACTTCACATCCTTGGCTATCATTCCCTACTTTGCAGTATACACTCTTCTGACTCTGTTCTCCATATGAGGCCATTAATAGGCTTCTTGATCGCGTCAAGTATCTCAGTGGAAGCACATGCGGTAACAGTGATATCTATCTCCCAGTTAGAGTCTTTGAACATCACCTGGGATAATTGGAGCCCTTACCGAGAAGATCGCAAGGTATCAGCATACCTTCTAGTGGCTTGCCCGAGATATTCACAATCTTGCCATCGGTGTTGATCTCGATGGCCGCGTCTCGGAACAGTTTGTCCAAGACAATCAAAAATTCCGTCGAACATGAATAGTTCCCTCGTTTGAGAACACGGAACAGTTTCTGGCGATCAGACGCTTTCGACATGAAATTCGTACAGTTCCAAATTGTATTGGTACGCTGGCAGAAGTCCATGCCTTGTGCAATGTATAGCACCCGGTGTAATAATTATAGGAAGAATTCCAAAATTGAGCTGAGTTGATGAAAATTCCGAATTCTGCTATCAACCGCCCGTGGGCTGTCAAAGCATATGCTTTGCGTTGTTTGCAGTTGGAATTTGATATGGCCAAGTTTACCAAGACTCTCGCTAGAGTGCTTGGGTCTACTGGACTGGTCTCGACCTGTCATGATGACAAGATGAAGAACTCCATGGTAAGTCATAACGTGATGCTGGGTAACGCCGGACTATGCAGTTTAAACCCCATCAGACCACCGGGCCCTTTTGTATGATGGCTAAAAGACGATTGGAACTTCTCTCGTTGTACTTCGTGGGGTTGCAAGGACTGCGTGCCAATGTAGTTAGTGGTTTGATTCCCACTGATCAGAATGGAGTGATAGTTTACCTGGCTACTGCTAACCGAGTCGGCCCTCTTTCGCCTTCTCCGTATAACAGGATGCGGGAGGCACAAAGGTCGATTGTGTTGTGTTGTGTTGTGTTGGGAAATATATGGAGAGGAGCTTCGTTTCTAGTATGACTCATCATAGTCAGTCCCGTGTCAGGATTCAGGAAAGATTGAGTGTACGGCCTAACAATGAAAACTTACTGAATGCCTCGAACTCTTGTTCATCAGCAGATCTCGGGTGCATACAATACCGAGTATCAAGCAGGTGAATGTCATTGGGAATGTTATGCTATGCCCGAAAGGACTCTGGTCGCAACTATAACGAGCAGCTGAGTGTGAAAGGATGGTAGGTGGCAGTTGTTTTGGGTCTCCGACGAAGATGCTGTCACAGTACAGTACTATATAGTGAGTGCAGAGACGTCAAGCCTTCGACTTGATAACTCGTCGTTACCTTTTGGTGGCGTAGTGGCATAGTACTGCACTCCTTATGTCATTCCGTGACAGATGCACTCTAAACATCCGTTCAACATCAGTACAACAGCCCGGGCTGATCAAGTGACCTCGGAGATTAGTTGTTATTGCTTGCTGGTCTCCATGGTGTACTTACAGTGTGGTTGACAACTCCTGCTGTCCTCCTCATAGGTAATACGGTATGCCAATGATCAGCCACTCCAGCCGGGGGCGTGTTGGGAGATCAGGAATAAAGTAATTGAATGTAAATAGCCAGAACGGGTCTGAATACTCTCATTTCTGACATTTTGGCCTACGGGAAACGATGAGAGTCTTTCTGTACATCTCGTAACTTGATGACAAGGTAGTGGAATATGATGGTGTTGAGGAGAAAAGCAGTGAGCTATGGGGTGCTGCTTTACCTAGGTAGGTACTTAGGTAGGTACCTACTTACTTGAGTACCCGCCCGCGCCATCCCTTGGGGTCGTAAACAGAAGCAAGGGCCTATAAGAATAGCGGGTTAGCCACGCTGGCCACTAACCTTACCACATCTCTCTTAATTTCTAGGTAGCTACCTTAGGTACCTACGATATAGGCACTCTGGCAAGCACGTAGGGAATAAACTTGAAGTATCCACGAAACGTCTCGTTAGGTAGGCACAGCGCTATCATATAACCAATTGAGAACCAAGGCATCGGGAGTCCTCCCGGCTAGGTACAGAGTATGTAGTGTACCGGTAGTCTATAATGAATAGTCGGGGCTCGGCACAAGACGTTCCCTACTTAGTCACTGAAGCGACACTACCTAGGTATGTAGCGGCATAAACATGAACGGCACTAGCCTCGGCAGCCAAACCACAGCATCAGTAGCAGTATCAAAAGTATCAGTATCAATAGCTTCGATTGCCAGCTCTTTGAAAGATCTCTCGATGGGTTGCTTGGAATTTAGGTTGGACCAGGTATGCGTAATTGTAGTGGAATCAGTACCTACTAAATGCACTAAGATACCTACCTATACTTATTCCGGGTGCCCTGAAGATCCTAGATCCCATTACCACATTGTCGGGTACAGAGGCGGCCACCACTAATTCCACCACTGCAACTGTCGCATCGTGGTAGCAGTGACAGGGTCGCCCATGCTGTCTAGTAACAGAAACACATTATGAGGTGCGGTACTTTTCGTTGAAACATCCAGTTGCATGTCACCTAGTAGTATAGCAATGTAAAGCTTTATTGTAGCGTCAGTGCCCGATATTCGCAACTTTCGTATGATTCAAAGGGAGATTAGATCTCCGTAATGCTGAAGCTAGCAACGGGATGAAGGCGTCTCCTCATCTTCTTCATCTTCGCCATCCTTACCATCCCGCTCCTCCACATTGTTGACGACCTCCTCCTCCTCTTGCTGCTGGGTAGGGCCAGCGGGACCCGACACAATACCGCCGACTTCGGGACCTCGGACGGTTTTCCTTGGTAGACCTCGACCTCGACGTGGAATGACGGACAGGGTACAGACAACCTTAAGGCTATTCTCCACCTACAGGGCGTCCAATGATGTCTTGGGGAATTTCCGAAAATGGCAAAAGATGTAAGCGGCTTAAAATTTTAGTTTCACTAGTACAAAGTCATTTTAACCTCAATTGATCTTCATGGGGAGTCCGTGAATTGTAGGAAAGTTACCTATGAGCACTGGAGTAAAATATAGATTGATGCACATAGAATTGAGTACCTAGGTATTTTGTAGAGAATAAAGTGGGACCGCCCCGCAAATGTCCAAAGGTCGAGGGTGCACAATCGCGTAAGTTGGTCATTTGAACTTCTCTTCTTCATCGTCGCCAACAGCAGCAACAGCAACAGCAGCAGCATCCCTTCTTTCTTCTTTTTCTTCTTCTTCTACTTCGACATCAAAGATGTCGACCCCTGCTCCTGGTGGTGGTGGTGGTCCTAGCGGTGGTCCTGGTGGCTCTGGTGATGGTGGTGGTGGGAAGCGCCCTCTTCCGCCCTCGCTCGACCGAGCTCTCGACGACATCGTCGGGAGTGTTGGCCGACCCCGTAATCGGGCCGGTCGCCGTCGTCGTCGCCGTCGCCATCGTCACGGTGGTCGTGGTGGTTTTGGTGGCTTCGGTGGTCGTGGTGGTCGTGGTGGTCGTGGTGGTCGTGGTGGTCGTGGAGGAGGACGTGGTAGCAACGCTGCCCCTGCTGCTCGTGGCGGTGGTGGTGGTCGTGATGCTCCCCCTGCTCCCCCTGCTAGTCCTGTTGGTCCCGCTGCTCTTGCTGGTGGTAGTAACCTTACTGCCTCAGCAAACAATTCTCTTGTTGTCCCTCCGGAGAACACCTACCTGCTCAATTATGGGCAGGCTGGTATTGACCTCACCCCAGAGGGAAACATTCGCGGCATGTTTGACCGCATCAACCCCGCTCATGATATGGCGGTTAAGCAGTCGGGCTATATGACCTTCTCTGGTGACGACGACATTGTCGACGTTATGACCAAGTACTTTCGGGAAGACCAGAAGATTGCTCCTGGCCAAAAAGTATTTTTGCGGTGGAACATATACCCCAAGAAGCGCCTGGCAACGCACGACCGCCGGGCCCAACAATATCTGGGGTTCAATAATGATGAGGTCACCTCTGAGTTGCCGGAACTCCCAGCTCCCAATGGCGATCCTCTGGATTTGTCAGCCTTTGCTCCTCGTGAGCCAGAGAGAAATGACCATTTCTCTCATACTCCCTTCGGTCATGGGTTCAAGCCCCATGGCTTTTCTCGACGTAAGAAGAAGGGCGCGCAAAGGCAGCTCGAGGAGGGCGAGGGTGAGGGTGAGGACGACGACGACGACGACGAGCCGATGGGAGCCCAAGATGGCCCGGCACCCGACGCAGGTGACGTGGTCATGGGCGCCGCCGCCGATGACGAAGCTCTCAATGCCCACTTCACAAGTGGCATTGTATTAGTGTTTCGAGTGAATACCTTACCATCTCAGTCCATTTCGACTGAAATTGGATGATAATATGATAGATAATAGATATGGTAATAGATATGACAGATAACAAGTACTTTGACATCTTAAGATGTTTTTGGGACTAACGTTGGTGGTTTTGTTTGTCCACCCTAGCTTAGGTACCTATCTCAACTCTCCAGTAAAGGTTAGTGCATCTCGGGTAGATCTACAGTACCAGGTATCCCGCTACTGGGGACTACAGTAGCTAGGCGAGTCCCTGTAGACCACTAAAGCAGTTGAAGGGTAAACAGAGGCGATGGTAGAAACGGAGGGTGTTTGAGGAAGAGGATTCGGTGAATAACATCACTCAAGCCCTCCTTGATCTTAGGGTCTAGGGAACGGTCGTTGAACAGCTTCGACATGATGCAGGACCCTAGAGAAGATGGGCAATTGATATGTTGCGAGGTCTAGCTGGGCATTTTCTTCTTCTTGAACTAGACCCCAATAGAACTAAAACCTTCAGACTAAATGTTCCTCATCCCTAATGTGACGTGACACTTGATTCACGTAATAGAGTTTAATTGAAATTGTCTCGGCACTCTACAGCATACAGCATATAGTTCTAATAAGGGTGTAATGGGATAATCGCGCTTTCAATAGATCTCTTGCATTGGGTCCATGCCCTACCATGCCGCATTCCTTAGGTTGCTAACGACATCATTATTTCGCGTTGGGTCGGTCGATTTCCTCGATCATCGAGGTTAACTTTGGTTGCGTCGGTAGGGTCGGTCCGCTGATATGGGGAGAATTGCTACGATGGCTTGATCGGATCGTTGGGATTGCTCGGTCTATAGTCATTGCATGAGCTAGGATTCGCGTTTCGATCTTGAACTTCAATATCGACTTCACATGAACGGAAATCTAGCTGAGCGAATGCTTGATTTTAGTTGGAATTCCGCTGAATTGAACATGTACGTCGAATGAGGCAATGAAGGTATGTGAGGGTCATAAGGAGCATAGAGGAAGATTGTGACATGATGCGACCGGGGATCTACAGCATAATCTACAGTGCATCTTAGGTAGATCGATCCCCCCGGGTCGGTACTATAGGGCTGATAGGGGCTGGATTCCAGTGGGGTTTAGTGCCCTACTGGGGGTCTAGATCTGCCTGCGGCCATCACTTGAAGTGGTAAGAATCGTAAGCAGATCTAAATTAGCGTAACTGGTGGAAAGCCTTCAATGCGAATCTTCGGCTAAGAACCAATGCTTTCATTAAAGATTACTATAAGGAGGACTATATGGACTCGGGACGACTCAGGAGCGTATGGAATCATCAAAAACCTGGCAATAAAGGCCTCCCATCACATGCTTAATCTAATTGTCCTTCTCGGCCAATATTCTCATCCCTCTAGCAGGTCGTCGCATTTCCGTCGCGATGGTTTGGCTCTGGCGGCGGTGGCGGGTCTGATGATCTACGCTGCGACGTGCCTGAAAACCTGTCTCCAAGCTAGCCTGGAATGAAGCCTGTACACACCGGAGTAACAGGTCGAGTGTCAGTTTGAGTACCAGCGTGAGTGACAGCGCTCGCTTTTGTCAAGGGATGCGACGGCGGGGGTCGACGTCCGTATTGTAGCCCGGGTTCCATAGGCGGTCACCTAAAGATCGACGTCCATCCGAGTTTGTCGCGCCTGGCTGTGATCTTCGTGTCGTTGGCGATGTCAGCATCGGTAACTAGAAAGGTGTTAACGGTCAAAGTAGGCATCTTGGTATTTATGTCGGTATCGGTCGGAGCAGCCGTCTTGGTGTTTCTTGTCGCTATCGGTCTTTTTGAAGTACTCCTGCAGATAGACACGGTTGTAAGTGGCGCTGAACTTCTTGAGACTTGGTCAATTGGAACCATCTTGTATTAAACATCATCTTCACTAAACAGATGTTGGGGTTAGACATTGGACGTTGGGATTTATCAAACTCACGTATTGCAATCCATGCATGATCCTCTAACCAATGCTAGTACTCAGCCGATAGAAGAGGGTACGTACCGTTATTCTTATGGTCGAGGGCCAAATTGACGCAATGGCTTGTATAGTGCCGTTATCAAATAGTTTAGTGAGTACCGCAGTCGCATTAAACTTACGTCTCTCGAGCTGCTAGAACATCATTGCGATGTCTTTGCTCATGCTCGAGCAAATAGCCTCAACAGAAGTCCTCCATCTTGTTCAGTTAGATGATGGCGGTAGTGGAATAACTGGACCTGAGAGGGACGCAAAGGTAGAGATGGTGGATTGCGTGTGTGTGTGTGTGTGTGTGTGGTGGTGGGAAGGTGCGGCAAGTTCCCTTAACAGATGCCACCAACTGGCTCAATCACAAGTACTTGAGTAGATTTCTTGTAAAAACATCAGATAGTCGTCTTCACTCTTCCATTTTGATCTATGTCGTCACATGCTGTCTCCATGTGTCTACTTCGCTACCTACATAGATATCTAGTCACTCGGGACGAAGATCAACACCATCCGTCAGGTTGAAGTCTTCCCAACACATCGTATCTGAATCTCCCACCACTCATCATGACTTCTTAAATCCCCCAGGGCCTCTATGCCAACCTTGGTGATTTACGACAGAAGTATGCGGACAGTGAAATGGCTCAAAACTTCGTGCTTCAGCATACATACCCGCGACATTCCGAAAAATGCAAAACAGGCTCCATCCTATGGACGCTTCGGCAAGGTCGATTCAATCAAAACTTCGACGCGGCAGTCGTTGTTCTTCGATACCTGTACAGCATGGTACACTCCGACTTTCGCAAGGGTGAGAAAATCGCCGAACAAGAACGAGCCCATCCACTATTCTGATTGATTTGGACAGACTTCGAAGACCCATCGACCACCGTAACACAGTCTATCCTCCGATACGAGATGTAGGTCAGAGATGATCCACATGGCAAGATTACCGTTCGTGAGCTATTCGAGAGACCCGACATGTGGGATTCATTCTGGGTCAGGAAACCCTTCTGACTATTCTACCTAACCGTCCTCGGACGACCCCGGGGAGGGACAGATTGGACAGTCATCAAGAACCAGGAGAACGTCGTGGAGGAAAGTCTGGTGGAATGGGACAGCACAGACCACCTGTATGCCTATATCAGCAGCATGTTCGAGTATAGCGTGGATTCAGAGACTGGGGACGAGTACACTGAGCTCTTCGACGATCCGGCCATCATCCGAGTCGAATACAAGCATACTACCGACTCCAAGCCTCCCGCAACGTACCGAGATCTCCGTGAGATTCAGGTGAGGCCGCGCAGAATGAAGGATGAGGTCAAGGATGGCTATGGCTGAATGATGAGGGTTGCGCCAGAGTTGGATGACGAAGGCATCCGCTATATGCTCGTTGCAGTCGTCCGCTGTGCATTATGCTCAGGCAAGCCTAAAGATGTCGATCGCATTCGACTCTACAGTGTGACAGGTCAACCACTTTCGCTTCCACAGGCTCTCAAGCACTACGTGGGCACACAATGGAATATCGGAGATGCGAATGACCCAGATCGAACCTATCTCCTATTCTATGCTAGGCAGGCCCAGATGCTATCACCGGCCACCATGGAGAGTAAGTTGCCCGCATAGACCCAATTGTCAATTCTTTTGTCGAAGATGTCGCCAATTCTGTTCTCGAGGATGTTGCGAAGCATCTCGGACAATTCAATCTTGCAGACGGTGAAAGTTCGACAACCTAGACTGAGCAAGTGATAACCTAGTCTCCTTCTTGATTCCCAGCAGCTATCCCGTCAGATGAAGAGCCTCTAGTGCTTTAGGAGGAAGAATAGGAGATGTAGGATAGAAAGGGGGCTTGGGTAAAGACCTCATGTTTCTTCTGATAACAATTGACCTAATTCGTTATTCGATATGTTCCAATGACTACCTACATTTGTGAATGTGTGACTAGAATTGAATCTGATTTGACTTTGATGAGCTATGGACCTTGTAGAGATTCTGCGCTTTGTACCTATCTACTAATTACCTACTGTACCCGTGCCCGCGGAATCGATTGAGGCAGTCCTTCCCAGTGTAGCACTCAAAGTACAATACCTATTTCATTATCAGACCTAGACACGATAAGCCGCGACGCCCGTTACACTCGTACTCCCGCTACATCCGTTACACTCTCTGCACCCGTTACACTCGCTACACACACTACATCCACTTCATCACGATGATGAGATCTTGACTCTATGAATCTTGATCTCAACAACAGCAAGTCAGAACACAAGCCTAAGATGCTTAATGACTCGCACTGGGAAAGGGAACACTTAATTCTTGTACACTCCACCTCCTACGAAAACCAATACTAGGTAAAGGCAACATCAAACGTGGAATACTGTCGACGCTGATGACATTCTCCGCATCTTGAGGAAGTCTTACACCTCGTTACGGTGGAGAAATTCATTCTTCACCTTTCATTTTTAATTACCCCTCGAAGCGCGGCCATGCAAAGAATGTAAATTAATGGTTACTATTCATACTCAAGTACCTACCCCAGCAATACCTACCTAGGTAGGTAGAAGCAATAGCAGCAATAGGGGCCGCTACAGATAGCTAAGCCCTACCTAGCTACACCTCCGAAACCCCCTGTTTTAACAACATGTCACTGTCTTCCACATCGTGACTAGAGTTATATCCCACATACGCAAGCCCTTCCCATACCACCCGTCAATACGCTCGCTCTTCTTCCAAGATCAGGAGTCCTAAATATCTGCCTGATCGAAATTCCGAATGAAATCGTAGTAAAACTTGGCCATATTCGACAGCTCACCTAGCTGAACACGCTCATTGATGGTATGGATATTGCCAAACGATGCAAGACTTCCGGGACTCCATCTGTAGATATGTTTTGATAGGTCTGCATCATTCTAAAGTCAGTCTACCCCTTCATACTTCATACCTGGTTATACAGGTAGTGTGTTCGTCAAGCACTTACTAAGGTAATGGCGAGAATCAGTATTGGCTGTCATGGCCCCTGGGGCCGCAATGACGCGTGAGGCTTCTTTAGCAAACGTATGACGCACTGTACCGGCGAATATATCCCATATCGGCCCGCTGGTAGGAGTCTGTGGTGTGACGTGGGATTTCTTTCCGGATCGTAAAGTGAGTGTGCCATTGTAGGTTGGTTTCCATTGATGATGTGCCTTGTCATCCTCGGATGAGATCCCTTCAGCAGCAAGATACCTCCTATAGTCGTCATCATCCTCAAAAGCTCGTAACTGAAGTGAATATTTTCTTGCAACACGCTCAGCCAACTTTGCCACACGATATTGAACACTGCCGATGGTGTCCTGTGGTGCAATTCGATGATTGACTCCCAAGGTCACAAATTCGGGTAGAGAGTTAATCTTTTCTCCCCCAGCAATCCAGTCAACCGCCTGGGATGTTTGGATGAAGTACTGTGTGTTAGACGATGCATATGCCAAGTAATGAGCGGCTGCGTCAAGATCGCCATGGTAGATGATGTTGGTAAGGTCGGGAAGGGCGTAAGGCGAATAGCGCGCCAAGCAGATCAGAGCTTGATGTACAGGACTCTCCCACATGATTTTGGGCTCAAACGGACTGGATTCCAGACCAGTGACGATCTCCGATATCATTCCGATGGCGGTATGCGGGGGAGGCACGGAACTATGCCCCCCGATCACATCTAGATCAAACCAAACATCCAGATAACCCTTCTCATACACGCCGGGAAGGGCATATAGGGTATCGTCCAAGTTCTGCAAGCCCGCGCCGCCCTCGTCGAGAATTACGGCGAAACCACCTTCACCGTGCTGCTCCTCCAAATACTTCGCAATCTCACCGGCTCCACGATAGCCAGAGCATTCCTCATCGAAACCGAAAGCGAAGATGACAGAGCGGCGAGGTTCATAGTCTTTCTGGGAAAGAAGTGCTTCCATGGCAGACATTAAAGCTGTAATTCTGGATTTGTCGTCAGATGCGCCACGACCCCAGAGAAATCCATCCGTCTCGTTGTAGAATGCGTCAAACGGTGGATATCCCCACCGATCTATAGTCGCTTCTTCAACAGGTACGACATCTTGATGTGCAGTCAGAAGTATTGGAGCTAGTCCTTCATCGGAGCCGAAGATTTGGTAGACGAGTCCGAATTTGTTCACTATCTCAATCGTGGCGATCTCATGTCTATGACCCGGATTCGTTAGCTTTCATCTTTCGGCTACGGTTACGATGCGTGCTTACATGTTCGGGTATGATTCTTTCAAGACATTGGGAATCTTATTGAAGGGTTCCCATCTTTTATCGTCATCAACGTCCCCAAGATCATCATAGCAAATTGAGGGGATCTGGACAAGTGGTCGGTGGCGTTTGACAAGAGTATCAATTGCATCTAAACCGGAGAACACATCTTGTGAGCTTAGTAACCCGTCGTCGGAAGGGTCTAGTGCATGAGATTGATCGCAACGATATCTATGACTGCCGAAGCTAGGGATCTCATGGACGGGGATCTTTTCTGGCCCGAGACGATGCTGATTTGTCTGACCATGTTCGAGAGCAAAAGCTATGCTCAGAACTGCTAAGCTGAGAATGATATTCAACTTGAAGACTGCCATCATGAGTATTGGATGGTGGAATACTCTGGTCCATGTTCGTGCAGAAAACGGTGAGTACGCTAGGAATTATATTGATTTCAAACGCCAAGATGACACCACCCTCCTACAGTATCTCAGCCATCATATATAGGCTGTGGCAAGATGCTGCAGACGAGATATCATCTCGGGCATAACATCGGTTCATGAACCAACTCTATTCTACACCATTGCAGCATGTGAGTTGATCAGCTTGGATGATTGATAGGTCGAGTAGGTCTCTCGGAATGCGTCCAGATCGAAGTGGCGTATGTTGCAACTCCCAATATATGTATTATCGTGATATCATATGCATTTCCCATACATACCCCGCACTAGAATCATGACCGAAACGCCACAAAGTTCAATGTGCAGATGCACGACGTGTTGAAACTTGAATCGCCGACTCTATAGACTGGAGACCTGCGCCATGGAATCGGCGTTCTCTGGCGTCTGTCTTGATGCACAAGTGTTTCGAGGCATGGTGATCAGAGCGGTTCTCGACCTTATGATGGTGTAGCTAGACAAGTCACACGCCGCAGAGCCTCTGATACATGTCCCTAGACGCCTAGACTGAAGAGTAGCCGCAATTTACCCTATTGGAGATGTATGCGACGAAACATTTACCATTATCTGTAGCCGTATGGCGCTAGAATCCTAGCAGAATTGCATATATAGAGAAAGATTCCGAGTGGCTCGTCGGACACGAGGCGGAATTGTCCCTACACAGACCGGGTAGATCGGAAAGACATAAACGCCTCATTTTAGACAGAATTGATTGAACAGTAATTGCTATTAAAACAAGGGAAGCTGAATCATATCCAATCCTACAGCAGCGTGTGCCATACAAGGATAATAGCCCCGAGATGGCGACATCGACCTGTAGTGACATCGGCCTATAGCGGCAGCATCGGAAACGACAGCGTCAACGTGCAGCTTGGCATGATACCCCCACTTCCAGACATAAGCGGCTGGCTTGATGGGTGAGTCTACATGCCTTCTTATCCGAGTCTTTGCAACTAGGACTCAGAAGAACAAACATCAGTGTCATGTAGACCGGTATTGGCTGAGCTTCGCGAACATTAGTCAAAAAACCATAGTCCATTAGACTCACGAAATCGGGTATCAATTAGCGAATGAATTAGCCCCATATGTATTACGGCGGATCTAGAATCGCGGCACAAACATTCCACATGAACTGGATGGGCTATGTGGGTTCAACAAACACCTCTGACAAGCTTGTTTTCGCAGGATCGGGACCCTGTACATGTCAAGCTAACGGTGAACATGTTCTTACTATGTAAGGCACGTTTATACCAAGCTTGCACTTGGAGCGTAGTGGAGATGAGCGTTTTCGCCACGTTATTAAGTACCTACCTCGACTACTTACTGTACTACGTAGGGACCTGAGCAGACCAGAGAAACTGGGGAGGCCGATCTGCATCCGACAGGCCAATATTTGCCGGTAAATTGTGTAGCAAACGGCAGGAAGTGGGCTGACATACTATACCTAAGTAGGTATTGGTCGAGGGAATGAAAAAGGCCGAGGAGCGAGAGCGGCTTTAGGTGATTTCAACAAGCTAAGACCACGTCCGTCTTGATTTAATGTCAACTTCCAACGTAGGACATCGAGTTGGACGTTCGCAGAGCTTAAATTCAACATTATGAGCGTCAGCGTTGTCCCAACATGGTCCTGAGGTAAATTCGATTGTACCATAACATATACATAGTCAGCGAAGAATGTAAAGTAAAAAGAATGAACTATCGCTGTCTAGATCCTGGACGTTTTCACTTGACCTGTGTGAGTGGGGGATTCAACTTTTCGGCCATGAGAGACGAGGACTAAAAAGGGATAAGCGCCAAGGTACTTTATCAGATGCCAAGAACAATTATCTGATGATTTGTTGATCTAATGATCTGATAAACCTGGCGTGGTGGAGCCTTAGTGGCCACAGGGGTGCTAGAACCGGTTCCAGTACTTGCATGTACAGAGAGTCTGGGAGAGGCATGGAGAAATTGCACGAAGGCGGTTCCGACACGAGGGGTTCAAGTAATAACTTCCTAGATCTAGTCCAGGCTTAGCAAGTCAAAAAAACTTGCAGCAAGGTATCCTTGCTCTCTATAACAGGCGATACTAGGTCTATCTAAGCTGTAGACGAACTCTAGACTTTATGTTAAAAGGCTGGCCTATAGAAACAGACGGTCGGGAATAGTACACCTCTAGGTTCAAACGAGTCACTGGGTAGCGTTGCCAACTTTTAACATCGTAGATTTCTCGCTATGCGGAACATGCCCGCCGTTGGAGGCCTGTGAAGACTCAAAAAGTATTTAAAGTCTGCCATTTGACGCTTTGAGTGTCCTACAACGCAGAAGTGCAAGCTCACCCTTCCAACGCAGTTCATTACTTCAAAATCGTCACCATGGTTTTAATCGTTCTTCCAGCACTGATCCCAGACATACGGCGCATATACGAGACGTATTTCTCAGCATTCGAAAATGATGAGATGGGAAGCATTATTCTCAAGATCCTCTTCCCTCAGACCATCGATGAACAATTCAAAGAAGCACACGCAGCAGGCACATTACAATGGTGGCATGGTTGCGATTACCAGTATACCATGAAGGTCGTCGACACCGATACGGCCGAGATCGTCGGTATGGGTCTGGGGGATATTCTGGTGAAGCCGAGAACCCCAGAAGAGCGGGAGAATCATGGTGCCCCCTGGCTCGAGGGCGAACAGCGAGAGCGAGCTGAAAAGATCCTGAACCCACTCTGGGCAATGCGAGAGAAGCTTTTTGGCGCCCAACCCCACATATGTCAGTTCCACAACCATCGCTCGGTTCCCAGAGAGCTGGACATACTAACAACGCGAGGGATTTAGACTGCCACGTGATGGCTGTCGACCCCAAGCATCAGGGCCGTAAAGCCGCGGCAGCTCTTTGTGAGTGGGTTTTGGAACTTGGCGAGAAGATCAACCTCCCGGTATATTTCGAGTCTTCGCCTTCGGTAGTCAACCTGTATAAGAAGGTGGGCTTTGAACTATTGTCGGAAACCGTAGTGCACAAAGCCGAGGTACTGGGCACCGAGAAGGACATCCAAGTGCCATTGATGGTCAGGATGCCGTCCAAAGCGGGCATATCATTCGAAGAGTGGAGAAGCACAGGATATCCGAAGTTCGGCACACGGGAAGTGTCCTATGTTGGAGGACAGGCCGAGAAAGCTAAGCAGCAAATCGTGACCAAAGTGGTGGAATTAAGCGAGACTCGATCGGCCGAGATTAGTCCCTAAGTGTACATACATGTACAGTAGAGCTAATGCGCTGATAATAAGACCCGAGAACAGTATTGCAGGACGAGTCGGGTGGGGTTTGCGTTATAATACAATCTCCTAGTAGATCTAATCAATCAGATAAGATTTTTTTTTTTTTTGCACATGTATCTCTGCATAAGGCTACTTTAGTGTGAGGTGGATAGCGCCGCGATGGATTCAGCGCTTAAGGATACGTGACATGCTTATGAACATGGGTAGTTTACCCTGCCAAGAATTTGGTAGTCTAGAACGAGCGCTGAGCTGACGATGGTACCTGAAGACTCTGACCTTTATTTTATTCGAGTAGGCGGCATTTCCGCCCGAAATTGTTCTCTTTGCCTTCCATTGTAGAGCGAACTTTCGGATTGACGTCCTGTGAACACAATGTTGGAAAAAACGGCATTGTACTTGAAGCTCGCCGCTTATGTGCTAAACATTATCTACGAAGAGCTCGGACGTGCAGCTAGGACGGCCTGGGTTCGTCGTCGAGTACGTTGGTTCGGTCCACCTGCGCCCTTGTCCCGGGATCGCAACATCGTCATTGTCGGGGCTTCATTCGCAGGGAATCGTGTCGCTCAACTATTGACGTCCTGCCTACCTCCCAATAGCCCATACAAGGTTATTGTCATTGAGCCCAACACACATTTCCAGTTTTCATGGGTTCTTCCACGCTTATGTGTGGTTGAAGGACATGAACACAAAGCATTCATCCCTTACGGCGGTAATGTTCACGATCAGCCAGCTGGCGTCTTGCGATGGGCGAGGGATCGAGTGATTGGGGTCACGGAGAGCAGCGTGCAATTGAAAGAGAGTGGCGAGATCATCCCCTACGACATGTTGGTTATCGCGACAGGCTCTGGGGTTGAGACAGGTCTACCATCCAGAGTGAATGCTACCGACAAGAGACAAGGCATGGAGCTTATGCGCAACATGCAGCAGAAAATCAAGGCTGCCAACACTGTCGTGGTAGTGGGAGGTGGCGCTGCTGGTGTTGAAATTGCTACGGATGCCCAGAATCTTTATCCTAACAAGAAGATTATTCTTGTCCATTCTCGAGCAGCGGTTATGAACCGATTTGGCCAGGGACTGCAAAAGACGGCGCTAGAAGGTCTCCAATCTCTAGGTGTGGAAGTTATCTTGCAAGATAGACTTGTACAGACCGTACCCGGGTCAGGCACGATTCTTCTCAAGTCAGGTCGTGAGATTCAATGCGATCTTGTTGTAAGTACTCTTCAATCCCGCCTTTTCCCATGATATGCTGAGTTGTAATAGCTAGATTGCACAGGTCAAAAGCCTTCATCAGGAATCGTCTCTCAATTGTCGCCTACTTCCATCTCACCTTCTGGTCACCTCAGAGTGAAACCTACCTTGCAACTCGCCGATGACAAATTGCCCAATGTCTATGCTTGCGGAGATGTTGCCGACACTAAAACACCAAACCCGAATGCCCGCTCGGCAATGCGACAGGCGTCTATTGTGGCGGAAAACATATTGTCGGTCGCAACAGGCGGTAAACCACGACACAAGTACGAGAATAACTGGTCTGATGGGGTGATTAAATTGACGCTAGGTCTGGTACGTGTCTATACTCGCCTTGGTCTCTCGGGACAGTGAAGCTAACAGGGCTAGTAGACTCGGTCGGTAACACACTATGGCGATGGAAAATCAGAGCTCTTGTTTCCTGGGACAGAAACAGACGAGGCGTTGATGTCGGCAATGTGTTGGTCAAGGATGGGACAGAAGCCGTTTGAAGATCCGTACATGGACGCGGTCGCGGATAGTTCTACGATTAAAGAGAGTGTATAGAAAAGACGCTGTACAGGCGAGCCTATTCTTACACCTCATATCATCGTGAACGATATGAAACGAATGGCCGATGCTGTACAGTATGATTCAATTATAAGATATAGATAGTAGTACATTAACATCCAAATACCCTAAACGCCGTTCCCATGCTTATTAGAATCTATCCGCCTCTATATTCATGAAATGAAGTTTCTGTATCATCATCCACGTGACTGTGGTTATGATATCTGATGCAAAGTGTGTCGACGGTTTCATGCAGGAATCTTGGCATATCCCCCCGAATAGCCAAATTGTGAGGCCATAAGACCCCTAGCCTATCTATAGATAATTTTTAGAATCACGAAATACCCTATAGCACAAGAGATTCCTAGGATGGTGATGTAGAGTGAACTAGTCTCTGAAGCAACGGCCATTGCAGGGACATTGTCGTTACCGTTATTCGTTTCAATGGGTTGATTGATCACGACTTCTGTCGGATAATTATATCCACTTTTCAGATCTAACAGATGTGGGAGACATGGTAGGCATCTGATTAGGTGTTGTGGGCTTCGTATACTGGACTGTAGGTGTTGGGAGGTCTGCTATCTTGTTTCCTACCCCAGACGCAGGGTCACTTGGCTGTATAGCGTTCACTGGTGGTATCTGAATGTCCGGTAATCCAACGTCGTCAATGGGTGCTGATTGATCGAAAGGTCCTGGAATCATGTTCCCCACGTCTTCAGAGAGTTGCAAAGGCTCTGTATGTAGTAAATCGGTTGGCTCGGGTACCCAACCATTCGCGTATTCAACCGGAACATCATTTGATCTTCCTAGAAACTTCCCATTGACATCGTACGCCGCAGCACGAACCGTTATGGCATGGAAGTCAGTCACAAACACCGTCTCGAATCCGGTTCTATTGGTCTGGCCGATAAACTTGTCTCCAGAGAATAATTTTATATTATGCTCCGTAGCACCGTTCCACGAAACATAGATGGCCGTCATACTATTTGCACCTATACCATAACCGATGGCCTTGATGTCAGGGGGTTGCTTCGGCGTACCTACCCAGTTCGTGGACTTGTAGACTCGATAAGTGGCAAGTCGGGTCTCATTCAAGAACCGGGCTTCCATCAGAACTTTGTCATCGTCGGTATGCTCCGAGAGATAACCAGCATCTGTCCATGTCATCAATACATTGTTGTTGGGTAGACGCATAGATCCACGCCTATCAGCAAGCCGTCTATCAGGTCGTTTGTACTGTTTGAGAATTCGAGCTCGCTGTGGCTGTCCTTTAGGACGAAGTAGTTCAACAGCCAATCCGCGACTGTGTTTATGGGTAGGCTTCTGGAAGTCTTTGTCTTGTTCATCAGACGCATTGTCTAAGAAACTGATGACGTCGCGCTCCCGACTGTGAGTGATGTAGCGAGCACGGTGCTGGCGTGAGAAGTGTAGTTCGTCTTCCATAATGTAGTCGCTATGCTTGCCACCTAGTCTCCAAAGCACCCTTCCGTCATCTCCAGCAATAAGCATGATGGCGTCTAGATGACGAAATGAGACCAGGTAGTTCCATCGCTGTTCTGATCTATAGAGTCGATGTGCCATGGATCCCAGGGACGGCCTTGGGTAAAGTTGGGGAAAGGCACTCGTTCTTTAGGACCCTCGGGTCAGATGAAGTAGGCAGGAGCCATCTTGCTTTCTGCCAAGCTTGCATGATATTCTGCATGCCATTCAAATTTGATATTGCCACTCGTCATGTTGTATGCTCTGAAACCATTAGACTCGATCCAAACCAAGTCTTCATTGAGACCAAGTGAGTGTCCTGACCACTGTCGAGGTTTCCGCGTCGTCAATAACGTCGTGTTGCTGCTTGCAATATAGCGGAACTCGTGAAGATTGACGTGTGAGTTTTCCTTGTCGATGAAAAAGTTGTGAACCATGTCATAATTCTGATCGATATATCTTTATCTTTGGTCACCATTCATGACGCGTGCATCGGAGTCACATCCGAATTACCGAAGTAAGGATCACTAGACGTGGGGAGTGCTGAAATATTGCGATAGTGCCAAAGTGGCATTAGCGTTGACTTTTGCATTTCATCAGGGAGTTAGTTGTAAATTGCAACTTTTGTTTCGCCTCTTGCGACATTCGTTCCGCAACTTGAATCAGTCCCACATCCCTACCCCGGGTCTAGACCGTCTCACTTTAACTCCATCTACTTAGTCTACTCAATAGATCATTACCGGCTTTCGTTCTTAATTAGCATTATTGAGCGCCAATTACCACAGCTGGATTTTAAGAGATCGTGTATGTTGTGACCTAGCTGAGGAATCGCAAATGGTGCAACACGGGGATCTTGTCGTCGTCCTTGAACTCCGTTAAACTCTCTGTCAAACCTGCCGCTCAACACTTCACATCACCCTAAACTTACAGCACAGTCCTGTCGACGCAGTGATATAATTTCCCCGCTTTTGAAGCTCAACGCTGATATCATTAACGACACGATTGAAATGATATCCATTGAGCTCATCTTCCAGGTTTCCTGCAGAGTCCCTAGTCCCAAATCTTCAGTCCAGTTATTAATCCATTACCGATGCCATGATATCAAACCTCGGTAGTCAACCCCCATATCCAAAGCAGTATAGAACCCATATACCGCAACAGAGTGAAGCTAGGAGCAAGAAGTGTCAACCTCGTCCCTAGAGTCCAGGTCAATATGCGAATAGTAGGATTTCTCAATGTTTACTTACAAGAGCTAGGTTAGACCGCATTCGTTAAGTCCTCGCCATATGGTATTGGAGTGATATTGTAACTCCACCCCTCCATAAGTACATCGCCACCAGCGTTGAGTAGGGTTGCCCTGAACCTATACGTCTTATACGCTGTTAGGCCCTCGAGCCACGCTCTATTCCGCACCATCTCGTGGTTTCTATTATTGACAGGCTGGAATTTATAGCGCTCATTTCTATTTGCCGGTTGTGCCGTTCCGTCGGGACGAATCTCGAATATCTCGATCGTCACTTTGTGACCTTCATTCCAAGTCGTTATGTTGTCGCTAGTTAACTTAACTTCGACGGAAAACACGGAATGGATGTAGCATCGTGTTTCTGGTGTTACAACGTCAATAGGCATTGCAAAAGGCTATTTTGCTTTGAGATGGGTTCTTGGATGCAGTGATGTTCTCTTGCTTGGGCGATTGATGTAGTTCGCAGCGACGTGCGTCGTCTTTTTATATACATCGTGGCAACACCATGATTTTCGCATTCCTCTCGTGTTTGTCGATATATTGACGGCAGCCTGCTTCCAAGGTTGGACAGCATACCATTCCATTTCTCGATATCGCGTAAAGGAAGGTTTGTCTCGCTGCGTGGTCTTCATGGACAGGGACTGGTAATCTGATGATGCTCGTGTTATAGCAAACAGAACGGATTGAGAATAGTTTTGAGCTCTCCCTAGGAATGGTTGAAGTGCAATTCCAAGCATCCGAGGTTGCTTCAAGCAAACAATATCAAGGGAGAATCAAATAGCTGAGAGATACATACGTGGTTGTGACACGGACTTTCCGGGGCTTAGATAGCTTGAAGACGATCATGACTGGGGTTCAGAGTTCTATTTACCGGCGTAATGTTCCAGTCTCTCCCTCGGTCTCACGTAAACGTTCAGATTTGTGTTCGGTTGCTGTGAAATCAGCTGCGGAATGGGCTGCCTCTGCAGGCCATGAAGACCTTATCCACGCGCCGTGGCTCAATTGAACGCCCGAAGCCTCGTGGTATACGGTGATCTTACCCCAGCTGAGATAATTCTTGGATGGAAGACGATATGCTCTCTCATCACTGACCGGGATCAGCCAATATTGTCCTTTATTGAGCTGTTGAGCGTTAGAATTGGCAATCAGTTTGTGCCTGGAACCCATCCTAGTTCTGAGTCTAACTATGTATCTCAGGGCTGATACAAAGTGTTGGGTAAAAGCTGGTAACACAGATATCGGTCTTATACTCAGACTCATTTATATCAAGCACAATTCATTGTTTAGCTGCTGAATTCTGTTTGTTCCCGTTGGCCTTGAATCATGGATGTCTATTAGGGATACCTTTTCTGATGAACGTTCGTAGAGTGGACGCAGCGGCTTGTTAGGTTCTGACTTTCAGCAATATCCAGTCCAGCCTGGTCAGCCTGATTTGTTTCTTTTGGAGTTGGCAGCCATCTTGATCTGTGACCAGAACTGAGTCAAGTGCCATCCGTGCGGCGTACATGGTCGGGTCATTGACTGGGGCTAGCATTAGCGTTGCCATTCTTGAGGAAATGGAGGCTACCATGAAGGGAAATGACGGTTTGTATGATCGTATAGGGTTGTCAGACATCATCGAATTCGATGACTATTAGTTTCGGCCTTGTTTCCTGCGATACTCAATAGTAGAGCGTAGAATACATCTGATTCTGACACCGTCATCGTTATGAGAATCATTTGGATCGATAGGTGGGATACGTCGGGCTGCTCCTCAACTTCGCCGGGCTCATTTCAATCGTTACCCCCATCCGAATCATGCTCGTTTGTGGGCAGAGGGTTTATTGCGCCCACGCGCAGACTGCGGCCATCTTTGGCAGCGGTGGTTTTAGGTTTTGGGGGACCCGGTTTCTTGCGACGTGCGACAACAGCGGTCTTCGTTTTCGGAGGCATGATTGTGGCGAAAATGGTGTGAGACGAATATGAAGAAAGTATGAGTGAAGGCGGCCAGTGATGCGACGCGAGTACCAAATGGTGATTTTGCGCCCCTGGTCCTCAACACACTTGCGATTTTCTGGTTAGGGGTTACCGCCCTCATCTGTCGGTGCTGTATCAGCGTGCTCTGTGCCGACGGGCGATATGGAACATGTATAGTAATCTTTCGAGTATCATCTCGCAACGTAGAGACATACCTAGGAAGAGCAATGCGGTAGACTGATCTGAGGTCTGTTCTGTCTGCCTAGCCTAAGTATCATTTTGACGAGATTCTTGACTAGCAAGCCTATGACGCTTATGGTCTTCTTGTAGTTGCGTACGTCGACACGGCGACATCGTGACAACACCTAGATCCAAATCCCAGAACTAGATATAATGTATATCGGCGATTTTGGTCTTGACCGCCTGTTTCCGTTCTTTTCGTTTGTGGGTTACCACCCTTAGAGTCATTGCCACCCTCGGGGCCATGACCATCATCGTCTTGATGGCATGGCTCAACCACACCAGAACCGCCTTCGCCATGGGAATCGTCAGAATCGTGATCGGAATCGTCGACAGGATCAGGCAAATTGCCCTCGACCGGCTGATCGTCATCACGCTCGTTGTCCGTATCCGAATCGGACTCAATTACGGCTCAGATGTTTTCTTGGAGTCGCGCATATTATGAGGGGTTTTGGATGCTGGCTTGAACTGAGGCTGATTGACACCCTTTCCTTTGCCCTGGGGTGCATCATGGGCTGGTTTCTTCCCCTTGCTAGCTGGGGCAGTATCTTTCCTATTCTTTCTGGGTGCCATGTTGAAAATGGTGGTGAGAATGAGGTGAAAAGAGGCTGACAATTGGTTAGGTTACATTCTCGCGAGCCTCTCTGCAGTACCAGGCGGAAGACCACTAGGTCCAAGCAGTGCCGTGAAGTCACTTCGGCTGTTCTCGAGGGTGCCTGCTGACCAATATATTAACCCTCAGTGTCGCTTTGGGGCTTGGACACACAAAAAGATCACCCCAACAGCTCAGTGAGCCGAGTAATTTTGAACGGCACAGTCGGAGGGGTTTACTTATCAGGAATGAAGATGTAATGCCTGGTAATGAAGGGACCTACCCAGTCGCTTATGGGTTGGATAGATGCTGAATGTGTCACGGAACAGAATAGGAGCGTATTGCTAAACTGCTACGCGGTCCATGCAAAAGTTAGAAACGACGTTATCAGGTCGAGTCCCTGCACGCCTACACTCACTATATGGCACTGTGACAGGTTGGGGGGGACTTGGACACGCGAAGGTCTACTTGAGAGTATTGCTTTCAATCTAGGCGGGGTGATTAGCTGTTCATTCAAACCCACAGACCATTGCGCCCTTGATTTGCGAAGAAGAATATCGAGGTACAACTAACGCAGCCAAGAGGGCAATGTAGCTGGCGCAGCTATACAGTGAATCAGCAATAATACGTATGCGAAACCAGTATGAAACTACTTACAAGCTCACAAGTCTTGTGAGACATATCGTCTTGCGATAACTGGCAGGTGAGAGTGTCCGGTCGTTGTTTGTGGCTCGATTGAATAGCCAACACAAGCGAGGACGACGGTCTTATCGCTTGCGCAACAGCGACTCGTCATCGGAGGGTTCGTCAAGTCTGAGCGTTAATCGATCAGGCTTTCGTCCGGATGAGTTTAAATTTCGACGAGGTCTTAGGACATCTTGCTGGGCTTGTGGAGTGATTTGAAGTCAGCACAAGAGGCGAAGCCAGTACGAACTGACAATCCAGTTCAAATATGTTCTGCGCGCCCGGTACGAGGTCGACAAATCAGCGAAGGCGATGTGGTTAGCGGCCTAGTCCCCAGACTGTCGATTCTTTATACGGTTTGAGTCCGAGGACGTTGATCGGGAATTGACCAGGGATCTTCGCCCTCACATGGCTGCAGACACACTGCTCGCCGTTATCCTCGTTGTCAGATAGGGTGACGGTGGTTGTGGTGTTGTTGCGAGTGGGAAGCAGCACGGAACGTAGGCAGAAGAGGCTTAGATTGTTGACAGCAGGGAACGGATGCCCTTATGATAACAGAGCTGTGTTCCATCAGCCATTAGCGATGGTTTTGCATGAATATGACGTACCTGACATCTTGATAAGCCTTAAGGGTTTAGGCAGTCCAGTTGCATAGTCAAGGTCATCCACTGAGGGCAGTAAGGGTTCGGAATAACTGATTGAAATCATTGCCCATAGTTCAACTTGATGATTCAACTCTAAATTGATGGATTGGTCTTAGTGGTGCTTCAAGCGGTCCTGAACAACGACAGCACAGTAAAGGACTACAACGTAGGCCGTATCCTAGAAGTGCGTACCCACGGTATCATACCATCTTCGGAAGTTTTCGATTTCGACTAATTGGACTTGGAAGCCATGGCGCTGTGAATCGGGAAGACTTTCGACAGCATCTGACAGATGGGGTATGTCGGATAACGTTTCCCAGATAACGTACCCAGTGAACTTTACATCTACTTCTCAGGTCGAGGGCATGGCGTTAAGGGACAGAGATCAATCTAATGCCCCGGATTGCAGAGGGCGACCAAGGGTTTGTCCCAACGCCCTTTTGGTCTTGGGTTCAAAGTGTGTACTCACAGGCAAGCGGTGATGGCTGTGTCTTCATCTCAAGGTATCATTATGTCTTCTTCGCGCGGTTCATCAATTTCGCAACAATGCCGACAGCTTGAGTAATGGTCGCAGTCGGTGGCATGTCGTCTCATGTCCTGTGCCATTGATTGCTGACGTGTAGATCCCGCAATGAGCGTACTGGGATTCGCGTTGAGCCTGTCAGGAACTACACTGACAACGTAAATAGCCACTCCTAGTTTGTCTGACTTGTCATAGCACGAGCAGTGAGTCATGATGGGAATCGTACTTGTCGTACTAAAGTTGAAGGATTGAATGTTAAGTTGTGGGAGGGGAGCGGGAGCATGATGCACTACCAAGGATAGGCACCCTGTTACAGTGGAATTAGTGGTTGTCGAACACCTGGATCTACCCGAGACATACGCTAACCTCTAAACTGATCCCCTGTAACTACCCTAACCCATAACTACGACAACTGTTGGTCGCATCATTGGTCGCATAGCTGACCATACCTAGGTATTCACCTTCATCAATCGCCAAATCACTACGGTGTAAGACACGTGCTTCGACGAAATGAGGTTCCGAAGAGTGAGAGGCAATGTGGTTCAGGCCGGCGATGGCAATGACGACGGATCAGTGACACAGACGAGCGGCGTCGCTACTATCCTTCGTCGAGTACTTGAGGAGAATCCTCCCGACGCTGCCGACGCTGACAAACGTAATCTACCATTCCAGCCTCGCTCATACCGCGACTTCATGCTTTTCGAACGTCACTACTATGGCGCCGCAGTGGGCATGACAAGCCTCTACTCTCCGCTGGCGAATAAACTAGGCAACCTGTTTTCTACGATCACCGGAGCTGATTTCCCCTTCTTCAAGCCTCATGCTCTCTGGTATAAGCAGCCTATCTTCTATCAATCCAATCACTTGGCATTTTATTCAGACGGCGCTTCCATCACATACCCAAGCTACTGTGAATACCTAGATGTTGAACTGGAGCTTGGAATCCTTCTTGGCAAACCCCTCTACAACGCGTCGCCTAAAGAGGCAACATCTGCCATTGCCGGCTTCTGCGTTTTCAATGATTTCTCTGTCCGGAACGTACAAATGGCAGAGATGTCGAGGTATGAGAACATGTGATGATCCGCCTGATGTGACACTAACCTCTAGGGCGGCGTCGCCTTTTACAGCGGGTTCGGTCCACAACACAGCAAGGCATTCGCCAACAGTATCTCGTCGACTGTCGTTTCGGCTGATGATGTCCTGCCTCACATTGATCACCTCTCCGGTCGCATCATCGTTAATGATGTAGTCGTGAAGGAACCCAAGATTGATAAATGGCAGTTCTCGGTAGGACAGGTTAGTAAACTCATTATTGGCTTGGTACAACAGGGCCAGGAGCCTACATGTTTATTCTCGTCCTATGCTGACGGAATTGATTCTAGGCTCTATCGCACGTATCGAAAAGTACTCGTTTGTATCCAGGTGAGTTCTTTGGAAGTGGCACTTTTCCATCGGGCGCTGGCATTGAATGGTAAGTACATCAGACACCTTTCCCAGACACACTCAACGGCTTGGACGACTGACGATATATAGTACGTAACCTGCTCCACCTTTATACCCATACCCCTAGTGCGTCCGTGTTAGACGGGTTCGCCACGATACTCCAACATGGATAACATACTAATAGATCGCAGATACGGCATTCCAGGTACGACCAGGTGATGTGGTTAAGCTAGAAATTGACGGTATTGGGTCCGTGACAAACACAATTGTACCAGAATCATGAGAAATGTCATGAACATTGAATCGTCATCTACCTAGGCGGTCACAGTCAGGATTACTTATCTCTGCCTTCCTAATTCCAATATCATTTGTCGAATCTACCCAAGTGCAACACTGAATGGACATTTCTACGTTCATGAATAATCGATCGGCTAACATCCAATCAACTATTGATGACATCTGATCTTCTTAGAGAAGGATAGGACTGAGGTAGTTCAGATTCCTTCTAGCTACATAGCACTCCTCCTCCTCCTTTTGTTACCACTTTACCGTTCCTGACACAACACATGGTCTGCTCTTTCGTCTTGATCTAGACCCTCTATGCGAGTAAACCGGTTTTGTCAAAATTGTCCAGATGTAAAAACTGGGGATTTGCCTCGGTCGTCATGGTATTCAGGTACTTCTTGACCTGGCGATAACGGCTGCCGTCTTGGGTGCCGTCTCTATATCCCATGCAAGGGTCTTTCGCACGATCGCACGTAAGGATTAGCGAGGAAAGTCCGGCAGCGATTGCCGTGGACACCGAGCTCCCCGTAATGGTATCCTCCGATTTGAGGAACGGGATTACACCGGCGGCCACGTCTTGGCCGGGTATAAGGTAATCGTAGTTATTCTTATCGGTCTCTCGGAGAATCTTGCCGTACTCATCACTAGCCGCTAAGCGGATAAGTGACCTATCTTCTGCCGAATACTTTGCTGGGATCGCCGTCGAGGTCCTCGATCCCTCGTCGTGCGCGCTGCAGGTCATGATAATGCCTGCCTTGCTAGCTTCTTCTATTTGCGTGGATACCGCTTTATCGGGATCAGCGGTGATCGTAAAACTCATTGAAATGACGTCGACTTCTTTCTTTCTAGCCCAGGTGAGGGCCTTTTACATCACATTGTTAGTTACGGGCTGATAGGCAACCAGTACATAGGACCATACCTGTGCGACTCGGTTGGCCGTGATCCCCCTCGCATCTTCGGCCACCCTTGCCACGTAGAGCTCACAAAAGGGGTCGATGGCACAAATTAAGTTGGCCATCTGGGTTCCATGTGGATTGGACGCGAAGAGCCAGGGGCTGAGTCTTGAATCTCCATCCACGAAGGAGCGGCCTTCCTTGATGCGCTTCCAGAGACTTCGATCATCGTCGTGCTGGTCTCTGGTATTTTGGGCATCCGTCTGAGCACCAGCGGCGTCACCATGATCGCTTCTTCCACCCTCGATGGTCACCTTCTCACCTTGCCGCCCGGAATCTCCCTCTTCTGTATATTGGTGTGAGATAGGCGAGATGCTTAGAATTCCGTTGTCGAGAATGGCTACTTTCGTGGGCCGGAACTTGGAGTCCTTTTCGTCCCTTTTCCGTCCGACGATATTTCCGAGCTTTTGCAGCCGTTGAGCTAGCTTTGGTGCCACGCGACGCGCACTTTTATAACCATCATGATTAGTGACATACACAATGTAACTTGTGTTCCTGGACTATTAGGTATAAACATACATCTCACTTAAATCTGCGAGTTCTTGCGTAGGATACCAACGAACTAATTCGATTCGCGGTATTAAATGGTTTTGGGTATTCGGAAGCTGCTTGAACTTTTCACGAATCTCTGTCTTCAGTGCACTAAAGCGCTTCAAAGTACACGTCTCCTGGATTGATCATTAACATAACCACAAATAAGAATTGAAAGCAGACGTACCTGAACAATCTTAATTTCGACCGTGTCGAGCTATTATGGGATGTTGTAAGTTTCAAAAAGCCAATCCTAGGTTTAAAGCCAAGACGACTCACATTTGTTAATAGGCGAATGCCTTCACTGCCAAACCAGTGGCTAATCGCAGCTCGGTTGCCACTCGAATACAGGTGAAGCTCTTTTAACCGCGTTTTCGTTTCCTCTTCTAGGCTGGATATGGAAAGGTCGAGCACCCTCCAGTCAAGAATTTCAACCTCGAAACGGTTCACTTCTCTGCCCATCCTTATATCATCGTGAGGGTTGACTAAACGATCCGGTACCTTGAGTTTGATGATTGTTTTGACCCCTTTTCCACTGAGCCATTCGAGGATCTTAAACACCTCATCATGTTCTTGTTTAAGGTGACTACTCTCGGTAAATGATTCTCGCTCGTTGGCCATCATATCGAGGGGAGGGAACTCAGCATATCGTAATGTCTGTTCGTATGAGAGGAGTTTCTGGTTTCGGCTTTGCCATATCAAGGAATCTATGAACTCGGATACTCTGTAGCTTGCAGAGTTAATTCCACAAGGATCAAAGCAGAGATCAGCAACTGTCTAAAGCATTAGTACTATCCGTTTCAACTAACTACGTAAGATATGCCAGATCAAATAGCAAGGACAGCACAAAGTGGTTCCGTATGGGCATGTGACCTACCTGGTTCTTAAAAAGAATGTTAGCAAGGTGACTCGAAGACGCGATGGGCGTGAATGATGGTCAACTTACCGTCGGAGTCGAAAAAGATCTGCGTCAACCTCTCTATCTCGGAAACCTCGCGAATCATCTTGTTGACCAATAAAGCGCGTATTTCTCCTTTGGTCGTATCGCCAGCCTTGGATCCATCGCTCCCGGGCAAATGATTATTATACCAAAGAGGGTATTCCAACGTACCGCCGTCCTCTATGGCTTGTTTTTGATTCACTGAGTCTGGGTACTTATTCAAGAATGTTTTCACAAACTCGCGATTTTGGTAATTCACCGCCATGTGGAGAAGGCATGCTTTCAAGTCATTCTTTAGCATGGGCTCTTTTATGGCTTCCCAAACTTCTTTTGCACCCGCGGTTATTATCTCTTTCATGATCATGCGGGTGATCACATCCTGCTTTTCGACTTTTTCAAGCAGCTTTTGAGCAATCATCAGCCGATCGCTCCGAAATTTCTCAGATGATCCTTTGAGCTTTTCAAACGCCAGGTTGATATTCTTGCCTGTAGCAAAGATCTCAGCGAGTTTTCGTTTTTTAAGGAACATCTCGACAACACCAAGCCTGCCCTCTCTAATGGCGTACTCGAACGTTGGATCCGGATTCCCTGGATCATTATCAATCAATGCGATGCCTTCCACCTCGAGAAGTTTCTCTAGCGTTTCTAGGGATCCTTTGCTAGGTCTCGCAGCAAGCTCAAGCGCACGATAATACGGATTTCTTCGCTGTAAAATCTTCGGCCATGCCCAGGCCCGGCTGTTTCTGCCACCTGATGTGCAGTTACCCGGTTTATCTTCATCCGACTGATGTTTATAGAACTTTTCACCAGTCGATATCATGAATGCAACCACCTTATAGTTGTCTTCCTGGGCAGCAAGGTTGAAAGGTATATCGGGGGTCTCGTACTCTGAGTGCCTTTTTGAGTCTATGCACTTCTTGTAGGCAGCAGCGGTTCTCATTACATCATCAGCCTCCCCATTAAGGGTTATGAACGCCAAATAAGGTTTCAGCCCTAGGATTATCTTGCTGAGGCTTATGCGGACCTCCCTCTCACTAGACTTCCCCCTCTGAATATTGACACATTTGACGAGAAGGAGCCAGAGTACACAATCATCAATCGTTTCTTGTGTCTCCAGTTGTTTCAGGAAGAATTCGATGCTTTGATTATCTGTTTGCGTTTTTAGAATAGTAACTATCCTCTCCAACAATCTGTCCACGAGACACTCAAGCCCGTTGTCGCCTTGGTTGTTTTGTTTTACTTCTTCGACAAGCTTGTCATATGTGTCCTGTTCTGGCTTTCCGAGGGCCTTCCCTTTCATCCCTTCATACGTAATGATAGGATTTCGAGATGAAGGACTTCTTGCTGTGCCGCTGCCCATTGTGGGGGAAGAGGTTGTGGGTCGCACGGCTGTGAAACGAAGATTGAAATGATTGTGTGATTGAGCTGTCCGTCGCTAGATTAGAGTGAATATCGAAAAGAGATAAGGGTGTTCAGTTCAGATGGGTATAATCTAGGATCGAAGGGTGTTGCGATGCCTCAGACGGCAGACTACCGTAGTTCAAGGTGAGATGTTTCATTTAGTCCATCGCATTTCATTATAACAACCGGAAGTAGGCCTGCCTAGAAATCGCCAGTCTGCTTCGCACATTGGAGTCTCGTGGACATTGTGTTTGGAGTGTACGTCATAGTGGTGGTATCATGTATCAAGCTCACGAGGCATCAATATGAGGTGCTTGACCAGGCAACACATCCGGTGGAACCGCGGGAGTGAATGCACAGGTTTGTGAAACAACAATACGTCCGGGGTTACACGAGGTCCTGGAGCACAGTATAGGTAGTAATCTGTTCAACTAGTCACTCCCTACTACCTACTTCTGACTACCTATGCTTGATTTTTCTCTCTCTTGTGTTCGTGCCTGAAGTCCTCCGGCTATCACGAGGCTTAGCTATCCAGGCATTTATTCTACATAGGTAGTACCTATACGAGGATCCCCGTCACTGCATTCATTCTGAAGAGCTTGTTGTCCCGCAACCTCATCCGATAGGGTCTTGGTAGTCTTGGCTGTCACTTCGGCACGAGGCCACCTGGTGATCCAACTTTTAGCCCACACCACCACTGCTAACAGACCGACATGAATAGCACTCGCTGAGCCTAATCCCCTTGAAGCCCAACTCACAGAAAGGGCCTGTTGCATCCCGGTCAGGTCTCGCTGCAGCTTGACGATGAGGGCTTCCTGGGCTGCAAGTCGCGCTTCAGTTGATGCGGCCCGCGCTTCTAGCGAAACGAGCCTATTATAGCCTTCATCGCTCAAGCTAGACGAGGGCACGGCCAGGCCTGCACCTGGATGGGTCGCAGTGATAGGTGGTACAACGTCTGGTCGTGGCAATTCCGGGGGGTGATCGACTAGATTTTCGTTTGTAGCCTCACAGACAGCTTCTTCTGCGTTTGATTGGTGCTCCAATATGGCCTCTGGCTTGGGAATCTCGAAGCGATCCCATGGATTCAGCCAGCGAGCGTTCAGAATACTTCTGTCATTGGGGTCAACCAGTCTCATAAGATTATCGGGGTCAATAGATCCGGCAATGTCAAAACCCTCGCCATAGTAGCCATCGCTGCTGCCTGGTTCCGGCACGCGCCATCGAACCTCCCTTTCTCTGGGAATACCTAAGAAGGTCCGACCTTTGTCCGCCCATGCATGTGCAGTGCTAGTATGCACCCCAAGACGGAATGTTGCCCTGTACGGTTGTGACAAGCTGTTCCTTGAGACGAGAACAGCCACGCGTATCTCGGGCGTGATGCCTTCCTGATGTATCACGTTCTCCTGCAGCGTCCACCGCACACCATTCTTTTTCTGGGACCGACTGAATAGCGCGATCGACGTGCCCTTGTCATAGCCGATCTGGTTCAACGACCTCTCCGTTCCTCGCCCCACTCCCCCTGAGACCCCTTGCCCGGCCCACCCTGCCTCAATCGTCAAGTCGGCTGTAGAACTGGTCTTGACCTCCGCTATTGAGGCATTCCACGTCTGCGGGCGGCGGAATGGACCCCAGGCCACGACCTCTGGGCCTGGGGAATTTTTCTCGTCGGATTGAAACCTCAGTTCTGCCTCAGCAAAACTGATCTTACGATCGATCCCGCTTCTGCTTGTCTGGAATGCCAACTTCAACACCACAAGCGTCATCGCCCTCTTCTCAGTGGCTATGTTGTAACCATCCACCCACACAAGACGTTCGACCGTCAGGGAGTAGTTAGACTTTTCCTTAGCATAGACGATTGAACCAGAGCCGTCGCCCTCGATGCAATAGCTTTTGACGGCGCCGTCTTCGTTTTTTCGTTTATAAAGGTCTACAACGGTAACGCCGCTATGACTTGGCTTCGAATCATCAATATTGCCATCATTATATATAGCGTCTTCATCGAAATAATCGAGGGGGTTGATGTCATTTTCATGAAAGCTTCGATCCTCCAGAGGAGTCATCGTGCTGGGACAAGCCAAGATGCTATCCAACACTCAGTGAGAAGGTAATCCGTGTTTTAGAGTCAATCAATCAAGTAGGACACAATATATCGACGGAAAAAGCAGCTCTCTCCCCAAGACTTCATCTTTCTCAGAGAACCGTTACATTTATCCTGGTGCTCTCAAAACATGACTTTTTTGATTCGGTCTCAGAAATGGGGGTCGTCACATTTTCCATTATTATTACGGGACTGTAGCGGAAGTCTCCCGATTGCTCGACTGACTCCAGGTGCTAAAAGCAGCAGTCGTAGCAGGCCAGCGAACAGTGACTCGACCATCGTGGAAATATGCAGACACAATTAGTGATTCACGGTGGTAGGTGTCACAAAATATGACATATGGAGACAGTACCCATGTACGTACAATCATGTGCCTGTGACCAGAACTTACCTACCTAGGAGGTAGGATACGTGTAGCACGCCAGCACCATAGGTCCTGGGTGCTTGACTATGTACCTTTGACGTACTTCCATGTCATCGTGGCGCGTCCGCCTATGTATGCATATTGCGTTTTGGGTAGCTCTGCAGCAGCACAGCAAACATACAAGCGCCGGCCTGTGCAACCTGGTCAGTGGTCCCTCCTTGTTGTTGCTCATATGTCTTTCTCTTGATGCGTATTAGCAATGGCATGAAACAACTGTCGCGGATTCCTGCATAGTAGTAACATCATTGCATCCTACCTTCTGCTTCGCTCCAAACTTATCATGGTCAAATTTATTGAGTCAGTGAAGTCAGCTCTTAGCAAGCGTGTTCAGAAGGAGCATCCGCCGAAAGCACCAACGTCTAGAGATGCTGGCGTATTATCATTATTCAACCCCCCTAGAGAATCGGCGAAAAGTGGCAACATTCTTCCTGAGACGAGTCTCAACTCCGATAGCCGCGATGCGAGGGGTTCCAGCGACAAAATCGAAAGATATGGCCTACAACAGACCGCTCCGCCCTTATTAGCGGGTGCGGCCTCTTCTATACCGACAAGAACGCAAAAATTATCAGAAAGCTCTAACATGACCAGTGAGGTGAATTTTGATAATACGCAAGACGTGCCCAGAGATAAACCCACACCGATTTCGACGGCATCCTTGGGTTTAGATGTACATGTTCCGTTGCTTTGGAATGCCGCATATAACAGTATCTCGGCGAAGAACCAGGACTTACTATCTTGGTACGAGCAGGCCGTATTTGGTTACACCACGAACGGCGGCCACCTCATCTCTCATCAGCCTTCAGGTGTAGCCTCCAATGGCCATTTAGCTACCCAGACCGATCACCATGAAATCCAGACGCTAATGGATAACTGCCTCCATGTCTTCCTAAAGAAGGCGTGCCAAAGCGTTGGAAGTGGTGTCGAACGTGGTGAAGAGACCGAAGATAGCCCTGGTCAGGATATGAACGGCAGTGGGGTTGGGGTTGGCGAGTATGAGACCGGCCATCTCAGAGACAAGCTCGCAGCAGCAGTGCGAAAATCACAGTATGCTTCCCTCGCATGGGTGGCTTCTTGCCTTAACCTAGAAGTACGTTTCAATTTCTTGATTCCAATTTCATTTTCTTCATACGCCTGTGTCTTCAGATCCTCAAACTAGTAAGCTGACCGAATTCTACGCTGCAGAGCCTACTACATCCAAGCATTCTACCCCAACCTGGTCGTTCGGGAGCCGTCGCTATCCTTACGAAAATGGAGTGGTATATAGATTTACCAAAATTCCTGCTCCAACGGGACAACGTGGAAGAGCTGTCAATTAAGCACCAGCCTCTAGCACAGTCTCTAGTCCATCTTTACGAAGTAATTCTCTCTTACCAGATGGGCATTGTGTGTCATCAATGGACATCCAGTGCATCGATCATTGAAATCGACTTCAAGAAGTATGAGGACGAGATTCGAATAAGAGAAGAAGCTCTGATGTGCTTCAACGGGCAAGAGTTCAAAACATTGTTCACCCAAACCGTTGTCGATAATACCGCACGATCAACCAAGGATATATTGGTGGCCCTAGATGAGAGGTCTGAGACTCGATCGATTCCTGATTCCACACGGTCTATTGAATCTCATATAGGTCGGATAGGTGTGGTCGAGCAACCAAACGTGAACATACAGCCTGGAAAGAGCTCGGAATCTGATATCTTGTACAGATGGGTATGTGGCACGAAGCAGTACCAGACATTCATTGCCCCCGATGCCACATCCAATGAGCGTGTTCTATGGTTAAAAAGTGACCATGGTGCTGGCAAGACGAGGCTTCTGAGGGCAATTCAACATGGACTGATTGAGGATGAGAGGTCGGGTAAGACAACCAAGATGGCCTATTTTTCCTATGATAGCAGCATATCGTGGCAAGAAAACGCTTCATCCGCCGTGAGAACCCTAATCGATCAAATCATTGAGAAACAGAGTCTTCTCAAGCACCATCTAACCTCAAAGTATACCACGACTGGTAGAAAGGCTTTCAAAGACCCAAACGACTTCTACGCCATGACAAATGTCATGTATTCAATGTTAAACGACGCATTATTCCAACCAACCTACCTTGTTGTGAACGGAGTTGAACAGCTGCTCGCTATTGAAGACATAGGTTCGGACACTCGAATTGATAATCCAGATGGAACAGATTCCCAGCAGGCTGTCGAAGGACCTAGATCTGATGACTTTCTAACTTTGATCTTTACCACGGTGCAAGTCTCAAACAAGATACGGTGGCTAGTATCTCATAGCAGTGAGAGATCTAGCATACAACCTAGACTCGCAGGAGCCAATATGCGACTTCACCTCACAGCTGGCCCAGAAGTGGATGAAATTCGCAAAGCTATATCTAACTATGTAGCTGCGAAGGTTGCAGAGATTGCAGATGAGGCATCTTTCACGGGGAATCTTCGTGAAATCCTAACTGCGAAGGCACAGGCGGCTCCAAAGAATTTTCTGTGGTTATCTATAGCGCTCAACACCGTGAAAATGTCACGCACCCCTTGGAATGCCCCTGAGATCATGGAAGAATTAACGAAACAAACATCGACCGTTGTTTCCATGTTTGAAAACAGACTGAACAAGATGAGTAAACGTAAGTGGCATGATTGGGACTATTGCAGGGATGCCCTATACACTACTGCCCTAGCGTATCGTCCACTACTAGACACGGAACTCAGGGCCATTATCGACTTACCTCTAGAGGTAGACCTCCAAAGACTCGTTAACCAACTCCTGATGCCGTTTCTTTGGATACAAGAAGATAAGGTGTCCAATGGTCGAAAGCTCCGCTTTGCCTCCCTGGCTGCCCGAGATTCCATCCTACAGGAGCTTAATAAACAGGCTTGCAAAGGGGAGATTTCAAGATTGACAAAACGATGTCTTTCAGTCCTGCTTGGAAATTTCACCTCCAGAGAGCATAATACCAAACCGGTCAATGGTTCTGTTGATCCCAGACACCCAGTAGATTATGTGACTACATTCTGGATGAGGCATTTGTCTGAGAAGAACGATGATACGGATGCTATAGATATGGCTACTCGCGTCCTGCAAGACTATCTCGTGGCGTGGGTGGAAGTACTCGAATCCCGAAATCTCCAAGAAGAGGCAACGGTAATGATAGCCAAACTTGATTCGGCGCTGACAACCAAGGTGAGTAGACTCTGGGATGCATTGAGGGCCATTGACTAACTTTCATTCGTGATGGTTCTGCAGTCTCGGAGGTTAGGCGTTACAAACATAGGGGACATCAACTTTCATCGACTGGTTATGGAAGCTGGCAGGTTTTTGACAACACACCAACGGTGGAAGGCGACCTCGGACGTTTCCGGCAGAAATGGCGATGATATTATCAGACCTAAAAACAGCCTCCTCTTCTCCCCTATCGATGATTCAATCGCCATGAGGCTGCTGCCAAGGTTCTACCCCTGGCTGAAAGCCAGGCCCGTCATTGGATCAGGTGTTGCTACCTCTAGCGACAACTCCATCATGTCCCATCCGGACTATGTGCGAGCTTGCGCCTTCTCACCTACCGGGAGTCTAGTCGCGTCAGCATGCGATGACCGGCGCGTTCGGCTTTGGGACGTTGAAACTGGCAACCTGCAGAGTGTGTTGGAGGGGTTTGGTGGCTACGTTTACTCTGTAGTCATCTCACACTCAGGACCCGACGGTCACGCTCTCTTAGCTAGTTCTGATGCCAGAACCATTAGAATCTGGGACCTTTGCACGGGAATGGATCGAACAGTTTTAGACCATCATAACAAGCCCCATGATGTACAGAATGGGGATGTAAACGAGGGTGAAGATGGTAGGAAGGATCCGGTATCCGATAACTGCGAGGAGATTGGAGCTCACAGCGAAAACAAAGAAACACAACCAGACTTCACGGTCATGAGCATTTCTATTACGCGCGACGGGCGTAGGCTGGCTGCTGCCACCGGGGATGGGCTGATCGTATGGGATATCTCTAGCCATAAGGGGAGTATCTGGCATGACGACACAGGGTCAAAGAACGTACGACGCGTGGCTTTCTCACAAAATGGAGACCTGCTCGCTTCAACAGCTCGCTCAGAAATTACCATATGGGATGCAGTAAAAGGCACCGTCAAACACAGACTTCCGGGACGTGGACAAACACGGCTAGGCGAAGTATCGGAAGGAGAGAGTACGAAAGTGAATGCAGAAGAAGCAAAACTAAATGGGCACTCTGAAGACATAGATGGGCTTGATTTTTCGCCGGATGGGAAATTCCTTGCGTCGGGTTCACATGATTCTACTGCACGGATTTGGAACGTTGAAGATGGCACATCGCTAGCAGTTCTACATCACAAAAGCTGGGTCAACAGCGTGAGCTTTTCCGCTGATGGCGTTTCCTTAGCTACGGGCTCATCAGATAAAACTATTGGAATCTGGATACGAGACCCTCGTTACGGTTGGGCAGTAACGAAGCTCCAACAGTTTCTCGGGGACGGCTCGGTAATCCTATCAGTCGTGTTTGCTCCCACGGGGATGTTGCTAGCATCAGCAGCAACCTCTGGCGACTTACGAATCTGGGACACGCAAGCAGCCAAAACAAAAATAGAGGTAGGCAAGGCTGCGCATTCGGAACAGAGCAACAGGTTGCTGGTCGCAGGACACACGCAGCGTGTGAAATACGTGGAAATTTCCCCTTGTGGCACAAAAATCGCTTCAGCGAGCAATGACTATGTTCTATGTCTCTGGGATGGTACGACAGGTCATTTCAAGTAAAAGACAGCGCATACACACGACGGCAGAATCACAGCATTAGCGTTCTCACCCGATGGTACGCAGCTAATATCAGCATCGGCTTCGTCGGCCAATAACGCCTTCATCTGGAGCATTGGAGATACGTGTGCCAGAAAAATTCACTCCCTCCACGGACATCAAGACTGGGTCCGAGCAGTGGCCTTTTCACCAAACGGGAAGTTGGTAGCAACAGGATCCGACGATAGGTCAGTGATACTCTGGGATATTTCAAAGAGTTCAGGTGGCATTCAATTCAGGAAATTCAATAAGCATACCGATTGGGTCTTCAGCGTGGCATTTTCGCCTGACGGGCATCGTCTAGCCTCGGCTGGCGACGATGGCCACGTTATGATATGGGATTTGGACAAAAATGACCCTAACCCTGAACCCGACAAGGATCTCAAGGACGATCGATTGAGCCGACGTACTCTTGGACTAGTCTTCTCTCCAGATGGCGCATCTGTGTTGTCAATAAATAGCAGTGGGGATCTAGCAGTCTGGAAGCCCGATACGTCAGAAACGAAGGCTTGCATCCTGGAGGTAGACGCAAGCGGATTTACGTCGATACGGATTAATAAAGACGATCCGGATGTGCTGTTGAGCGAGCTTGGCGCGTGCAAATTCAGGATCGGTGAGGCACTGAGAGGGCGTGTCAACGAAAAATCACAACCGCCATCTCACAGTATGCCGCCTCCTTGGGCTCCGGTGGCCATCAAGGACCGCAAGCGAATCATGTGGAACAACCGTCAGGTGATCCTTCTGCCAGTAGAGTTCCGGCCAACATCCTGCCGAGTGCAGGGTCACAGTGTCGTCATCGGCTGTGAATCCGGACAGGTGCTGCTTTTTAGATTCTCTGAAAAGATTGATCCGGATACGATATCGAAATGAATAGATGGTAAATAGGGGTAAAGGGTGAGTCTAATCTGAATGTTGTGACTAAAGAATAAGTACGTTTTGCCTTGGGTAGTTGAATATAACTCTTGTACTTGATTCGGACATTTAATATGTATTAAAGGGGTGAATGCTCTTGGTTGGCTATCCCTTGGTGGTCACACATTACCTTTTCACCAATTCCTTGCTAGTTCAACTTGTGCAGTAAATATCCTTCGATCCTCAACCTCTTCGAAAAGCTCGATAGCAATCTCTTCAATATTAACGCGTTCCTGAATCGGAGGAAAGTAAGTCCCATCAACTTTACACTTCGTGTGTAATGCTGGAACCGTCCCGTTCTGTAGATAGGCTCGCACATGGCGTGCTAAGCAAACCGAAGGCATCGCGGTAGAGCAGTGCCCATATCCTTCGACCTCGACAATCTGGCTCCCTTGAAACGCTCGCTGTGCCGATCTGGCCGAGATCAGAGGACACACAGGATCATACGTCATGGTCAGAATCAAGAGGGGATGAGCTGTCTGGACAGTATGCGAAGGTACGTAGCTGTGTGTTTTGGGTACCAGCCATTGCTGCTTTGCGTAGTAAACCCCGTGTTCCGTGGGAGCGAATACTAAGATAGATGGTATCAATAAAGGAGATAGCACAAGCGGCGGAAGTCAGTCACTTACTGCTTCTGTTGATGAACGGGACAAGCCAATCAAGCATAGTCTGTCGATCCTGAGGCCAATATCGGGCTCCTGACGCGCCATCATTCAACATGACAAAGCGCTCCGCATCACCAGCCGACGGCCACGGCTTTCCAAGTCCGTACGCTAGGAACGCATCAGTAGCATTGCCGTCAAGCCATTTGGCGAGGTTCTCGGCCAGCGTGGGCCATGTTACAGGCTTTTTCAGCGCCGCAGGTATAGCATTATGAGCATCATAAAGAAGTGTCCTGTCATCCAGTAAACCATATCGCCGATTATCGACGTAGACATTCAATGGATCTTGACGAAGGGCAGAGGCTAGGGACAGTATTCTCTCCCGAAGCGCTTCTTTTGATGGCCCGAAACGCGCCAATGGGCAGTCTTCTCGAGCCTTGATACATTCGTCCAAGAATCCATCAAAGACAGTTTCAGAGTCGACCAAATCCTCCGTATCCAAGAGACCGCCGTACCAGTCAAACACATTATTGACACCGTCAATGATGATTCGTCGAGATCGCTCCGGGAAAAGCCCAGCATACGTCTGTCCGAGTATCGTACCATAGCTGAACCCCCAGTATATCATATCATCTTGGCCAAGCGCATCTATGATGCTGTTCATGTCGGCTGCGGTCTGCGGCGTGTTGAGGTGCTTGCCGTGTTCTCCCATAGTCTCGGCGCATGCTCGAACATAGTTCTTAGTCCAGGCGTAGACTTCTGCGCTATCTTCCAGCACACGCTGATCTCTCACAGACCCAAGTGAATGCCGTGTCTCGTCATCTGGGTAACAGTCTGCGAAAGGTCTGCTCCCATTGACGCCCCGAGGATCAAACGCGACAAGGTGCAAGTCTTCACCGATGATTGTGCTTAGCTGTTCTCCCAGTCGATGAATGAACCAGATACCAGAGCCTCCCGGGCCCCCAGGATTGAGAAGTATGTTTTGCTTAGCATGGCGACCACGCAGACGGATAAGCGGGATAGTAAATGTTTCATTCCTGAAGTGATGCTGATTGAATTGGTCCATTGGTACACTGATAGTGCTGCACTACACAGTCGACCGATCAGCAACAGGGACTGTGAATATTACGGCAAATGCCAACCTCGAGTCGCCGCCCATTTTTGAGGTGTCCACATCTCTCCCATTCTATACTCTCACCAGGATACCGATACTTCGTGAGATCGTTCCTTGATGCCGGTGTAATTGACATCGTCGATATGAAGATACGGAAAAGGGCAAAGCAGATGAGTGACACCCCAATCATCGCGAATGGTAAACGCCGACGTGGCTTTGAGCTCTCATGACCCAGGGCGTGAGGGCTCTCTCCTTTGAAATTCATCGCGATATTTCCGCCTTTCGCATGTATTCGAAACGCGTGACAGTAATTGAGGTTCTCGTTTGTAAATGATGAGGTGGTGAACAATAGTTCAAAGCAGTCGTGAGATCAGTTTGGTTGCGTGTGTCTCTTTGTTGATACTCATTACCTCGCTCTATGGTCGCGTCGACGTATTGATCGGCGCCTCCTACACCTGCTTCTCATTTAGCAATAACCAGGAGATTTTCTTGTAATTGACAGAAAACTAACATTTTATAAGGCGTGTTGGTTTAGTCATCTTCGCGTTTACATCAGTATGCAGGAGTATCAAGCACCAACAGGGGAGAGCGCCCAAATAGGCAATATGCCGAATGCCGATCCTGGTGATGTTCTCAGTATTCAACAGGCCATAAACAAGGGATAATACTGAATAGACGTTTGTTGTATCCTTGAATAACCAAAGTCTAATTGAATAACAGCCAGTTCAAGATTTATTGCTAAGCGGTCAGCTGAACTAGAATCCGGACGACACCATACCCCCCCAACGCAAGACCCATGGTCCAAAGTATAGCAGACACCGATTCCCCCTTATTATCATCAGCCAGTACCTTCACCCTGGCTAATTCGAGTCTCTCCTTGAGTACATCCCTCAATCCCTCCGCAGTCAGCCACATATTTTTGATATGACCCGGCCCACAATCAGTGTCGAAGCAAGATTGAGCATCAACCGTGTACATGCGCAACACAAGCGAGAGCACATCTGCCGCGCTAGACGATAACGTACTTAGCCCCAGCATCCATAGACTCTCCCTCGCAGCACTCTCCAACTTCCGCAACGCGACATCGAAGAGGGCCCCTATGTCCTCCTCTCTCTTCTCCTGAGGCGTAAGCGGACCATGTCCGATCAAGTGTTTCGTCAGATTGAGAAAAACATCACACCCATGGCCTAGCGGCTCATCAACCAAGTAATACAGGACGTCGTCCAGGGCCTTCGCGCGCTCTGCTCGTTCGAGGTTCTGTTCCGTCATAATATGCTCGAGCGTCTGGTGGTATTCCCGCGCTTGCGAGACGAGACCGCTGAGGGCTCTGATTTCGAGCTCCGAGGTGAGATTATACAGGTCATTCGCCTTGTCGAGTTCGTGGACAGCGAGCCAGTAGCAATTACTCCGCGGCTGCGCTGTAGGCGCTGTATCATCGGCAGTGGCCGTTTCTGTCAGAGTGACGTACTGCGTCGTCGTGCGGGTCGGAGTGATTGTGTTGTCTGTAAGCGTTGAGCTGATGGTCTTCGTTACATAAACAGTTTGTGGTTGAGGTGCTCCACGTTTCTGCGTTGGGCCGCATAAGGTTTCGTGATGAGTGCTGATGGTGTGGTATATGTCTCTCATTATACTCTGGTATGCCTGCTTGAAGTAGGCGTGAGTCCCGTTCAATAGGGGTAGCACCCATATAGGGGCTAAGATAGAGGCACGGCGCATGTTGATACCACAGAGTCACGATCTAAACTGATGAATTTATTAAGCAAGCCAGTGGTCTACTGGCCATTGTAGCATTATATCGGTCATGGTCTTCTCGGTACTCTAACTACCCTGGGTACAGCTTGGGGTATTGGAACAGGTTCTGTGCCAGCCTCGTCTTTATGCAGGCAGACAAAGAAGTTACTGTTAGAGCGCGACAATAAAATGTGACGAAACCAAAAGAAATTGCGCGAGACAAAGATGGGATGAGTCAGCTTCTATCATATGATAGGGCTGTCTCCCATTGCTCCAGGGCGGACAAGGCTTGAATGAGATGAGGTGCCGTGCACCAGCTATGAAGATGAAATAATATCGTTACGTACAGTCTGCACGGTTTCTGAATGCCCTAAACTTTTCACACAGTGGCCCCTAGACTCCGTTGACTAGAGGCGTGGTGCTGATATGACTCATGAAACGTCTCCTAAAGATGCTCTCAACTAGACAGTAAACTTACGTGTCAGGCCACTTCGACGATATAGGTTTGAAGCAATGGGTCTGTGACAGTATTCTAGAGGGAAACTAAAGCGCATCTATAAAGCAAAACTTAATTAACGACCAACTCTTTCATTCAAACAAGTCGATTAAAACACTTCTTAACTAATAGAAATACCTACCAGCAACCCTCCCAGCAATACCCCCTTCGCATTTCAGCAGCCAGTACTAGGCGCAGCTACGAAGCTCACAGAAACACAAGACCCAATAAAGTGGGCGCATTCCGGAACAAAGAATACCAAGAAAGCGACAGCTCAAGCGCTTCTCCGAACATAGTCCCCGTCGGACTGAAAAGCTCATAGTCAAACGTGGCATAAAGAACAGACCATCCAAGAGTATTCGTCGAGGGGAGAGTGATGTCAAAGCTAGGTATCTTGACGTCCATCACATTCATCCAATAGACGATGCATTCCAGGGCCGAACTCTGATAGAACCCCCTTAAAGCACTGCGTGTCGCAATCGTGTAAACAGCTTGCCACAGTACATCATACCACGCGGTATTCACAACAACCCACGCAACCCATACTGCCATGAACAGAACAAAAGGGAGATACGCAATGTACAATACAATTCTAGATTGCATCACTGCCCAATGAGGCCACTCAGGAAGCAGGTCGCTGAACAAGCGAGCAATGACCCACGCCGCCGTGACAAGATGCATGCACATCCAGAGGGGTCGCAAACTTCGACTGAGGAAGAACAGCGCCGTCGTCACTTTATCTTGTAGGGGGTCAATAGTAGCCGCTACGAAGCGGCGGGAGAAGCCATGGACAGAGGTAATAACCATGACGATAATCTCGACAGCCCAGGAGAATTGACTCACGCTGCCTATGCCCGAGCACGGGTAGTTGACCAATTCCTCGGGTAGCCCAAGGTTGATCAATGTTGCGTGCAGTGAAGAATGCGGGTACGCCTGCAATAGAGTGGAAGAGTAGGTATAGCATAGGTATAGGAATCTTATGAGTAGGAGACGAGCGAGGACTTGGAGGCAGGCGGAGATGATCGGTCTGGCCATCTTGATATCGATGTGATTTTCCCTCCTTGTTGTCTGAAGTTCTGAGTATTCGCTTCTGCTGTTGTACCTACCTGGGATAGGTCGCTGGTTCTGGGTACAGAAGGTTAGAGGGAGGGTGAGTAAGTACGTAGTCAGAGAACATAGCTTTTATAGTATCTTGAAGGACTTATGAGCTGTGATGCATTGTTTGGCCTTTATGGCTTAGATAATAAATAATACCATTGTGACAGCTCATTTCCCTTGTTAGCTTCAGGTAAGGTGATCAATGGATCGATGAAAGCGAGACTGAAGGGGGATAGACAATTGTCTACACTCCTATTTGTATTATTATGAGCCTAACTGTTGGTGATTCGATTAGTTGATAGGTCTCATGATGATTGATTGAGTGGCGACTATTGTGGTTGAGCCCTCATGAGATTTCTCCCATACCTATAAGATCAAGTGACGGGGTTCGAAGTAACAGTCGAGTAACATGTATGGAACAAGAATGATAAGTTCAAACACGTAGGTGCCGATGCTGATGTCGAAGTGTAGCCTCATATCCTTTAGTGAGGGCTGGGGCTCTGACTGGAATCACGATGAATGAAGGTATTGACATAGACGGGTATGTATCTACCCAGGTATTGGTGTATGAAGAATAATTGTTAAAGGCAGTATTAGGTATGATGATGTAACAGCCAACCCTGAATTTCGGGAAGAAACGTGGGGAATGGCAGGGGTTTTAGCACCAGACTCTGACCAGACCTGGGCTCAGGCTCACCGTTTGTGTCGCAGTATAGGTAACTCCTTCAACAGGTTTAGTGGGTTGATCTAGGCCCATGCTGGCATTATGTAGCGATAGTACACGTGCTTTTTCAGAAGGTTTGTTGAAAAGAATGGCTGAAGTAACGTGTTATGTGTTATTTATTATAATTCCTGAAGGTGGGGAGTTTTGTCGATACCAAGGGTGTCTATGACATACATACTACGTACTTACATACAGTAAGTAGGCGGCTGGTTCATGGGCCGACCACAAATAGCCTTGTTTATGTAAGTTGTTCAAAATTCTAGATCTGGCCAAAATGCCTCGGGTTATATATGTGTGTGGTGCAATGGTGCAATGGTGCTGCAGTTATCTCCGCTTACCAAGGCTACACTACCACGTTAAGGCACTGGCGTGATATTAGTTGGTCCTGTTAGTGTGCATAGAGCAGCACCGATTGGGTGGTTTAGTGGATGGCCTAGGGGACGTGGTAGTGTTGGTAGTGCTGGTGGTGCTGGGAAGACCTATATCTGACCTATCAATCGCCCGAAAGGCCGAGTGTAGGCGGCCCCCGGCGAACACTACGTACCAAACCATGTATATTTCTTTCGCACGCGACTTGCTAGGAAACTGGTCCATTCCCTTGAAGGACGTAGCATCTATGCGACCTAAGCAGGTAAAAAGAATGATTTGGAGGTTAGGTAGGAACTTGGCATATCGTTTGTAGATAAAACGGCACCGAGAGACCGATATGCGGGCTCAAGAGCCCTGGAGACGGGGGGTATTCCCAAGCATTTCTAGATATTGAACAAGGCCAGGCAAACCTTGATGGTCCTGAGATACCTACATACCTATGTATATACAAAGATAGGTACATATGGAGTATGTACTTGGCTACTACCTAGCAGAATCACCACAGGGGGAAATACTTGGAGGAAATAGGTACTTCTTGACACGCGGCACGATACCTCCGCCCAAGCTTTCATCTCCACAATTCTGGTGAGGGATACATCCATGTCTACACGGAAAAATGTACCCCATGTACCCTAGTCCAAGTCCAATCTACTAAGTAAGTACCTACACTACTGCACTGGAACAAGAAGTCAACAATCAAGGACGTGTTCTGGAATACCGATACAGCTTTTTCTAGGGTACTCCGACCACTTACTCTCATTCAATCACTTCACTTCACTGCACTGCACTTCAGCCACTCCCTCTCACCTAAGCCGTGCCCGAATCCATTCATCTCGCCTCTCTCTGACTCATTCACCGATTCAACTGTCCCTCGTACTAGAAGTTGGGAAGAAGTTGGGAAAGTAGAGAAACGAGAGAGAGAGACTAGATATCGCATGTAGGTCAACTCAAAGACAAGAGCATCCATCTCCATCGTCCGTTGGTTCCACGATCCAAGTCCTCACGCTTAATCCAACACTTCGACTACCTACCTACCACCCTCTGCCTACATAGTACAGGTCCTTCATCCATCATCTACACACATGACGACGTCTACCGTGAAACCTACGTCCGCAGCAGCAGCATTAGCATCACCACCAGCATCATGGCCAACCCGGTGGGCGAGGATAGCTGGCTAGCCTACATCGACGAGCAGCGCCGACATGCCAACGATCTCGAAGCTCGTGTCAAGGTCGTCGAGCTCTTCAAGGCCGCCCTCGGTGATGAACCCGCCAGTCTACAGCTCTGGTTGACCTATTGCGAATTCTTTTGGTCTCTATTCACCGAATGTCAGGCGCCGCAGCGACCACCCTCGTCCTCCTCCTCTCCATCTCCCTCTTCATCTTGGCCCGAAGAAGAACGTCAACTCGGTCGCGATCTCTTCTCGTTCGATGCCGCCCTAAGCCTTTGGAGTGATGGCTACAATGCCACAAAGTATCGCATCGCCGACAGTCACCGATTTTGGGATCGTTGGGTTAGTATCGAGCTCGAACAACTGGCGCGCACTCGTACCCCCAGTGGTGTGAAGCGCATCTCCCATCTCTTCCGCGACCGTCTGCAAGTGCCCCATGCTACGTGGGATCAGACCTCGCAGATGTTTTCCGAGTTTCTTACCACCTACAACAATGCCGCCTACGAGCAAGAAATGCAGGATGTAACCCGTACCGCTCGCGATGCTAAGGCTGCCTACGAATTGCGCGAATCCCACGAGCTCGGACTTTCACGCGCCCAGCGCGCCGGCGACCGCGATGCCGAAAAGGCTACGATGCGACAATACCTTGATTGGGAAATGTCCCAGACCTCACTTGCTACCAGCGCCGTTACTGCTCCTGCTCATCACCATCATCGACACCAACAGCAACAACACGACCCATTCGCCATCCCTCTTGGCCTCGGTCTATACGGTCGCGCCCTCACTGGCATCCTTGCCTTCGACGAAGACATTTGGAATAACTGTGCTGTATACTTGTCCAGTCTCCATCGCCAAGTGAAGGCTCATCCTTCCCTCCATACTCCCTTACTCCCTAACATGCTCGACTTCTTTCAGCGCGCCACTAAACACTGCCCTGGATCTGGCCCTCTCTGGTCAAGATACATCCTGACGGCTGAGGATGCTGGATGGTCTTTCCATAACGTTGAATCCATCAAGCATGCCGCAACCAATACCAAGGCTTTGGATGAAAATGGAATGACGGGCGTCCTCGACATGTATACCGCTTGGTGTGGTTTTCTCAAACGTACCGCTATGGACCCTAGTGCGCACGAGGATGCTGCCGATGTTGCTGAGGTTGGTCTACTTGCCGCTCTAGAGGATGTCGAGCTCTGGGGTAAGCGTCTCTACAAAGATGCTTACCAAGGAGACCCTAATTTCCGCTTGGAGCGCATATTAATCCAGTTTTTGTCCGAAGTCAAGGGCGATACAGATGGTGCGAGAAGTCACTGGGACCGCATGTCACAGCATTCTCTATTAGCCAATAGCTATGATTTTTGGCTAAATTACTACCTCTGGGAAATGGTTGTCTATTCTTCAAAACCTAAACCGCCTAGTCCGACACCACCTACGCCATCTAATGGTGCCAAATCTTCACGGGTACCGACTCTAGCTACAGGTGTGCTGCAGCGGGCCCTTACACAGAAGATGCTCGATTGGCCAGAACGTATCATGGAGGTTTACCTTCAACATTGCAATGACTACGAGCTGCCAGACACGCTGCATTATGCTCTCGATACAGTACATAAAACTCGGCGGATAGTAGCTAAACGTCGCGAGCGCGAGCAAGCTGCTTCCGCCGCTGCTTATGCTACCCAGGTTCAGACTGAACAAGACCAAGACCAGGTGGCCACTAACTCTTTGCAGGATACCGCTGCGCCCAGCTCCCCTTCTAATGGCAAGAGGAAACGGGATGAGGTGGCTGGGGATGTGGGAGACACGACTGGAGAGACTGCTAGTAAAAAGGCCAAGAGTGTCGAAGCCAGCGTGGAGGATGCCGAGTCCCGAGAGTCACTCAAACGTGATCGTGAAAACACATCAGTCATGGTAACTAATCTTCCTGCTGATGTGACTCAAACGGCTATTCGTCGATATTTCAAGGATTATGGCCATATTAACAATCTGATACTTCGAAAGGAAGATGATGAAAAATCATCCTCGGCTCTAATCGAATTCAGGTCCCCAGAGGAAGCAGATTCTGCTCTACTACGTGACCAGAAGTATTTCAACCAGTCGCAACTCAGCGTCAAGCCAGGCACGCGTCTGACTGTATTTGTATCCAACTACCCTCCTACTGCCGACGAAAAATACATTCGTCGACTGTTTGCGCATTGTGGCGACATCTTCAACATTAGATGGCCTTCACTCAAGTTCAATGCTCATCGTCGCTTTTGCTACATTTCATTCCGAGATGCGGATGCTGCATACAAGGCCACGTTGATGGACGGCACATTAGTCGAGGATCAGTACAAGCTCCAATCCAAATTCTCCAATCCTTCCCACAAGAAAGACCGTGAAGGTGCCGTGGCTGAAGGACGTGAGTTACGAGTCAAGGGCGTACATCCTTCCACAGAGGAGAATGATCTTCGCAGCGTCTTTGGTAAATATGGCAAAGTGGCAACAGTCCGCCTATTGACCAACCTAAGCGGCCAGAATGTTGGAACTGCCTTTGTTGTGTACGAAACCAAGGAACAAGCCGAGAATGCTCTCCAATTAGACAAGACCAAGTTCAAATCCCATCTACTGGAAGTCGAACTCACCAAAGACAGCAACTTTCGACCTTCGGCTACTATCCGAGGCCAGCCCAGATCAACTAGTACAACCCCGGCTCCATCAGGAGATGGTGATGTGGCAATGACTGACGAGCCAGACGATGCGCAGACAAAAGACCGAAAATCCAAGCCCACACCAGCGGAGATCCAGGCACGCACCATATCCATCATGAACATCCCTGACACAGTCAACGACGCTCGCATCCGTGCTTTAGTGGAAGAACATGGGACCATCATCAAACTCGTCTTACGACCTGATCACTCGGGTGCTACCATAGAATTCGCCGATCCATCAACGGCGGGACGAGCCTCGCTTAGTCTAGAAGGATACGAGATAGAACCAGGTCATAAACTCAGAACGGGCACTGGCAAGCAATTATACGAAGGGAAAGGCGCACAACAACAGAAACAGCAACAAGTCACAAATAATGCTAGTACTACATCTAACAATAATGCAACGCCAAAGAATTGGATGCCGCCACCACCACCCGTGCGAAGACCCGTTCTAGGTCGCGGGGTCGCAAGGAGAGGTGGGAGAGGTGGCTTGGGATTTGTCGCGGCGAAATCAAAGGGGGATTCAAAATAATGATACCACGAACAATGAAAAAGGCCAGGCTGCATGGGGCGGGGAAAGGGATGTATGTATTGTATTATACAATTACGGTACGGTGATGACGACGAAACCTGGTACATTACATTTTCTACACGATGAGGAGTTCACACACGATCGATCTTATATCCAGTCATCCCCAACCAAAATCACATCAATCCACAAAGGCAAGGGCAAGGCAAACCCGAAAAATGGAATTAGGCGAATTGGAAGTGTTTACTATGGTCATCTATGATAAGAGTTGGGGCTGTATGACTATTTGACTAAGCCAGTCAAGCCAAGCCAAGTGAGGAAGACATAATTGACCGGAATCAACGATTGGTGTTTTTTGTAGGTCACTCAGGCTGTTTTGCTCAAAGGCTTGCTTGCTGCTTGCTGCTTGACTTGCTTTAGAATCTAGATACCAAAGGTTCGGTTCGGCTAGGTTAGGTAGCTGATATCTAAATTATACCCTTCCTCCCTCTCTCTGTCTAGCCATCTGTCTCTGTCATTGTTGATGCGTTTTGAGCTGGGCTTGCTTACTGTGCGTGGATGTGAAGGGGAGTATGTATGTGCAGGCGAAGCAAAGCGAACAAGGCGAGCATCATCTGTCACGGTACCAATCTCCCTTCCCCCGTTCATAGGATGCTCACACCAAGGTTCCCTCAAACCATATCTCCATCATGTGTGATCAAGCCATTTAGTTCTTGTTAAAATCCTGAGTGAAAATGACATGCCATATATCGAGCCATTTCTCCTGACTAGACGGGAGTAGCTTGCCAGGCATCTTGAAGGATCGAGCTAGGATATCGCGCAGACGGGCGCGCAATGTCTTGAGCACGAGTAGAGTCTTCCAGTCGGATACACTGAAGCGAGCTCGATTGCCGTCAAGGATGAGTACGCCTGCATACATCTGTGTGTTTCCCATCATTAGCCCCGTTATTTGATACAACTGAAGGGGTGGATACAAATTGGGAATAATTGGGAATATGGGATATCGACAGGGAGAGTGAGGTGCAAGAATATTCAACTGGGTTCATATGAAAGGGCAAGGATTCTTACATCAACGCGGACATCACCGCAAAGCAGGGCAATAGCAAAAGTGTCAACAGCAGTCGTCTCATGAGCATTGAGGAATCTGTCATCATTAGTTCAGATCAGTACGATTGCAGATAAACGGTTCACATACTGTTTCGATTGCATAATGTGATAATAGGAAAGCCATTTCAGATCTGGATTGCCTTTGTTGACGCTAGCTGGATGTAAGCTAATGCTCTGATTATTGCCGACGTTGCGGAACCCCTTATTTTCACGCAGGAGGAGCTTGGGGTAGAAACTCCAAGCAATGACGGAGCTTGAGACGAGATCGTTATCACTATTGAGGTTAACGCGTTGAGGTAATTCGAAAAACTGCCTCCGTCGGCTTGAATATCGAAGACGGTTGAGTTGTTGTCTCTCATCGTGGGTGAGCTGCAGGAACCCGGCATCGACGAGAGAGACAAGTAGCTGACCCTTTAGATCTTCAATATTAGATAAGGTCTGTGAGGACAAGTAGTTTTTCTTGCAGTATTGAAAATCGTGACTTTGTGTCTGGCACACCTTCTTCCAGCCTAGATACGCATTGTACACCGTCAAGAGATCAGAGTCGGCCCTTTTGAATGCCTTACGTGCTTGGTCTGCCTGTGTGCGCTGTCCAAAGGGTGCAGTGAAGGGAGACTTGGAGGAGAGGATAGCGGCGACAGTGATAGCCATGTCTAGACATTTGAAAATGGTTCCTTGTAAGATGAGCTTCCCTAGGAAGACGTCAAGAGGTAGCCTGGCTAACTGATGCCCGAGCGGTGTAAGGTCTTCAGCGGCTGTGAGAGCCCTGACATCGACGAGAGCATCAATGGCCCTTCGAATATTCTTTGCCGATGGAGCGTCAAGCGCTTGTCCGAGGGTTTCTTCTATTCCGCCAATCTTGCAGATCTTGACTCGAATGGCAAGGTCTTGCAATGATAAACGCAACATCTCAGGAGTTTGTTGATCGCTCATGAGTTGATCGTGTCTGTACTTCGTAAACATGTGGAAACACAATCCTTCCTGTACTCGACCCGCTCTACCACGTCGCTGTTTAGCATTTGCTCGGGAGATGAAGGTGTCAATAAGCCGAGAAAGTTGTCGCCTCTCGTCAAACCTCATCTCACGATGCTTCCCGGTGTCAATAACGCAGGTGACATCAGGAATTGTGATACCTGTTTCGGCAATGTTGGTCGCCAAAACAATCTTTCTCACCCCTTGTGGTGGAACAAGGAATGCCCTCTCCTGGTCTTCAGTGGCAATGGTGGAATGAAGGGGATAAACTTCCCAGTCCCGCTGGAAGAATGGTTCACCCAGAATCGAGTCATTGAGAGTTCTGATTTCAGCTATACCAGGGAGAAATACGAGGATGGCCTTGCTATAGTTGACGTACGTCGGGTCGACAGCGATGCGCCTAATTAGTTGGACGATCAACTCGTACTCTATTTGATACTCATCAATCTGTGAAAGAGTGTTCCGAGTCTTCGCAGAGTATTGTCGCAAGTCTTTGGCTGCTTTTTGAGTCGTTGAGGGATCGTTCTCGTCTTCAATAGGATCATCATCAAGATCAGTCATTTTCTCTTGGCCTTGTTGGCTCATAGTATACCCAGTGATCTCGAGAGCATCTTCAAGATATTTGACCTGTACGGGGAATGTACGGCCTGGAACATTGAGAACTGGGGCACGTCCTAGATAATTGGAAAATCTCTCGGCATCAACTGTTGCCGACATGAGAATCACCTTGAGATCCTTCCTCTTGTCAAGGAGTTTCTTCAGAACAATGAGCAAAAAGTCGGAATCGATTGTGCGCTCGTGAACTTCATCAAGAACAAGGTGTGTGATTTCTCGAAGCTCGTTTGAGCCCTCGAGCATGCGCATGACGATACCTGTTGTCGCATAGATCAATCGTGTCTCCTTGGCTGTATTAGACTCAAGTCGAATTGAGTAGCCTACAAGTGATCTAGAGGTACCTATGTCACTTCTACCTTCACCAAGCTCTTCGCTCACACGACGTGCTAATGAGATGGCAGAGATACGTCGAGGTTCTGTACAGTAAATCTTGCATGGTCGTCCAAGAGACAACTGGTGCTCCAGCAAGAAAGATGGCACCTGGGTGCTTTTACCACTTCATTTCTCGTTGTTAGTAACATGCTTATTCATGTATGGAGAGTTGCCTTACCATCCAGTCTCACCACAGACGATAACTACCTGCTCTCGCTCTACCGTCTCTAGTACTTGCTGCCTAAATTGCCACATGGGTAATTGCATTCGTGATTGCTGCAGGTGTAAGCTTATGTTCTCATTCATCAGATACGGGAGTAGCATCAACTTACCAGCATGGCTTGAAAGCGAGGTGTACTAGCCTTATCATACCATATCTTTTGGTAATATTCAGGCTCGAAAGCATTGCTACCGGATCGGTCAATGGTAGAATCGTCGCCACCATCTTTCGAGGCACCCTTTGCTGCTCTACCTCGAAATGCGCCTTGTAATAGGACACCATCTTCTAAGTCCTGGTCTTGTTTCCGTCGAATTATGGAGCGAATCTCTTTGATTGCCACCCGATCTAGGGCGTCCTCTTGGTTCTTCTTTTCCTCTGCAAACTCGGACCACAGCTCTCTCCACGCTGCAGGTAATCTCATGAATATCTTTTCTTCTTTCGTAGATCCAAATATGGCAAACATGGCAACTGTGGCAATGTATGCTTCCGATTGCTTCGAGTCGGGAGTCGAGACTTTGACCATCTTAAAGGAGAAAAGTTGTGGATAGATAGTCTGTTCTATATCTGGGATTTCTGGGATGCCAGAGGTTTCTTGTGACTTGGACCAATATATCGATACCATATGACGGTTGGAAAAGGTACTTTCAGATACAAGATTGTATGCAATTTTCACGGCTGAATCTCTGCGAAGGTTGTAAGCAATGGCTGTGTATTATTATGCAATGTCACTATATACCTTGATCGACAAGCCTCTTCCAAGGCTCTTGTAGGGTTCACACCTGACCATTTCCCGAAGTCACGGATTTTGACCTTGACTCCGTCAGCGCCATTGATTACGGTGCTCGTCTTGCCCGTTGCGTCAGTTTCTTGAACGGGGAGGTTAGCAAATAAGTCTGACAAGGCTTCGTCTTCACTGCTGTCGTTTTGTAATATCTCGGCTGCTATGCGCTTGGCTTCTTTGGCAATTTCATCATCGTCATCAGACTCAACTACCGGTCCAGGATCAGCTGTCTGAGTTTCTTTCTCCTTTTCTTGCTCTCGCTCTCGCTCTTCCTTTTCTTGCTGTTCAGCTTTCCTTGCATTGGCAGCAAATTCTTTCTCCAGTTCGATTCTGCGGTTCCGCCACATGTGTTCTGCTAGAGGTTTGTCAAAAAGGACATCCTGCTCAATCCGGTCAATTCTTCCTTGCAGCCTAGCCTCTTCTAAACCAGATGATTCAGAGTTTGGTGATCGATCTTTGGTGACTGTGGCAGACCGGTCCTTAGCTCCATTGGGTTTCCTGGTGTTCTGTTTTGGTCGTTGCAGCCAAAAGAGTTTCTCCATGGTTTCCATGTAAGCCGGAATTAGATCGTCTGGCTCAAAGTCTTCGTCGCAAGTCACTATTATCTTCTTCGAGGCCCCGTTACGTGAAGGTTGCAACCCATTCTTTGAATGCTTTCCAGCACCCACGGCATCAGCAAGGCGGGGGGTGTTAGCACCCGACGGTAAAGGGCTATCATACGGCGTATCTAATCGTGGGATTAATCATACGGTAAGGCTGGATGGAGAAATGGAGGGGAACACACCTGGTTGGGATTTAACTGGTTTGACGCTCCTATAATCATAGTCACGTAATTCTTCTCGGTCACACGACTTGGCAAGCCAGTCCAAGGCCTCTTCTAGACCCCAGATATAATCTCTGCTTACATTGGATATGCTTGGAACCAGGTCGAGCACATACTGCAAGACAGTATCGATTTTGTCGGTCGAAAAAGACAGACTTGCCAAAGTCTGCTGCAATGTCCATAACCTCATAGTCAAATCCTCCTCAGATAGCTTTTTCTCATTAATAGGACGCTCTGCAGCAAGGGACGAAGCGCTGAAGCGGCTCTCGGCCTGTATCAAGTCGAGGATTTGGTCCATAAGTTCTTGGGGCAACCATTTTCTAGTGTTCAAGGGCTCGGCCTGACCCCGTAACAGTCGTCGATCGGTATCGAGGCGAGTCTTCTGACGGGCAGCATCTCGTTTAACCTTTTGCGCATGCTTTTCCACCAATAGTTGCAGTTCGGATTCTTCGAGTTGTCTTTCAAACTCTTCTGGACTCAGCGAAGGCTCTGGTTGCGTGTTAGAAGCAGCTTGGGTCGTTTGAACAGCCGACGGCGCTATGGACGGATCGGACTTTACGACACCAGTACCCGTCGAGTCAGAGGTGGCCGTGCCATTGGGTGGTGTTCCTGCGGGCGCGGTAGTTTCGACTCGGGGTTTGGATGCGACAGACGTGGTAGCAAAGCCTCTGGCTGGGTTCGCAGCTGGTTTGGACTTTTTCTTCTTGGCACCGGCCATGTTGGGAGGTTGCTTGCAAGGGCAAGGACAAGAGAATAAAGGTTTGAGGCAAGGGGTACGGGGCACGGGGCACGGGAATGGAGATGGGAGGGTGTAGGAAAGTGGTGTATATGTGAGCGGATGAGCAGGTTCAAAGAGATGTCGAGGTCACTTGTGTCGTCTATGTTAGTGTCGTCGTATGTCAGTCGAGCAACAGCTGCTTCAGCAGTTTTAATGGCAAGAAGGATCCCTCGTTAGACAGCATCGATGACAAGGCTGCCCGAATCAAAAGATATATACGTGTCTTTCTAAGTATTATACGTGGAGGAAGCTTAGCATTACCAAGGTAGAGATGTGGTATCTCGAAGTTGAATCACTGGTTGGGGAGGGTGTCAGATGTGGGCAAATCCAGAATGTATGTACAATACAGGTGGGGAAACCAAAAAAATGAACATGTGATGTCCGTCTTTTCAAAGAGTGAGGCTCTAGTTGCGATAGTGCAGGTCGTTCATGATCTTCATGGTCTTCTTGGCCTTCTACCCCTGTCCACTCATCAATATGATTGATGTCGGAGGTTGAATGTTTCGTCGAGAGATGGGAAAGTGGAAGAAGCGAGGAGGTACACATGTAGGTAATTGAAGCTATCATTCCACTACATCATCGCCTAGGCACTGTAGGTAGTTTACTTGCCTGCCTACCACGAACATCTTGGCGGGGTTCGAAAAACCTTTAGTACACCAGCAGCGATGGAGGGGCAGAAAAGGCGGGGTGCATTTGATCGCACACTGTAGCTGTAGGTACCTTTCCATAGGCACATGTGAATACTACATAGTAGACGTGGTATCTCGAACTATGTATCTATACATGTAATAGGTCGGAAATAAATTAGTTGACAGAGTACCTAACTCGAAAGATGAGTCTAGGAGCTTCAATCCTTCGCTTTCTTCTTTTCGAGAACAGTGATTTGTTGCAGATGCTGAAGTATCGTATCGGCAGAAATAAAGTCGAGGTGGGATCTGGTGGGAGTTGTGACTCGACCGCTTTCCCTATCAAGTAGACCGACATGGCCCTTGACCATATTGGGAAAGGTATCCGAGTGGAATCCCTGTAAAATAAAATACTTCCCACATCGACTTACCAGAGAACTTGCCTAAGAGGGGAGCAATGCGGTGCGAGCTGGCGCAAATACTTTGATACGCCGGCCAGTCATACGTTGATTAGCTGCGAGAGTGAGGGTCCACGGCTTCAATCTTCCAAGTCGTTGTCCAAGGTGTGTGTAAGTATATGTCGGCACAGCGGGTGAACTGCATCCTTCTGTTTATTACCCCGACCACACCGTGACTACATCGTGAGAGAAGTCGTTGGTGTATCATGTCCATACCTCGTCCTCCACATCCTCTCCAACTGCCAAAATGACCGACGTCTCGCCATCCCCTGACGCCGGCCTCGACTATGCCACTGCCCGGGTAGCTTTGTTCTCTTCCTCTACCGCCACGAGAATCGCCCGCTTACACGCAATCGACGACAAGCTGAAGCATAACTGTAAGCTCTTCCTCGCTCGACCGCCATTGCGCCTTCGTCGCTCACTTACTGACCTTCGTCTCTCAATCGTCGCACACAGCACTCGATGCTTCCGCCATACCTGTCCTCTTGCGTCTCCTAGTCGATACACATAGCTTCTACAACGATCGACCTTCAAGAAGGGCTGTCCAGACCTGTCTTGCCTCGTTGATTTCGACCAATCCTGACCCCAAGCTCCTAGCACCCTTCGTCTCCGCCATCCGCCAGGAAGCTCAGAAACCCACTATAGCTTCGAGTAGCGCATTTGTCCTCATCGAATGGTGTGCGCTTCTCTTCAAGGCCTTTGTGAATACTCCTTTATGGGACAAATTCGGGCTCGACGTTATTCATACCAATGCTGCCGCTCTCGACACATGTCTTCAGCCCACCGTAAGGCATAGCGTCGGCCAATCTGCTTTGGTTCTTACACGCCGTGGTTTGCGCTCTGCTTTCTGGCATGGTGGATTTAGAGAAGAAGCTATTCAGGACACAGTCCAGGCTCTCACTACTAAAGGAACACAACCCACTGCCAGAAATTCCCCGATGCTTGGTGTCATTGCTGGCGTTTGCTCTCGTCATACACAGGCCAAAGAGATCTTAGTAGCTCACAAGTCCGCCTATCATGCATTCTTCGTGAGAGAGCTCGTAGGTTCTCGAACCGCCATACCCAAACACCTCGTCATAGGTTTACGCGACTTTTTCTCTGAATTCGTCACCCTAGACGAGCTAGTGAAAGATATCATTCCACCTGTCGAGAAGGGACTTTTACGTGCCCCAGAGGTTGTGTTAGATATATTGGCCAATCTACTCACCCTGTTGCCAACAGAAAACATAGACATTGCCAAGATGCTGGATGCGCATCTCTTGAAGCCCTTGCTGTCCAATGTTAAATCTAGCAACCCCAATATTCGCGACAGTGTCTTGGCAGCTTTCAAGCAAGCAGCAATTCGGAGTAGCGACCCCAATGCCATAAGTCATATTATCGAAGAGATCCTTGGCCCGTTGAAATCAGGAAAATTGACATCGGCTGATCAAAAGATATTACACGCCAATATGCTACATGTGCTATCCCTTTCTTCATCCGATGCGACCAAGATAGTCACAAGCCTTGCCCCTGTCGTTGCGAAGGAAGGAAACGAGGCAGCTCTCGGAGCAGAGTTGCTTGTACTCAGCCATGCCGTTATCCATTTGATTCGCAACGATACCGACGTGCCGAAGCCGGCCATCGAGGCTTTTGTTAAGGGGTTAGGTGATAAAAAGATTTCAGCTCGACGACTATGGGTCCTACGAAGTGGCGAAGTCTTACTCGCCGTAACTGACGAGACCAAGACGCCATCCGAATATACCAACAAATTCGCTGAGGCTATCACGACGCCTCTAGTTGACAGCTGGACTGAGGTCGTCAAAAATCCCGCTGCAGCTGCTCAAAGCGGCTTGATCACCAGTGCTTACGTTCTTGCTGCCCTTGCCCCCCGTGTCCTATCTCGAGTTGAGAGCTCTGCAGTTCAAACCAAGCTAGGAAAGGTGAACATTGCAAAAGAATCAGCCTCTATCGATCCAAAGTCCGCCTTTCTACTGAACCACCGTGTATATAACCGTCTGACGACTGATGACGACTGTATATGGTTTCTCAGGTCCCTTGAAGGAGCGTTTTCTCATATATCCAATGCAGACGAGTCGATACAGGCGGCTTGGTCACAAGCTTTCATTTATCTCGTTTCTACCTCAACCATACCTCCAAATATCCGGAAAGCCTCATGCGAAGCGATTCTTAAATTATACTCCCTCAATCCTGCTCTATTATCAACGGCAATAATCGGCGGATTGTGGCAGTGGGTTGAAGCCTCAGAAAAAAACGACAAGGATAGCGTCGCTGCTAGCGCTAAGTTCGAAACGTCACATCTACACCTTGTCTTGCGCTCAATCACTCCAAATGGTGAAGATCTTGAAAATCTAGGTATTCAACAAAGTCAGGATGTGATTGAGCGACAAATGTGCACTCTGCTTGTTCTAGCACGCAAGGATCTAATACCAAGATGTAGTTGGATAGATCTCTGTCTTAGAGTCGGTGTCGACCCGGGAGCTCTTGCACGTAAGTACGAACAGGAGCTCATAGATCAATTAATCGAAAAAACACAATACGGTCAAAACGTGAGATTACGCAATCCTATTGATACTGTGGTTCCGCTACTGACAACTTGATAGAGCATGGTCAATGTGGCAGCCTGTAATGCGGCGGCTGACTTGGCTTTTGTGGCACCCGAAATCATGATCCCTAGAATTATTGACCTTGTACGAGCGGATCTAGCAACAGAAGAACTAGAGAAGATCGGGCCAGTCGAAGCAGCTATATTTAGAACACCAGAGGGCACAGCGTTCGTAGACGTGCTTGCGAAGAAGTCGCAAACTGTACCAAACAAGAATACCAAGGATTATGATACACTGAAGTGGGAAGAAGATCTCAGGAACCAACTTGCTCAAAAGAAGGGGCTTCAAAAGAAGCTCACGGCTGACGAGCAAGCCAAGGTCAATGCGCAACTAAAGAAGGAAGCCGAAATTCGTCATTCAGTCCAACAAGTCGAAGCACGACTTATGCGCGGCATAGGTATCATACAGAGTTTAGTATCTGGCCCACCGACAGATGCCAGCCGCTGGCTTGGTTCCTCTGTTATTGCTCTCTTGGCAGCCATGGAAGCCGGCGCATGTCTCATCGTAGGCAAGGCCGCTCCCTCGGCGTATCTTTCTTGTGCTGAAAAAGTGACAACTCGATTAGGAGCCATCAGACCGTTTATTGGTGTTGCCACGCTCCGTGCTAAGGATATTACATCTCTGCCGGAAAATATGATGGAAGAAAATATTGAAGAACTCCTAACCAGGGTACTCTACCGTCTGCGCTTTGCTGGCGAACAACGACCGTTCGATGCTGTATCCGTCATTTACATGTTGCCCTTAATATTTGCCGTTCTACAGAAAGGCGGCGTTGGAGAGAATGCTGAAGAAAAAGAGACACAGCTCGTCTTGGCAATTGAGTTCTTATCTTTTCATACTCTTGTCTGCGCTGATGAGAATGTACCACGAGCGGAGCTTCTCGGTGTTCTCATCTCATCTATGCAACGTTACAATCAGCATTATAAGATTCTCAAAGACTGTTTTACTGATACAGTGCGTTGTGTTGCTCCAAATATCAATGCCGAGGAAATAGTGGTATTGTGCAAGGGTGCACTTGTACCGCAGTCAAATGTCAGAGAGACTGTGCTACAGGCCATCAGTGCTGAAGTCGATCTGAGCGAAATAGAATTCTCAGAAGAGCTTTGGATCTCTTGCCATGATGATATTGACGAGAATCGAGAGATCGGCCAAGAAATCTGGGAAGAAAGCGGGTTTGAGATTTCAAAAGAGTTGTCCGTCAAGATGCTTCCCTACCTCGAGAGCAAAGATTCTCAGCTCAGGAGGGCAGCAGCCAGATCTTTGGCTGAGACATGTAAAGCTTTTCCGACGGCCATTGAGGATACACTATTACGTCTACGAGAATCATATGCCGAGTTCGCCAAGCCACGCGTGCCGCAACTAGATGAGTACGGTATGCCTCGGAAAGCTGATCTCTCTGACCCCTGGGAAGCACGTCATGGTATTGCGACGGCTTTCAAAGAGCTCGCTTCCTATCTGGACAAGTCGGAAATTGATGGATTCCTTAACTTCCTCATTGAAAGCGGCCCACTCGGCGACCAGAATGGCATGGTTCGCAGTGAAATGCTTGAAGCTGCTCTCGCGGCAGTCGATCTACATGGCAAAGCCTTAGTAGACAAGTTGATGAAGACATTTGAACGAACTCTTTCGGAGCCCGACAAAGGATCTGAAGCCGCCGACCGAGTCAATGAGGCGGTCATCATTATGTATGGTGCTTTAGCCCGTCACTTGAAGCCTGGCGACTCGAAGATCCCCGGCGTCCTTGAGAGACTGCTTGCTACTTTGAGTACTCCATCAGAAACCGTGCAGTACGCCGTAGCCGATTGCCTTCCTCCTCTAGTACGCACATGTGGCGACAAGTCATCGAAATACTTTGACCAGTTGATGGAAACACTGTTGACTTCCAAGAATTATGCCGCTAAGCGCGGCGCTGCCTATGGCTTAGCTGGGTTGATTCGTGGACGAGGCATTTCTGTCCTGCGTGAATACCGCATCCTTGTTTCTCTCAAAAGCGCCACCGAGAACAAGAAAGAGTCTCAACAGCGCGAGGGCGCGTTCATCGCATTCGAGCTGTTACCCACAATATTGGGCCGTTTATTCGAACCCTACGTTATTCAAATAGTGCCTCAACTGCTAACCGGCTTTGGCGACAGCAATGCTGATGTACGAGAAGCGTGTCTTGCCGCAGCAAAGGCATGCTTTGCCAAATTAAGCTCCTATGGTGTCAAGCAGATCTTGCCTACTCTTCTCAACGGCCTCGATGATGATCAGTGGCGTAGTAAACGTGGAGCATGCGAATTGCTTGGTGCAATGGCGTACTTGGACCCTCAACAACTAGCACAAAGCTTGCCTGATATTATACCACCACTTACCGGCGCTCTCAATGATACTCACAAGGAAGTGCGGGCAGCGGGAAATAAGAGTTTGAAACGATTCGGTGATGTTATTGAAAACCCTGAAGTTAAGAGTCTTGTCGATATCCTCCTCAAGGCACTCAGCGATCCAACTAAATACACGGACGACGCTTTAGACGCACTGATAAAGGTTCAATTCGTCCATTACCTCGACGCGCCGTCATTAGCTCTGGTTACAAGGATTTTGCAGCGAGGTCTGGGAGATCGGTCCAATACCAAACGCAAGGCCTCTCAAGTCATTGGCAGTTTAGCTCATCTCACAGAGCGGAAAGACCTCATTACCCATCTCCCAGTTCTCGTCTCTGGACTCAAGGTGGCGGCTGTCGACCCTGTGCCAACTACACGAGCTACAGCTTCGCGTGCGCTAGGATCACTTGTCGAGAAGCTTGGCGAGGACGCTCTACCAGACCTCATCCCCAGTCTTATGCAAACTCTCAAGTCAGAGTCTGGCGCCGGAGATCGTCTCGGTTCAGCCCAAGCACTCAGCGAAGTTCTTGCTGGTTTGGGTACTACAAGACTCGAAGAGATCTTGCCAACAATTCTTCAGAACGTGGAATCTTCCAAGGCGGTTGTGCGAGAAGGCTTCATGTCTCTCTTCGTCTTTCTGCCAGTTTGCTTTGGTAACAGCTTCGCAAACTATCTCGGCAAGATCATCCCTCCTATTCTTACCGGACTTACTGATGAGATTGAATCAATTCGCGACACTGCACTACGAGCTGGTCGTCTCCTTGTCAAGAATTTCGCCACCCGCGCTGTTGACTTGCTGCTCCCTGAGCTAGAACGAGGCTTGGCGGATGACAGTTACAGAATTCGTCTGAGTTCCGTCGAGTTGGTTGGAGACCTTCTCTTCAACCTTACCGGTATTACCGGCAACGCGGATGCAGAAGATGAAGAAGAGAAGGCCAAGGAAGCAGGCGCATCTCTTCGCGAGGTATTGGGAGATGAGAAACGAAACAGGATCCTATCTGCACTATATATCTGTCGCTGTGATACGGCTGGTGCTGTACGCACAGCTGCTATTAGTGTGTGGAAAGCTCTGGTTGCAACGCCTCGCATTCTGAAGGAACTTACACCTACCCTAACTCAACTCATTATCCGACGTCTTGGTAGCTCTAGTATGGAACACAAGGTGATCGCAAGTAATGCATTGGGCGAATTGATCCGAAGAGCTGGTGATGGCGTATTATCAACACTTCTACCAACTCTTGAAGAAGGCCTGCAAACTTCTACAGATACAGATGCTAAACAGGGTATCTGCCTAGCCCTCAAGGAACTCATCTCATCAGCGTCCGACGAGGCTTTGGAAGATCATGAGAAGACACTCATCTCTGTCGTACGGACTGCTCTCACTGACTTTGACGAGGATGTCAGAGAGGCTGCTGCCGAGGCGTTTGATTCTCTGCAGCAAATCATCGGCAAGCGTGCTGTTGACCAAGTTCTTCCTTATCTCTTGAACCTCTTGCGAACTGAAGATGAGGCTGATAACGCTCTTTCCGCCCTATTGACTCTGCTCACGGAATCGACGAGATCAAACATCATCCTACCAAACCTTATCCCAACCCTAATAACACCTCCTATCTCGGCATTCAATGCAAAGGCGCTGGCATCTCTGTCTCGTGTTGCGGGCACCGCTATGAACCGAAGACTACCTAACATCATTAACTCACTCATGGATAACATCATCGATGCGAAGGATGAAGAGCTCGCTCGCGAATTGGAAGAGTCTATGGACACTGTCATACAATCTATCGACGAGTACGATGGACTGAACACCGTCATGAACGTTCTATTATCACTCATGAAGAATGATGACCATCGTAAACGTGCCATCACAGCGTCACGACTTGCCAATTTCTTCGCTCATTCCGATGTTGACTACTCTCGATATAACCAGGACATCATCCGTGCGTTGCTCATCTCATTCGACGATCGTGACCGTGATGTAGTTAAGGCAGCCTGGACCGCTCTTAGCGAGTTCACAAAGAAGCTGAAGAAGGAAGAGATGGAGGCATTGGTGCCATCTACCAGAACATCTTTACAACAGGTGGGAGTGGCTGGCTCGAACCTCGCCGGTTTCGAACTTCCCAAGGGCATCAATGCTATCTTACCCATCTTCCTTCAGGGTCTCATGAATGGTACTCCAGAGCAACGAACCAGTGCCGCGTTAGCTATTTCAGATATCGTCGACAGGACAAGCGAAAACTCGCTCAGACCATTCGTCACGCAGATTACAGGTCCACTTATCCGTGTGGTTTCAGAACGTTCGACAGAGGTGAAGTCTGCCATTCTTCTCACGCTCAATAACCTACTGGAGAAGATGCCGACTGCTCTTAAACCCTTCTTGCCCCAATTACAACGAACTTTTGCAAGGTCATTAGCAGACACAACTAGTGAGCTACTACGATCCAGAGCTGCCAAGGCACTCGGGACTCTCATCAAATTTACACCTCGAGTGGACCCGTTGATTGCCGAACTGGTCACGGGTTCGAAGACCTCAGATGCTGGTGTCAAGGCTGCTATGTTAAAGGCTTTGTACGAGGTGGTTAGCAAGGCAGGTGCAAATATGGGCGAGAGTTCACGAGCGGCTGTCCTAGGCCTTATAGACATGGAGACGGATACGAAGGATACTACCATGGCAGTAACATATGCCAAATTACTAGGAGCACTCGTGAGGAACGTCCCAAGCGATGTTGCCAATGGACTCATCCGAAACCGCATAGCTCCCACTCACTTCAACAGCTCGTCGGTATTAGCGCTCAATGCTGTCTTCGCAGAGTCTGCACAGACACTACTCGAAAGCCCTGCAGGTGAAGACTTACCTGAACTTCTCTGCCAGGGCATGTCAAACAAGAATGTAAGTATTGTTGCCCCTATGATCATGTGTCCCTCAACTAACGCACTCAATCACAGCTCTTCGTGGCAGATAACACGATCCTAGCTACGGGTAAATACCTACTATCTGACTCGTCCAAGTCATTCGAGACGACGAAGCCCATATTCTCAACCCTAGCAGCCATCATCGGACCAGGGAACCCATCAGATTCGCGGCGGTTGGCCCTAGTCGTAGTCCGCACCGTGTCCCGCGCGAACATGGAGCTCGTCCGGCCCCATCTATCCGTCCTCGCGCCGCCCGTATTCGCATCGGTGCGTGATCCCGTGATACCCGTGAAACTGGCCGCCGAGGCGACATTCGTAGAGCTCTTCAGCGTAGTCGACGAAGAGACATCCGTCTTCGACCGGTATATGAGCAGTGGGGGAGGAAGCGAGTTACCAGCGAACACGAAGCGGAGCATGCAGGATTACTTCAAGCGTGTGGCTGTTCGACTAGGTCAACAAGCGAGGGAGCGGCGAGAGGCGGAAGGTGGAACAGGAGGTCTGGGATTAAGTAATGATGAGGTCGAGGATGAGAAGGAGGTGTGGAGTGTGGGGGCTATTGAGGTTGGGGGAGGAGTGTTTTCGCAGGATTAAAGATATAGGAGAGGGTAAGAGAAAAGAGTATAAGAAGAGACAGAGAGAGAAGATATGTATATGGCCGACTATACTAAGTAACGATGATGAGAGCATGAAGATGAGTGATTACATGCATACATATATGTATACATGCATCCCGGGTAGATAAAAAAATAATGGAACGAAGAAATCTAATTCAGAATAGTCGAGAGGGATATGTGAATGAGTACCCCGGGTTAGACGATTTTGTTGCTGATTTTTAACAGGATGGCACCTATCCATTACACAGCATGCATGCACATGATGTATGTATGCACTCATGTATGTAGGGTAAGTTAGACCATGTACATAATCCCGTCCCGTCCCGTCCTGCTGGCTAAAGTAGGTAGGTAGGTAAATTAAATGTATACTTGGCCCGGGCCGAGATACATATGTATATCAGGACCTAATGTGCGCCATCCATGTATCCGTACCTTCAGCGTCGATTGACTCAACGCTTATCTTCTCTACTCATATTTCACCTAGGAGGACTGAGCTATATCCCTGATATAAACCTCTTTTCCCCGTAAATCTCCTCCCTTTTCCCAAGCCCAGGCAGGCTAACCCTTTTTTCCCTTCCAAGGCGCCTCGCCAGATCATTGCTCCCAAAATGAGTCACCAAACCAATACAATGAAAGCCAGAAATGCAGTATAGATAACCTCCTCATAACTCCAAAAGTAAAGCAAAGACAAAGCCCACGCAAGCTTTGACTGATGATGAACGCCTTCTTTGACATGATATGATATGGTATGGTATCAGTACAGTTCAAAACTGTATAAATGCGATAATGCCGCGTCTGTGGATGGATGGATGGATAAATAAATAATAGGGTTGAAATCATTCGCCTGCCTGCCTCTGCGCCATATCAATTCGCTTATCTGCTTATGAATGAAAATTCGTTCCTTTCCGAGTTGTTATATCATATATATTAGGTTGCTAAGGGTCTGTGAATTACCCCTTATCCGTTGCCCCATCTACTTGGGATCCAGAAGGTGGGGCCGCCGGAGGAGGATTGGGTGAGTGGTTTATGAGGTTGCCGGGGATTGTTTGACGGCTAGTGACCGGCGACTCGTTGAGAGGAGGAGTCGTAGCTGTAGGCGTAGTTGTTTTAGCTAGATCCTTTGGCAAGCTACCGTCGTCCATGGGAGCAGGTGGCGCATTATTAGGTGTATTTGACCTATTCGGGTCACCATTAGTAACCGTCTTGTCAACGTCCTGAAGAATAATAACAGGCCGCCTAGCTAAGACTTCGAAACCCACGGAACCGCTTTCTTTCTCACTACCGGGAAGCTCCTTGTCGTTCATGCTGAGGGCGCGCAATATCTGCTCGTCGATACGATCGAGATCGCGGTCTTGGAATTCGCCTTTGAGATAGGCAGAGATGTCGCGTGCCGGCAGGGAAGCAGCATAAGTGAGGCGGTCAATAACCATCCGCAGACCAGCATTGTTGTCGCGTTGCCAGCGACGATACGAGGCGAGGGTGTGCATGTCGTCAGGTGGGGTGACGGGGTGATTGTGATTAGACTCAAGGATTTCAATGAACCATCGATCGCCTTCGCGTCTTAAACGTCGGACAGCTGCCTTCCAGGGACAGCCGCATTTCTTGGACTCGCGACGACGCTCCCCGCGTGAGTGCGACACGAACTCGTTACCACCCTTGTCGCAAGCAAAGTCCTTTCGGATGATGTCGCCGTCAGGGTCATATTTTCCCGAAGGTAGCTTCTCCTTGACGGTGCGCTTCTGCGATACGCCATAGCCCGAGGTGAAGACATGCCGTTGGAGCTCGTATATGGCCTCTTTGAGGGTCTCGTAGGGTCCCTTGTGAAACGGATGGACGTGATGCGGGCGTGGAGTGCCGGGGACGCGCGGGGAACGCGCACGGACAGGCTCGGCGTCATTGTTGTCGCTACTACGACGACGCTTGCTTGGGCGACCAGCGGTAGGGTGGCTGAGTTGAGAATCAGGTCTATCTGTGGCAGGTATTGGAGCTGGCGCGGTTGCTATCGCAGATAAGTTGGCGGGTATGGAAGCCATCGTCTGAAGCTGTCGGGGTGGAGGAGGACCACTAGCAAGGCCATTCAGAACAGGATGGTGAGATTGCGACTGGAGGTGAGGATGTATGGTGCCATTGGGGGCATAATTGGGAGCAGTAGTAGTAGGTGGGACGGTGGCGATGGTCGGGATGCGACCATGTTGCTGTTGATGTAATTGTTGGTGGTGGTGGTGATGATGATGATGTTGGAGGTGTTGCTGCTGATGCGATGGAGAAGGTATCGGCGGCGAAGGATTCGGTGGAAAGTTGAACTCGCCATAATGCGGTTGATGCTGTGGTCCTTGCAAGGGAGGTTGACGATGTTTGCTACGTTGCAATGGCTTCAAGACGCCAAACTGAGACGAGGCGGCCATGCTGGTCAAGAGACCTGACCTAGCCTAGCCTAGCCTCCAGGATGGGGGCAGAACGACTCGAGGTCAGATGACCGTGCTGTGTTGAGGTTGATGGCATGCGATGGGAGGGAAGTGTTGGGTCAATCGAGGGTCTTCTTATCTATCGTCGTCGTCGTTCGTCCGAGCAAAAGTGGGATATATGATATATGGATGGGATGGATGGAATGTTAGAGGTATGCAGGGGTCTTGATTTAGTTTTGCTGGAGCAGCTTGACGGGGTGGGCCGAGACAGCTGCCGGTCCTTGGCCCACTAATGCCACCCGCCCAGATCTCCCCGTGGGGATCCTGCCTTCTTCACATTCATATGGGTACGGTATCATCGTGAGATTACGTTTCGGCATCTTTATAAGAAGTCCACGGGTTCAAGCAGGCATTAGCTGAGGTCAATCTTGATAGGCGTAACCAATAACCATCATCATCATCATCAAGGCAGGCGTCGAATCAAACGTATAATTGCCGCAAGTCATAAGTATCAATGCTCATGCCTAGTTCAACTCAACTCACCATCTTATCCTCCCTTCCACACATACGTCCCCCAACTCGACGCCGCACTCCAACCCGCCTGATCAACAACCTCATGTCTCCTCCCCCGTTCTCTCAGCGCCTCTTCAACACTAATTCCAGGCGCAAACCCCACAACACCCTCCCTATCAACTCTACACCACCCCTTCCATCCCGCATTAACATCACCTCCAATCCCTCCAACCACCACCGTACCCCACCAAGCTCGTCCCTTGCTCTCATGGTCCCCATACACCATAAACTCATCAACACCACTCAGTACAGCATCAACATGTTCCCGAGCCCGGCTTTCCGGTCTGTAGACGTACACATGCGCTAGATCCTTCGTGGTAGCAGGTAGACTCGTCTTCTTTCCTTCAGCTTTGGGACTTGATCTTAAACCTAGACTTGGATTTACTAAGCGCGTGACATCGAACTTACCCTCCGCATCGACGACAACAACGGCAAAGTTGTGCGGTGCGGCGATGAGTGTCGAGATGAAGTGGTACAGGAACGGCAGATACCGCCCGCAGACCGAGATCAGCGGAGACGGCGCCGCTTGTGTCGCACGATGGTGGCGGTGGATCATGGCCGATAGGTCGGGTATGGGGATATGATGTGGGATTGAGGGATGTGGTAGGTCGTCGGTAGCAAAATTCGCGCGGAGCGAATTGAGTAACTATTAGAAATTAGTATCGTTAGTCCAACTCCCACCTCCTGCCTCCTCCTGTCATTGCGTTATATGGATATATAATTAGCGTAGTGAATAAGTTGCAAGTTGCAAGTTGCAAGTTGTGCATGTGTTGCAAGGTTCATGATGAGATGGGTGAGATGTGACGGGGCAGCGATAAGATAAGAGGAGCTCAGTGAGATGCCTCAACTGAGTGGGAGCTTGATGACTTGGGTGTGAGACGAGACTGTCATCACAGCTTCATCACTCCCCGGTAGGATGTAGCAGAGTCTCATTCACCCTCAATTTTCAAAAAGACAAGAACCGAACCTACCTCTTCTAGACTTCCCTCTTCTACCTCCCCGAGCAAGATATCACCCACGCGCTTCGCACCCGCAGGATCCATCCCCACAAGCCTTCCTTACACACTCAACAACCAGTTCAACCTCCCCTAGAACCCGTCACCGGCGCCCAAGTCCAGTAATCGCAAAAAGTGAATATAAATAGGATGACACCTCCGTGCCGCGTCTTCCCCGCACCCAACCTGCCCACCGAGATCCAAATAAACGAGTTTGGAAAGCGGCGCAAAGGCGGACGAATCGACCTCTCAGCCTGCGAGCTGCTCTCAATGACGCAATACGACTGCCAGATCGACCGGCCCGACTTAAGGGATAGTCCTGTGAGATGCTGGCCTGTGCAGCGGTGGTTTCGTCGGTATGTTATTCGTCACTATCTCTTTACTTTTTCCATTTCCTGTTTCCGTTTTGTGGTGCTGAATGCGATGTGATGCGCCTCCGCGATGAACAATATATGTATGAGCAATGATTGTACTGATGAGTGAATGAATGAATGAAATAGCTGTCAAGACCAAAAGGGGAAATTCATGGTTGAGACTACGATGTGGGAAGGGAGGAGATCGGCTTCGGATCTGGTGGATGGGGATAAGCAGCCTTCTAAGGATACGAATCTTGGGGACAGGGTTGGTGGGGCTTGAATCAGCGATGATCAAGGACACGATTTAGAGTATAAATCGGTTGATAAAGATGCGATTTTAAGGAGGAATATCGCATGCTTTTCACCACAGATGAATATGGCTTACCATTTTATATCATTGGCCAACCTGTACATACATGATTTACACGTATATGAACTTCGCCATGGCCGTCTTTTCTGAGTCAAGATTAATATCACATTTTCGCCACAGTCTATTCTACAACGTTGAAGAATGAGCCCAGACTGCTCGAGCAATTAAGATTATACGGCCATTTCATCAACACAGTTCGAGGCCATGATGTCATTGAGGCTTCGTAGGTAGCAATGCACACGATAACCTACCGAAATAAAGAAAGTACAGCGATATTTGACGCCTCCTGCCATGACCGACGTAAGATATATAGCAAGCAGCGCAACCAACTGAGCGCAGTAGTTCGAGAGTCATCACCAACCGTCACAGGTCCTAGTCAACGCCAGCGATAGTCTCAGCTACCACAACAGAACTTCCTCGCAAGAGCAGTCCTTCCAATCACATGCATGTAACCCAGACACATAGTAAGGGAGGCGAGGTTCGATTTCAAAGACTCGACGGAAAGGATCGTGATCGTATGGTACAATACACCAGTATCTCGGCAATGCTTTCTTTCTTAATCGGAACCCACCCTCACCTTCACCCTCTCTCGGTCCACCCGCAACTGTACACAAGAAATTGGTCGATGTTGCCGCCCTCGTCTATAGTTCTAGTTATCGTCCCCCACCATCATCCCTTCATTGATCTGGTACTGTCGTCATTTTGATATATATTCCCCAATCTAACCGGACTTGGCAGCGCGCTCGGCTTCCAATTGTTTGTAGAAGTTGTCTCGGCCGTGGGTGCGAGGCATGTGGTATCCGTACCTTTCAAGATATAAGTTAGTATCGGATGAATTGATGTCGGATTGTTGTCCGTCGAGCGTTATCGTGGGGCGGTGGTTTCGTACCAGTAAGCGCTACCCATTACCATTCCGATACCTTTCATGACCATGTTAGTTGTGTTCGGAGTCACATCAATCACCCAGTGATCAAAAGTCGAGACGAACCTAGACCGATGGACAAGTCGACGACGAGGCCCCGTTTGAGCATCTGAGAACCGAGGTCAGTAATCATCGGCAGAAAGGAAGGCGAGGTACGGGGTTCCCATCGAGGGGTTGCGATGGGCCAAATTGGGCCGAATTGTGCTTTGGCGAAGGACATACACCAGTGATGGGTTTGATGGCCATTGTGACGATAGCTTCTCGTTTCGGGTTTGTGGTGGTGGTGTAATGTTGGTGGAAGCTCGAGATGGAGGGAGGGAGATGTGGTAGGCCGGCTGATGTGATTTTGGTGGAACGATTCGGGATTGAAAATGGAGCTCTCGTTATTCGCGCGAGACACAGCTTGGGCGATCAAGCTTCCCTTCTTCCCTTCAATTGAGTCACGTGGCGCAGGCGTCTCCTACAGCGAGAGGTCGTACCATATTTAGCCACGCAAGCCACGGGAGACCATACTTAGCAAGCTGCCCAGCTAACTACCTACCCAAGTACCTAGGTGTCAGACTGCACTTGAGGCTTAGTGGGGTTACTTAGGTACCTACTTCACTAATAGGTAGCAGCCGGGCCATCCTCGGCAGCAAGGCTAACGCGCGCTGTAGCCCGCCTGGTCCAATTGCGCCAGGGACCAATCGACACTTTTTCCTAGATCTGCATCTCCATGCGTAGCGGTAGAGCTGCTTGTCTAGCACAAGAGCAGCACAAATCATGAGTTTACACTTGCCGGCTCGGCAGGCTGTATATGCCGGTATGCACTCATTCACATTCTCCTGCTTTGCCCTATCCCGGTACCTCTACTAATCAATCAATTCTTACAGCTCGCACCAGTATGGCCAAGCCATCCCTACTCCTCCCCCGAACTCAAAGTCGAAATGCCTCCTGGTTGTCAAGTCTCTTCGGAGGCAAGAAAGACGTCGATACCCCGCTCTCCCGAGAGCTGACGAGACGAGAGAAGGAGAAAAAAATTAGCGAAAACATAGTGAAACGTACGCAAGGAGAGTCCATTTTCGATGAAGAGATCAAGGACTCCCAAGAAGCGAAGGGAACTAAGCAAGACGCCACGCTCTCACCTCTCGCCTACAGCAACCAGAGAGAACACATGCAGATGGCATTAGACCCGGACCCGAGGTGGAGGGTACGCTTCCAGCGGAAGAAGATCATGCAGATGGTGCGCGCCGACGGACAGCTATCCAAGGAGGAACAAATCAAGCGTACCGAGAAAGAGCTCCAGAGCTCCAGCGGGTACCTTCCCACGAGCACGAAGAAGCTAGTTCATCTATCGCATCAGATCGCAGGGAAGACTGTCGAAGACGCCATCACACAGATGCGGTTCAGCAAGAAGAGGATGGCACGGGAGGTTCTATTTCAGCTCGAAGAGGCACGGGACGAAGCCGTTGCCAAACGAGGCATGGGACTAGGCGCGGTGAACGGTGAGGCCACCACTGCGAAGGCGCGAACGATTAAGACGAAGGACGGGAGGAACTTGGAGGTCCAGGATCCCACGCGGCTCTACGTTGATGAGTCTTGGGTTACGAAGGGCCCACGTCGAGGCATGAGGATACAATACCACGCCAGAGGGCGTATGTCTCAAATGTGGAGGCCAACTACCTGTGAGTAACACCCCGTTCACATTCCAATCATGCATGGCGTTATTTTACATCTACTGACCTTGTTGTGAAGCGATCAACATGGTATTAAAGGAGGAGAAGACGAGGATACGGCAACATGATGAGAGAGTGGCCAAAGAAGCCAAAAAGGCTCCCTGGGTGCATTTACCCAATCGCCCCGTCACAGCACAGAGACAGTACTACTCGTGGTAACGATATTACTACGTAACGGACAAATTCCTACAAGCTACCTATTGTGCCAGGAGATCTGAACTACAGACGATACATACCTAGTCTCGTACATGTACATATATGTAGAATATTATGTATCCTCTCGATTGAATGAATGTCGCTGATGATTGGATCCGATTAGAACTAGTCAGTTTCTTCTAGCCTTGCTTACTGTGCTTTTTTTTTTCAGCCCCCAAGCCATACCCTCACAGCTATGAGGCAAATAGGGATCTAGATCAGGTGGTAATCAAGCTCCGGAGAAGGCTAAAAAAGCAGTGAAATTCTCGCCTCACTTTTGAACGCTAGCCCCCCCCCCCTCTACCTACCTAGGTACTCTCGTCAACGCGCTCCGGACTGCGCCCATATACTTACATAGGCAGTTCTTGTAGTGGATTCTATATTCTTGGGAGACATACTTGGATAATTCATCGGAGGAAGCAACTAGCCGATCAACTTTCAGCCCGATTCACTCCGTTCATGCTTTCTACTCCCTAAGTGAGATTCCCACAATTCTGTCCACTGGAACAAGGAGGCACACAATGGTCATATGAAAGACGCCCTGGCGAGGGCTAAAAAAGCAGTGCAATGGGCATCAATGGACTATCTGCGCATCTGGCCAGGCTCTGAGTCAGGCAGGAATGTAACCTAGGTAGATAACATGACAAGGCTACAGCCATGGTGAAGGGCTAAAAAAGCAGCGCAGTAGACAAATGTGCACTTACTAGGTATCCCGTCCTCCCTATCTTATATTGCACATCTCAGCATGTATTGCAAGACTATTTATCTGCCCGTAATCAATTATGGCGACGAGAACGAAGCAACACCCAGAGTTTCAGAGTAAACATCGTATATAGTGAAGCAATATATCATGATACCACATCATACCTACAACACCCTACAACGCAATCTATTGCGTCTCTGGGTCAACTAAACGTCACTTATGATCGATCTCGATTAGAACTTGTTCACTTCCCGCCTCAGGTACCTAGGTGGTACTCTGTTCAGTTTTAGCCCCCCAGATCATATTCCCGCTGTGATTCGGACAGACTTAGATAACACTTAAGCATCGCTGGCACCCCGGAGAGGGCTAAAAAAGCAGTGAAGTGAAATACGACACGCAGAGCTGCATACCTTCATAGAAAGGCCCCTACAGATGGCTACCTAAGAAAGCAGTGCTGTGCTTTTGGCGCTCACTCCTCACATGAACCGCTGGTGCCTTCATGAGGTCCTATACACAGTACCTTAGGAAGTGAACCATCCAATCTGTTCAGGCACAATGCATACCTAGGTACTTCTTGTCAGCACAACGTCCTTGGGGAGGGGCTAAAAAAGCAGTGCAGTTTTCTTGGCAGCGCAAAATGCATCTGGGTTAGGTGAACCACGATACCCACCAATCGCAGATAAGAACGTCTTCCAAGGAGGGCTAAAAAAGCAGTGCAATCGAGGTTAACCGGATCGGATCGGAGTGATGCAGTTGTTCCCATTAGGTCCTCGTCATTCAAAACGCACAACACCATACACCCAGCGAGGACTAAAAAAGCAGTGCAAATGAGGCGTCAAGGCCCATAACACTATACCTAGGTATACCCAGCGAGGTCTAAAAAAGCAGTGCAGCCGAACACAGCAAAGTTAAGCGAGAGATCACCATCACGCCGACGGTACCTACCACACCACATGTAGGTATCATACTCATCGTCAGACAGACGCATACCTACATGTGATGTAAGAACGTCGCCCAGTGAAGGCTAGGTAAAAAAGCAGTGTGAAATTTTGGAGCTGTGCTCGATGTTCAAATGCATCTACTTGGGTTAGGTGAACAACCACAATACCTACCTAGGTAGGTACATAAGAACTGTCAGGGCATTCAGTATTTAGACTGGATTGGATTGACTGCTGTAAGTATGTAGGTAGGTGCCTATGTAGAAGCGTGGTGTGGCTACTGCATCACAAGAACCCACCACCCTCTCCCCAGCGAGAGTCAAAAAAGCAGTGCAGACGGATTCTCAGCCCATCCGTTCAAATGCATCTGGGTAAGGTGAACCGCAATACCTACAACATAGAAACATCTTCCCGGGGAGAGCTAAAAAAGCAGTGAAGAAAAAGTGAGGCGAGCGTTCAGTGCGGCTTCATAGGTCGTCGTCGCTCCGACCGTGGCACGCATATACCCAGGTAGTAATACCTTACCCCAGCGAGGGCTAAAAAAGCAGTGTTTCCCACGGAGAGGCAGTACAGTGAGTGTGGTGCTAGGTATCCAATAAGCATCCAGATAAACACCAAACCTCACTCGCCCAGCCTGAATTCAATTCGTACTCTAAAGGGTTCATTGCAAACATCCATTCACTTCATCCACTTCCTGTCTACAGTGAGGTATCGGCGAGAAAGGCAAGTACCCCCAGAATCAAGGAATCCAATGAAAAAGATAGTCCAAATCGTAGTTATCCGATACGTGAGGTCATGGGTGGGAGAGAGGGAAGTACTAGGTTCAAGTATCAGCGAGGCAGACACGCACCATCACTTTACTAAATGACCACTTTAGTTAATTTGTAAATAACACTGCGTCTTGTACGTACTTAACAAGTCATTGTTGTAGTTACTGTTCAAGGCGGTGATTCAGCTGGCGTGAACTTAGCACATGCAACTCTAGATACGATATGATAGTGTCCAAGACATAGCATTTCGGATATTATTTTGACAACATCAACAGTTTTATAGAGGCATAGCTACATGTCATTTTGTCCTTTGATCATTGCCCGATCGAAGACATAGGTCATCGCCACCAAACCATATCAATACAATTCATGATGTATTTTGGCAATTGAACTAGACTGGCTGCACATTTCCGAGAACAAAAAGCCATCACATTGGACGAAGCAAGGAACCTTTGCAGATCCACAAAATAACAACTTCTGGTTTCTCCCACCGGGCGCCTTGATCAAGCCGATACAACCGGGATCGGGCACTGAAACAAATTCGATCGACTTAGATCATGGTTCTTGGTTGTGTACGAGGCATCATATCCTCATAGCGTCTCGCATGGGCTTCAAGGTCGGATGAGCCTGAGGAGTAGACGGAGGTCGGTGAGGTGGCCATGCCAATAGAATCTGGACGTGCTCGCATATTAGTCATGATCGGCCTGGGCAGGCCAGCTTCAGCTCTGCTAATTTCTTGTCCGTATTGGCTATTCGCGACAGCCATAGGCTCGGAGATTTTGTAATTGCGAACACGGTTATTGGCCGCATTATTCCGTTGTCGGCGTCGTAGACAGACACATGCTGCAATGATGATGGCTGCTAAGACGGCTGCTCCGACTCCAGCACCAATTCCAGCCTTTACGGCTGTTGAGAGTCCATTGGTTTCTGATTTGCTTGATTCGCTTGAAGCTCCTGACGTGGCAGCTGGTTCCGCCGTGCCAGAGGTAGTCGACGCCGAGGATTTGGAAGCTGACTCTGTAGTAGATGCCGAGCTGGTGGGTGAGACCTTGTCTGATACTACACTGATTACACTGCTAGTCGGGGTGGTCTCGGAGGAGGCTGACGAAGTTGAGCTCACTCCGTTCGAAGTTGGAGTGACACTCTGGGATGTGGACTCTACACTAGGTACAGAAGTGGTAGTTTCAGCAGCAGGAGTTGAGGTAGTGGCTGGTGCTGCTTCAGTAGTTGTAGGTTGAGGTACAGGGGTTTCTGGCGCGGGTGTACTAGTAGAAACAGGAGGTGCAGCACTCGCAGATGCGCCTGAATATTAATAAGTATCAGTCAAACAGAAGTCCATATGTTAACGTCTCAACAGGGGAGTTGACTAACTTGCGCAGAGCTGATTGGCATAAGTCTCGGCAAGGGGAATTTGAAGATCGGGAAAATCAGCAACACATGCTTGAGTAATGCAATCGTGAATGCCCGCATTGTACAAATCGGGTTTGCTACAGACACATAGTGTATCTCCGTTCGCACATCCAACATTGGCAGCATTGACAAAGACACCATTCACACAACCGGTCTATCAATTTTCGTCAGTTAGGTATATTGTTGCGGATATTGACCACTCAGCGCAGGCCTAAATCCTAAGGGAAGTGATTACAACTCACCGAGCAGACAGAAGGTGTCTGGGCGCTGACCAGGCCAAAAATGGCAACAAGCGCAAGCGCAATAGATTGTCTAAACATCATGGTGTTTCCTTGATATGAGAAATCGAGGATTCAAGTCGGAGGAAAACAGAAGGTGTAGATAGGTAGAAGAGAAGCGGGTATCTAGAAAATAAAGTGGTCGAACTGGCCGGCCGTGAAGAAGTGAATCAAGAGAGTAGTAACAGAGACAAGTGAGTGTGTAGCTTGAAGAATGATTGTCAGTGTTGCACCCAGTTGCCCATGTTGGATGGAGAGGGCAGCACAATGAAAGGTTGACACAGATGGGTGATCCTAGTGATCCCGTCACTGAAGTCAGTTGAGGTTGGTGAATGAGGATCTGAGGAGTTGAGTTGGTCGTGATAGGTCAACAAGCAGATCGGAGAGATCGAGTCGTGGCCGGGACCTGTCAGGAACGGGAACGTTTCGGATGTACGTCTAGAAGGCAGCCGAGATAGAATGTTTGCGACGGTTGTCCCACGTTGTTAATGATCCCCAAACAAACCACTTTAATGGGTTCCCAGTCCAGTATTGTATGTGTACGTCCTTCCTTGGGCCGTGCGACGTCACCTGTATCCCGCACAGATTCTTTTGTTCCAGGTACGCTACTCCCGGTTGGTTTCTTCCAGAGACACAACACGCAACTCGCAATTTCTCGTCGTGTTACACCGATAGTCAATCGGCGCTGTCAGTTCACGTATATGACTTTCCCTGTCGCAAAATAGGCTGGCTGTGCGAATACAAATTGATACGCAAGAAAGTTGTTTGTCGACTTGACCGGAAGATCAACGATTGTGCAACCCGTTGGGGCAGTTGAAGACGCTAGTTGGTAATGAACTACTTGAAGGTTGTGGGAAAAGTAGTGATATACTCGTTAGGACTCCTACGGGGTAATTGGTGTAATTGGTGTAATTGACAGGTCGTACGTGTATCAATCAAGGAGCGGGAAAAGGGTGTCACGTAGTACACCGGCAAGTGAAGGGCAATAGGGTCTAAATGAGTGACAAGAAACGGAGAAGAGGGCCGTACAGAGACGACGAGTAAGAAGTCAAGATGGATGAAGCTGACGACGACGACAACAACACCGATGATGTACACGACGCCTGAGGTGAGGTGAGGTAGGTGAGGTGATGGGACCCTGGGGAAGAGAGGATGGGATGAAGTGGGAAGAGGCGAGGAGATGTGTTGAAGCTTGACCTTAGCTAAGAGGGTATCCCCATTCCCGCCCCTACTGAAAGATGGAAGGAATATTGAAGGGCATGGTGTAAGTACCTACCTACGTAGAGGTAGTACAAGGTGGTACCTGCCTCGACTTACACCCCTGATCTGACTGTTGCAAGATGGTACCTGCCGTAGCTTCTGGAGTGTAGACCGTGTAGTGTATGTGCAGCAGTGCAGCTTGTCGTACCTGCAGTACTTTTGAAGGAGTTGTACCTGCATGATGTCGGACCGCTACTTCTGTCTAGGTATACTGAGTACCACACATGTATCCTACTAGGTATACCTACCTACCGTACCTCTTACCTACACCTTCACTAACACCTTCCATCTCTTGCTACCTAGGTCTCCAATTCATGACGATGGGCTACATTACGGAGGCAGGTACGTTTTCTGATAGACACCCTCAATGATGATGATGTATATACAATTCACATACTGTATGTACTCGGCATTAGGCCCAAGTTTTTGTAGACTGCTATAATATGATAACCGTGCTGGCGGTATGCAAGCAAGCAAGCAATCAAGCAACCAAGCTAGCTACTACCTAGTAGGTAGTAGCTAGCATTGGCTGCATGATGGCGGAATGGCGTCTGTCTGTCTTGTATCAGATGAGTGAAAAGAAAAGGCCCCAACCCCATGCTTTCCTACCTACGAAGTATATTTCGTCTTCTGCCCACGCATCACTCAGTGGATGGAGGGTCTGGAGGGTCATCATGGTGAACAGGGTCTGGCAGGGGGGGGTCAAATCAAAGGGGGCGGCGCTATTGGGCTGTCAGTCCGGCTGCCTGGACAGGCTAAAGTTCCTCGTCTAGTCTAGCCTTATTCCAACCATGTGAAACATGAAGCCTGTCGACTTGACGATTTCTGGTTGGCCCTTCTTTTCCAGCTGCCAGGGTTAGGCGCCACAAGCGAGACACTAGCATTAAATATCCCCTGGACCCTCCACCCCATCAACGTCGCTCCGTCATTTGCTCAGTCTCCTCTTGTGCGCAATTGCAAAATCCCGAGAACCCCTCTCGTTGATACCCTATTGGCAGGATGCTAGACATCAAACAATTGAAACCGTTCAATCATCTTGAGCAAACTCGTTCTGTGTTCCCCCCTATCATGTGGATCATCTACTGTACAGGTAGTAGGTACCGGGAGTAGTGTAGGTGTTGTACACGGACTACCTAGAGCCTGCGTCGGCCGACTGGATGCCACGAGGAGCGGAAATTCGAAAAAGGCTGCCCAGCAGACAATTAATCCTTCGGGATGGGATGACAGGGTCTAATAAAGACGGATAGCCGGTCATTCTACTTAGTACCGAATTGGTGTAGTCGTAGTTCGTGTACAAACGAACTATGACATCCTAATACCACCTACTCAGCACACCACGATGTGCCATTCACCCTCCACCTCGGGCTACATATATACGTAGTATAGCACGTATTAATAGACTAGGCACGCCAGTGATCAGCGCAAGGGTAGACCCTGGGAAACCGTTGGAGACCTCAGCTCATCGAACCAAGTCGGAGTCCACCGCTTGGCAGACACTTCATACTTGGCTTATTACTATTTGCGCACAACAATTTGCAATTTTTGAGCTACTAACACAATGAAAAAGGGCACGAGATCTCGTTACTATACAATGCTCATGAGTGCAATTAAAAATGCGGTTATTTTCCGTATTGTTCAATATTGTCAAATCTACTAGTGAGTCGGAGGAGGCCGTTATGACGAGTTACGTTACACCTGGCACTTCGCATACCCCCATCATGCTGCCTCAGTAAAAAGTGGCTCGCTCAGCGAAGACAGAGAGACACAATTGGCCAGATGCTTGGATCGACTGTCACATAGCGATCCCGCGCGCATGCGATTACACCAGTCACATTCCAGAGTTGAGAGTCTCAGCTTCAACAGGACATAAGTAAGTATCTATAGTACTTGCACTAGGTACTACACAGCAAGTCATCATCATACTACTTCGTAGACGTTCGTTGAACCTCTTTGCGCTGCCCTCTGCGCCGCCCTCTGCGCTGCGTGGCGCTGCGTGGCGCTGCGTGCTGGCCTAAGCGCCGCTTTGGCCCCCAATGCACATCAGGAAAAGTTGCGTCATTTGTCTCAGCTCTTAACTACCTACGCAACTCTCAATTTTTAAATCGAGCATACAAGTCCAACAATATCTCTAATCGACATTTTGTCGGTATGCTGGAATCATTCCGCAGATGCAGTTTCTTCGTAAGCACTGTATGTAGATTTATTTACGGCCGAGGTTATCCGCCTACCCACACCAAAAGAAATTATTGCAGTACGGAGTACAGTTACTAACAGACAGCTTACTTAGCCGTAGGTAGGTAGGTAGGTACCTACACTAAGAGAGAGGGCCCGGTTACCGGATCAGGCAGTCATGATGGTTTCAGAATGTGCAAAGTACAGCCACAAGACTCCACGCAATCTTGACCGGATTCCTTCCGCCAGGGGCTCTCTCATGGAGGTACACTACTACCCGGGACTATGGGCCCCGTCTCTATCTCTGTCTCTGTTTCTAACAGGTAAGATGCATATAAAGTACAGGCATATACCTACCTCTCTTTCTCTGAGAATCATTGTTGGTAAACACGTTTCACCTAGGTACAAGGTCTGAGCTGCTTCTGATGTGAGTATACTTATGTGCGCTCTATCCTCGCCTTGCATTTATTGCATATTTACCTAGAGCATTGAATCATAAATCCCGTTTCTCGGCCGCGGGGCAAAGACTACAACAAACTACGATACGATATGCTTGTGCTTCGTTAGATGTTGCTCCTAAGAATACATATCATCAGCTCACCACTAGTCATACAACCAAGCAAGGCTCGATGACCATGGTCATAGTGTAACCTACACTTGAATCCCCCTTTTCACATACATACATACATCCTCACTCTGGTATGAATTCCGATGCTGCTGTATGACAGACGCTGCATCGGTAGGATTTAGTCGTCCTTGGGGCCCGATCTTGGCTTTGGCCCTTCGTATGTACTTAATCTAGTAGCTACGCTGCCATTGAAGCCTCCCAATCCCCATCCCAATCCTGTTCAATCGTGACGGCGACAGTATCCCCCAGGCCGGTCTAAAATAATCATTCGAGAGTGCGACTGACTGACGTGATACTGGTATCGATTATATTGGCCAGTGGCCACATACTTCACATGTGCTCATATTGGTCGGAGTCCTAGAAGAGATATTTTACACCGCGCTACGCCGCCCACCTCCTCTCAAATCAACCCCAGCATGCCATCTGCCATATTATCGCGGCTGAGAATCGGACATCGAGGTTAAACCTTCCTATTCTAATCCATGAAGTCGAGTGTTTGCATTAGCTCTTATTACGTCGTCAGCCTGACTACGCTTTGAGGGAGCCGGCCCGTATTGTGTCTACCGTAGTGATGATTGACAATGCTCAGTACTGCATGCTATAACAACAGGTATCATACCAGGTAGGTTATGTACTCCGTATTGGCTTAGACAGACGAAGACGAAGCTGTGAAAGCCTCGACGCTATATCATTGTACTCCAAACCTACACCCATCTTGCCTCACTTGACCAGGATCAGTGATCACCGGCACCCTTTCACTCCCGGAACATGCACGTTGTGTTGTGAACCTACTTACTCTAAACCCCCAAGCCAAACACTTTAAAATCCAAATAAACAGACTCAATCGAAAGCCGACGTCGGCAGCCGGCCGGGATACGGAAACGGGGAGCTCTTGGCGATTGATCGCCAGACCGTGCAGAAGCGCGACATATCACTCATTGGCACGAATAAAATATCCCGCATCCGTCGTCAATACACTCACGATCTTGATCAAGAAACAAGATAAAGTGAATACTTAATATATTGTTACAGATCCCAACAATGATCCACACATGGTAACAAAATAAACTAACAGACTACTCGTACAGCGACATCATCAAGCTCATATCATCACATCATCTCTTGTCTCGTCTCGTCTCATCTCATCTCAATTCATCATCTCATCACATCAAAGCGTATGTACCTACACTTACTTCATTCACTCTCAGATAGTATGTAGGTACATAGCTTACTTAGTACGTCGTCAGCGCTGGGCTCCCCTTACACGCAGGCAGCGAGAACTTGGTCTCGACAAAGACCTTCTGCATGGCATCCTCCTTCTTTTCAAATTTGTAGTAGACCTTATCCAGATCGTCCACGCGCACACGATGGGAGACCATCTGCAGCGGGTTGAGTTCGCCCGTTCGGATCTGCTGGAGGAGGTCTTCCCAGTACTTGTGTACGGGAGCTTGTCCGTTTCCGATGAGTCGGATGCCTCGTTCCATTAGGGAGCCGATGTTGAAGTGGTTGGTCTAGGGAATGGTGGTCAGCAAGGATTATGTCCCTTTCATTCTGTGCTTATTTTTGTAGAGGGTCGAACTTACGTAACCGACGTAAACACCCGTGATACCGCACCGACCAAAGTTGCGCACACCTTCAATCATCTCATTGATGATTTCGCTCGTGTCCGTCTCTGCGCCGACCATCATCTCAAGCCAATGCATCCAGCCCTTGGCGTATTCTCCAGCAACACACTAACGACCCAGCATCAGTAAACACCATCCAGCATTAACCAATAGGTACTTAGACGACTATATCAAAACTCACCTCAATAGCGACATCCGGCCCACGTCCGCCACAAAGCTCCTTAAGCTTCGAGACAATAGTCTCCTTATTCGTAACACCAAAGCTCAACTTCTTATAATCGACAAGGACAAGCTTATCCGCATGTTCGGTTGGCCATCTCCCCTTCACAAACGACAACCGAGGCTCAGTATCGACGAAGATAATCTTTGTCGCGCCAGCGCCGATGGCGAAAACACCCGCCATCTGACCGATCGGGCCGGCTCCAAAGACAGCCACTTCGTCGCCGGGGTACACGGCGGTATCATGCACGGCGTTGTAGGATGTAGCAAGCACATCAGATAGATACAGTGCTTTCTCGTCGGGCACGTCCTCGGGGATCTCGAGGAGATTGACGTCGCCCAGCGGCACGCGGACGTACTCGGCCTGACCGCCCGCGAAACCACCTGTGAAGTGCGAGTAGCCGAACATGCCCGCTGTCTGACCGCCGTACACTTTTTCACCACAGTCAGTCTTTACACATTCATTCATTCCCAACTCAACGTTTCGCGCGCACACTAACTCTCTTGATCAGAGTAGCAGAGAAATATGAAACGAAACTTACTAGCCCTCTGCGTAGAATTCGCATTCGTCCTCTCGCACTGCGACGACAACTTCTGCTTACAGAAGAAACACTCTCCACACGCGATCTGGAACGACGCGACATATCTCTTGCCCTTCCGGACTTTCTTGACGTCGGACCCGACCTCATCTACAATGCCGCAGAACTCGTGGCCCAGGATATCGCCCTTATTGAGCTGGACAATGGTGCCTATATTTGACTACCATTAGCATCTATCCCACTCTAGCCAAAGGTATAGTGTAGACAATCTGATTGTAATATGAATAGAAGAAACAATCACGCTCACTCACCATGGAGTAAATGCAAATCACTCCCGCACACCGTACTTCCAGTGACTTTTAGAATAACATCCTTCGCCTCGCGGATCGTCGGGCGCGGGACATCGCGGACCTGAACGGTATTCTTGCCCATCCAGCAAAGGGCCTTCATAGTGTCTTGTCGTCCTCCATCCTCATACGAGGAAACATCCTGCGCCGTGATAGCGCTATCGTCATGGCCGCCAAGTGCCTTTTCGGCGACGCTGGCTGCTTGTGACACTGACATTCTGATAAATGCGCGAGTGAGAGAAATCTTTTGTCGTTGCTTAATATGACTTTAGTTAGGGTTTCTTAGCTACGAGGGATTCGCGCATTATATAGTTCTAGTTCTTGGGTAAGTGCAAATGGTACAGGCGGCCCGTATACTCCTAGTCTGTTAAACAATCCCATCATATCGACCTCATATGTTATCTCCCATCCACCTATAAGAAATGACAATCTTGAACGCCCGTAGTATCGACATTACGATTACATAGGTAATATGACGCGCACTTCATCTGCCGTCGTACAATGCCCGGACAGATAAATCCGTGCACGGATTCATCTATCCGGTGGGTGTAGGTGGGATAGGTTAGGTGGACGTTATTAGATGGGGAATTTCGACGTCATGACTTTTGTGGAGATGGGATGGTCTTAGTTGCTTCGTCGCTCACTCACCTCCAGAATAGAAACCTACAACATAATTAGCCCTCATGAATCTCATGTTCTATTAGGCCTAGACGTAAACTGTAATATTACTATATTCGTAAAATCAACTCTTTAACGGAGGTCTCATTTGCCTTGTGGCTGCGACCGCGGCTTGAGTATCGAGGGATATGTCCACTCTACCTTCTCGCTGAAGTTCAATTGCGATATAACCAAGTCATGACTAGTATTAATAGAAGACGGGAAGTATCAAGCCACGATTGAGAGACCTAGGAGGTGCAGTAATAGGTAAAAACATCGCTTTTATTCTTCGTATTCTGTCTACCAGAATTTAACTAAATCACTTGATATGCCTCATTTAGTTTTTCTCAAATTCAACCCCACCCAGTTCAATTCCCCTTTTTGTTCACTTCCAGCAAATCCCGAAACAAGCAAAGCACACTTCGACTTCCCTAAAAATGATGATGACGACAGCAGGAAGGAGGAAACCGCTCAGACTTCCATCCGCCAGAGTAATATGCAGAGCAGATGCTTCTAGCAAGATCCCAGTAGGAGAATAAATGCAGTCTCCTTTCTCTTTCGCCGTCGTCTCCGCGTTCAGTTGCGTTGCTCTCAGATAAGGCACAAGTGTCCTAAACGAGATATCTGGGTATTCAAGCTTCACATAAAAGCTTTTCGAGCCCCTTGTCCTACCCCCATGACAGCAAGTTGATACGTACCAGCTATATGTAAAACATGCTGTCCTTTAGCCTATGATGGATCCTCATTTCGCTATCATCCTGTGTAGTACTTCCCGCCACAGATGGCGCAACAGAGTTTGAGGGCGTTTCATACTCTTTATAATTCAACACTCGTTCTCTCTCGCACAAGAGATGGGCATAATATGCCGGTGCGCAATAACTGATTGCTTTGGTCGCGCGGCCGAAGATGTAGGATAAAGAGTGCATTAGCATTTGTACCTCGTCGGCCTTGTTCTTCCCAGGCGCAGTGGTAGCGGGGAATACCTCGTCAAATATCACGACGTAGTTTGCTGATCTAGCCGTACCCTTGATCGCAGCGTGAGATTGCAGGAAGAAATCATGAGTGCGAGCTTCTGTTATCCCGCGGTCGACCACAGTACCGGCTTTGGGATTTCCAGATCGGTCAGCAGTATCTACGCTTGTAGCAAATAATCGTGTGTGGTGACGTTTACTGACGATAATAACGGTGAATCGGGGAAGTCCCTTTGCTGTGTCCTGCGCTGGATATATTGGCCGACATGCGGCGCGGAGTTGCGTCAACTCCTGATCCAATACGGTCTTCCTTTGACCCTCTGAGACTCCATCGCGACATACCACGATATTCTCGGGATAGCCCCTATTCTTCTGATACCACAGTTTTAAGCGTGATATGAACATGCTTCCAATATCTGATATCATCTCTTGACCTCCTAACTGGGATGATGTTACGCCAGGCCACTGGGTAAGCCGAGGGCTAATATTGGCAACCATTGCTGCACGGCTGCGTGCTATCTTAGATGACCCAGGAGATGGATGTGTCACATCCATTCCGATAACCATAGTCTTTTGAGCTAGTATACCAAGATACTGAGGTGGAACAATCTGGTTCTCACCGCCTAGCTTTAGGTTGATTTTGAGAGAGACGTTGCGAAGGTATTGGTCATCCTTCCGCGCAAGCTTTGAACCAACAGTGCACACAGTGTGTACACCATATTTGACGTCACCAAGCTGCTTGATGCGATGATATTCTGGGATAGGGTTTTGAGGCAGAATTATTAGAACGAGTTGTACTTTGGTCGCAAAATACTCAATAGCTTTGTCAAGCTGAGGATCCTCTGTATTTGCAACCTGTACCCTGAGGTGCGCTTGCGGTTCTGCAACTGTCATGCCTTCATCTACCATAACATTACGAATCGCTTTCGTAAGCTCCTTCAGCTGTTCCTCATTCCCAAACCTGTGGGCTTTGGGATACAGCGTCGGCATATCGATGTAGAGGCATGCCCAACTTCGTAAATTGGCTGGTGTCGAGAACTTGATATTGAGCATGTTCCAGCTTCCATCCCTTACTTGGGCTCGTTTATTGTTTCCGTAGTTAACACCTGGTGGAGGGAGTACACGGCCCGGAACTGTAATGAGGCCGGGATTAACACTGACTCCAAACTGATTCTGAGAACCTATGTCAGTCACCTAAACGTAATTATCTATTATCTGCTTACCAACTGAGTGAAGGCGTCTATATTTAATCCCACATTGTTTAATCCCTTCGACACAATAGAGGTGGCATTATCTGCTGGAGAACGGACTGCAAACTTAATCATCTCACTGGTTTGAGATGAACTTAAGCGAATTTTCGTCGCTGGCTGGCCAGGCGGCACTTCACATACTTGAGCTGGTAGGTAGGAGGGATTCTCCCGTGTACCGACATTGACGACGGGCATCTTAAGGTCTTGAATTTGGATGCCGTAGGCTTCATTGTCATATTAGTATCTTATGAAATAAGGACTTGATGACCATACTTACCCTTCTGAAAGTAATCATAAATAGAAATATAGCCTTCGGAAGATGAGGGTTGCCCCTTTTTACCGGCTGGGGTCTTCTTTCCTTGATCCTTAAACCAGAATTGTACGTCTTTAGCACCGGCTCCGTACCTTTGGACTCTAGGGGGGTGCTCTATGCTCTGTCCACCTCTTCGGGTGCCGTCTTCTGGAGTGGCGAGGTCGTGGATGATCTTTGGTCGTATAGCAACCGTTCCATCCCTCTTTTTCTTCTGTTTCAGATGAGTGGTCTTGATATGAAGTCTCTTCAGGAACGAGGCAAGTTTGAATAGGCTATAACCTCTTCGCTTGTTCATCAATTGTTCAAGCGGACCAGCCTCGTAAAACACTGAATGACACACATTGACGTTGAGTAGTATGCGTCCTGTGGCTGCCCTAACGCTAGTAAAGAAGCCACGCATAGCTATAAGCCCTTGTTCAAGACCCCGTTTCTCAGAATTGACAAGGTCATAGTTCTTCGAAGAGCCAATGGTTTTGATCGTATCGGATGACTTGGCGTAATGGTTGATCAAGATATTCAAAGCCTGAATAGCAGGTAGCTTCGACACATACTGAGTTTGGTCTGCTGACTTGAGATAAGTCGCGAGATCAGCTAAAGGGAGAGTGTGGTTTAATTCAATTTTGACATTGTATTGGCGAGCACCCGCGCGGGGTTCCTCTTCATCTTCAGCTCGGTAAATGATGTCGACAACTTGGTTATCGATCTTGCTTGATGAGATGAGGATGGCTTTAAAATCGGTCACCATATGTTGTCGATGGTTATCTAACGTAGGGGATTGCAATAACAGTCGAATAATTTGCTTGAGCTTGCCACCACACGCTTCAGGTGTGATTACCAAAGCATAGTGGTATAGTACCAACGCTGGGGGGCCTCTTAACCTATAATAATTGGCCCAGAGAGTAACAGGTTGTCCTTTGGTACCGTAGCTTGGACGCCTGGGGAATTCTTGATTGAGACTTAGACCAGCCAGGCTGAGTGCTTTGTTATCCACAAATGTGTTCTCAATATTGGTCACGTCGGGGTCGGGACTAGGCACACCGCCAGCAGGGCTGCATTAGAGGTCGTTAGTATAGAAACAAGACAGTGGTAATGACGATCGAATATTAGACGTACCTGAACACTTTAGGTCCTCCACGGAAGGCGCCTCCTCCTCCTCCTCCTCCGCCGCCGCCGCCGCCACCACCACCTTGATGATATCCGCCGCGACCTCTTCGCGGAGGTCCCTGCCCGCTAGCCATGGTAATCTAGGTAGGTATGGAAGTAGGGAAGTAGGTAGGGAAGTACAACGAGTTGTAAAGCTAGAATATGGGTTGTAATGAAGAACTTGACTTGGATGATAGAGCAAGGTCTAGTAAGCGTTGAAGCACGCAGGACTGAGGAGAAAGACCCAAAGCGATTGACTCATATAATTTCGAGGGAAGCTGAGGCGTGGGACAGCAGTACCAAGTATATTATCACGGACAGCGTGGAAAAACTGAGTGTAACCCAAGGTAACCCCCAATTGGGTATGCATGTGGCGGCAATGTGTAGGTGAGATGACAGCTCATGTAAAGTACTTACCGTACCTATGTATGTATGTATGTATGTATATGTATGTAGGTGCTAGGTAGAGTTGGGGGCGGGAGACGTTGTGGAATAGGTGATAGGTCCAGTTACCAGCTGGTGATTGCGAGTACTTACTTACCAGGGAGGTAGGTAGGTACATATGTTGGTAAGTGCGTATGGGTATAGACGGAGCTTCCAATTGCTTCCAATTGTTTCACGGAGCACGTGTAAAACAGTATGTGGCATACCTGCAGTACTACCTAGGGGGCCAAATGATAAATCAGCAACGATGTGAAAGAAGAAGATGAGAACGAGGCAGGGCTTGCATAAACGCAGTGAGAGAAACGAGACATCACGCATCCGGCCTGGTGCATATAACATGCGTTTGTAAGCTTTTGCTTCCTCTAACCTCATAAGAGGTCTAAACAAACAAAACGCAAGCTATCGACGGGTTTAAGCAGCTTGTACAATGAGGAAAACAGCTATGGACAATTAACTGGTCTTGTTGGACGTAGACGGTGTGCATACACTTATACTGTGCTTCGAAACAGATAACCATCAAAGGGACAACAACGTCGCCAATTTCGAGCGTTTGATCTTTCCATCACATACAAACGCATCTGATGCTGTAGATGGTGGGCAGACTATACAGGATCCCATTCTAGTGCCACTACGAGTCTATGTCTAAGCTGGGTCAAATACTAAATGCTCTCACCTACTATTCTCCGATGAACCTTGTGTTGCGGGATGAATGATATGTGCCGCTATCGTCGACCCATATCCAGATCGAGGTGTGCCACCTTAAAATCTCCAAAGAAATGGTAAGATATCATGAAAATGAGATAATCCACAATTCTCGTCTCCGCGCCTCATCCATCACCTTCTCCTATTTCTGGCATAAGCCTGTAGGCGCATACGGTGAACAGGGTGTGGGAGAATGCTTGATTGACTAGGTACTCTTCTCGCTTCGTTTGCTTAGCAAGTGTAAATCCGCCAGCCGCACATGTACCCATATCACACCTCTCACAAGAAACACACATACCATTCCAAACATACAGCCGATCCAAGATTCAGGGAGCGGTGCTAGCAACCCCCAGAAGAACAAGAGACGTCAATAGAAACGCTTCAGACGCTAGACCACCCACCTCACCTCAACGATCAATATCCATTCATGCTCATCCACGGCACCCAGTATACACCAGAGATCCAACAAGGAGTCTCATGGCTCAACACCGAGGGTACGATCTACCCAGGTCTGAGCTCTAATTTCTAGGTCTAGAATATTTACACGTAGTAGTGATCGTCACAAGTAACAGTGAGCAGACCAAACTCAATCATTAACCTCCGATACGACCACAGCTGGATATAGATCATGTTCTTTCTGGTCAGTCTCAACTCATTGATCAAGACCTCTTAGCGGACAGACATCCATGCTCCATTAAATGAAGCAAGGTGCTCATGTATCTAGTCGATGGGTATAGATAGATATCATTCCATTAACTTTTGAAGTTGCTGTGACCTTCATTCCTCATCAAGGGAGGATCACAACGCCATATACCACACGAATCCCCAACCTAATCATAAATGAGGCGTCACAATTTTCACGCCACAATCATATATACATATCACCAATGTAGAAAAAACCCCGAGATGAAATTGGATTACTGATCTTCTCAATTCGTTAGTTATTTTTTTGGGTGTACCTTTGTGGCGACAACCAAGCAGCAGTAGTAATAGCAACAAAACAGCGTGCTACTTTCTAATGTTTTACTGCCAAGTCATGATTGCCATTTCCCGAAAAAGACCAAATGACAGCCCGTTCCATACGCCCAGTCAATGACCCACCCCCAGGGGATGAAAGATTTATGCTCTTGACATTACACCCCATGCACGGATGATGTTGTCAGTGTAACCAGCAAACAAAGTCTGACCATCTGCACTCCAGGCCAAGCTTACACACTCAGGCTCCCGGCTCTTCTTACCAACTGAGGTGAATTCGGGCTTCAACTCATCAACCTTGCTCTTCTTCTCAAGATCGAAGATGATGATGCTGCTGGCAGTGGCAGCGCAGAGCCAGTAGCGGTTGGGGGAGAAGACGAGAGCGTGGATCTCGTCACCTGCGCTTAGCGAGTAGAGGTGCTTGGACTCGTTGAGATCCCAGAGCATGGTGGTACCGTCCTTGCCACCAGAGGCGCAGAGAGATCCATCAGGGGAGATGGTGACGGTGTTGATGTAGCCGGTGTGGCCGATGTGGTCGGTCTGGAGCTTGCAGGTAGAGAGTTCCCAAACCTAATGATGTACGGGTTAGTACAGTTGTTTCCGGCAGGAAAAACAATTCCTGGATTACAAAAACAGAGAGATGGTTGCTTCATCAGTGCGTGGTGATTGATAGTCTCATGGCCGATAGGCTCTGAAGTAGCAAATACTTTAAAAAGTTGCAAAGCATCATATGAAGCAGTAACAAAGGAAACGAAACAGTAGATCTGGAAGGGAAAGAACCATCTCTCGAAGTGGATAGGACCCGTGGATGCGTACCTTGACAAGCTTGTCCCAAGAGCTGGAAACGATGACAGGGTTGCCAGGGTTGGGGCTGAATCGCACGCAAGAAACCCACTCAGAGTGACCCTTGTCGGTGATGGTGTATTTGCAGTCGCCGAGTGTGTTCCAGAGCTTGATTGTGCGGTCACGCGAACCGGAAACGATCTGTCGGTTGTCGGCGGAGAAGGAAACGGATAGGACATCGTTGGTGTGGCCAACGAATCGGCGGGTGGTGTTGCCGCTGGCGAGCTCCCAGAGGCGGAGAGTCTTGTCCCATGAAGCAGACAAGGCGTAGGCACCGTCAGAGGAGATGACCTAAAAGAAATAACGGGTCAGTAGGCATGTTCGTCTCTTATCATCGCCGTTTCTGATTTCGTTGGTTCCTCCTTTTTGTTGTCTTTCCCATTTCTCCTTTGCCTGCTATCGCACACAACCTCTCATATCCATCCTTCCTCTACATAATTTCTGCCTCCTGTCTATACGGAACTCTGGGGAAGGCGGAAAGCCTGGGCTATAGACTAAGCGGGGCAAGATAGACGTACACAGTCGGAAACGATGTGGGAGTGGCCGTGTAGCGATCGCTTGGGGTATCCGTATTGCGACTCGTCACGGGTCAGGTTCCAGACGATCAGGGTCTTGTCACGACTGGCAGACAGGAGCATGTTGGGGCTGCAAGCAGAAGACGGCATATGTTAGCACCATGATCGTCATCGGTTCACTCGCTCGTGGCCATTGTCGTAGTATGGGTTGTGTTCGTACGTACTTCTCCATGGAGGTAGCCAAGCTGGTGACCCAGCCATTCTGTGAGTGGATGTTAGTATTCTATTTTCCCTCTACATTCTCCGTCAGACTGTCGCAATGCGCTCGCGCTCTCGCGCAGCGGCCGTTGCTGCCCGCGACTGGCCAGGCATGGGTTGATTTGAATGATGCACAAAATTGTGGTGTCGACTTACGTGGCCCTCTAGGGTTCCCTTGAGAATCAGTTGCTCAGCCATATTTGTTCAAAGGGATACTCTGGTCGGTCGGCACACCTCTGAATAAAAATGGTGGAAGAATGCACGGGGTGGTTGGCGGCAAGCTTGGGAAATGGTCTTCGCAAGGTCACGTTGATTCTCGAAATTTACTTCGGGGGGTAAAAATGTGTGGGCTCAGCGTTAGGGTCGGAATCGCTAAGATAAGCACTTAAAAGGTGGAAGGCTCAAGGCAGGTACCTGTACTAGACCAGTACCATAGCTCACTGCATAGTAGCCTTGCGTTCAGCAGCCCGCCAAAGTACCTGTACCCCGGTAGCTGGTGCAGGAAATAGGTGGGGGACGCTGAGCCGCATTGGCCAATGACCAGAAGCGATTTGACTTAGCTATGGCTTGCAGATGCCTCACAGCTGGCAGCTTCAACCATCACCCGCCCAAGCCAAGTACTTAGTCAACAAGTAGGTAGATGTCGAATAAAATCACATGCTATTCAGAGCTTCGTCAGTATGGATAGGGTGGAATCATGGAGTATGCCTATATATGAAAATACCTACGATAGCATTGACCCCAGATACGGGTAATACATACCGGCAACGCATGCCTTAGTTGAGTGCATAAGACGAGAACCATGGCCACTGGAAACAACATTGGAGAAATTCGAGTCGTTGCTAATTCTACAGTTCAAACTGCTTTGAGAATAAATATTCAAACAGGGGTATCTTGAGAAATCCGTAAAACCCCATCAGACCTGTGCTACCAACCTCCGTCCTTTTCTTATGCGACTGAACGCGCTATAAAACCTTGTAAACGCCTTGCAGAATAGTGTCCTCTGAACCATCGCCATGCTGTAGTATGAAGGGATAAAAATGGAAAAGTAAAGAAAAAGAAAACCCCATCTCAGACCAGAGCCGAATCCTCCCATGCTCTCTCTCTGTGATGGTTCTTCGAAGTGTCATGTAACGCCTTGAAAAGAACCCAATCTCATGAGTCTCCGCATATGAAGACGTACGATCTTGGTCAAACCCGTCTAGCCGAGTATAGAGACATGTCTCAGCGTCATATGCGATGCCGGACTATCCGCGATCAGTGATAGAGTAGCGTAGAATCAATGGCTACACACCAGAGCAGACTATCTCGATGCTGAAGAAAATGACACCTAGTTATCGATCGGACATTCGCGATAGGTCAATCTCGTTTCCCACCATCTTGCGAAACCAACGCATAGATTGTATGGCTGGTCATACATGTCTCAGATCTCAGACCTGCCCATTAATGCCTTCCAAGACAGAGCGTCTGTTTGCCTTTGGGAGTTCCTTACGACCATACTTGGCGTTAGCATTGACAATCGTGCTATGATCGGCAATATCTGTAGCCCCGTCGGCAGCGCGTTTCCTCGGCAATACGCTTTGAATGAGACCTTCCCATGCTTCATGTCGCTGTTTGGCTAAGACATCGCGTTGTGCCCTTTCCTTGAGCTCCTTCTGCCGTGTGATCTTAGCTGCCCGGTTGATACGTCTCAGTGCCTGCTCAGCCTTCCTAGCATCTGCTAGTGCCTCGGCTCTCTTCTTGGGCGTATCCTTAGCAGGCAACTCGGCAGGTGTGTATCGATAAGTGTGCTTGCTGGGGAAGCTGGGGAAATGCTTCGGAATCCAAGGCCTCTCTTCCTTTTCGTATTTGCCATCCAACTCGTCGCCCAGGACAGGTGGTGTACTTTGCAGATACGTTGTGTTCTCGACGATAGGGTCATAGAAGGTTGGTTCTAGTAACCGTTTGGGGACGGGGTTCTTGAGGTGTGGCTTAAGAGAAGATAAGGGGAGATTATGGTAACGTAGAGCAGCCTCGTAGTCGGTGGGAATGGGGTCTGATCTTCGAGCACCGTGGGCAACTCGCTTGAGCTGATGAATGAAGCCGTCCATGTCTATAAGCAGTTAGTCACCACATGCATGATACGGCGTTTCATCTACGGAAACCACGAACAAGTCTCAACCATCTCTGTGAAGCTTTCTAGTGCCTCCTCCCTGGCCGAATCGAAGCCTACATGCTTCAGAGCTAGAGTGATAGATCTACGCAGACCATCTCTGCCCATAGTTTCGACAGTCGGAAAGCGTACGGTCTCGTAGCCGGCTGGCTTGGGAGTAGTTTGGATAGAAACAGAAGGCGTCGCATCACGGTTAGGTGTGGTAGTGCGTTGTCGCTTAACACTAGGCTGACTGTCGGCATCCTCAAGCTCTACGCTTGCGCGCTTTCGCGAAGTACTGTCCACAGTCATACTGCTCTGATTATCGCTCTCGTTATCGCTCATAATGTACCAAGAAGCGCTGGCGAGTGTGATGGTTGGGTTTTGAGAATGGGATATTTCGATTATATGGATAACGAGGCGATCACGCGGGTTAAGGCCGAGGGGCGTTCAGATGTCGTAGAAGATTGACGATCGGTGGTAAGATCTAGAATCAATTCAACCAGTCTAGGTCGCAGATCCGAAATTAAGACCCTCAATAACGACTGACTGTTAGATATCGCGAGGCGATGGAGGTGACGCGTAGGGCCGTAGAGATAATTTGAAGAAGGGCCGGGCAAGCAGAAATGAGGAGGGATAATCTGCCTAGTGACATAGAAAGTAGGTGATGGCCCACGTTAACCCACACCGTACCTTCCTGCCGTGACCAAGATGAAGCTTTCGTCGAGCCCTACTCAAACGTAAGTCGATGAGAGGTATGAAGATGCCAAGGTTCTCTCCACTACTCGCTGCTGATGACTCTGCTTACGTAACTTTGAGTATTGACAAGAAGAGAATGGATGACCGTAGCTAGTACGCTTTATTGAATATCTCGAACCAGCGAGTGCTACAGCCAGCTAGAAATGAAGGTATAGGTAGGTGGGAAGTTCAGTAGCCAGGCCCCAAACAGTACGCTATCCCTTTATGCCCTTGTAGGTAGCCGTTTGCACCCCCAAACACAAGCCATATAACGGGGCTGGTGTACTATTTAGGTACCTAACCGTGCCACGCCCCACCCTTTTTCCGGCTTTGCAACAGCACACCTACTAAAGTAGGTGCTAAACACCAATTTAACCACATTACCAAAATAACCACTTTTTTAACCCTTTTAACCTTTAATATTAAAAAAATACCCGTACGATCGATTTTCAAGCTTTAAAATGGAGCCCAACGTTTAAAAGGCATTTGATTACCTAAAGGACTTTCCGTCTACAAAAATAACAATAGTTGTACAGTTTTTTAGCTTAATATATATAATCCTTTAAAATTGCCTTATAGGTTATAGCGGACCTAATTAACCATTACCTTTTAACTTAAAGTTAAAACCTATTAAAAAAGAAGTTATTTATAATTATATTAATTGCTTTAATTAAATAAACCTAATTATATAAGTTAAATTTATTAATAACGCTATTAATTATATTTTAAAAGTAAAGTTTTACCTATTAAACTTTACCCCACCTATTATTAATAAGGCTTAAGTATTATAATTTATTTAATAATATAAATACTTTTAAAGGTTATAAAAAAAACTTAATAAAAATTATAATAAAGCTAAAAATATTAAAGTTATAAATAAATACTTTTAAAAGTTAAAAAAATTATTAATAAATAAAGGTATTATAATAAAGAATATATAAAATATAAATAAAACTAATTTTTAAATTAATATAATTAATAATATATTTATTATTATTAAATGGGCTTAAGCTTATTACTTTACTTTATTTAAAAATAAAAAGTTAATTACTTTTATTAAAGCTATCTTTATTATTAGAAAATTTATACCTAGCTTTTTTATATTAATAGGTTAAATCTATATAGCTTAATAATATAAAACCCTTAAAATATTAAATTTAATAATTATTATAATTAGCTTAATAAGCTATTTAAATAATTAATTAAGCCTTAAATAGCTTTATTACTTTAAAAAATATATTATACTATTATAAATAGGTTAAAAATAACTACTTATATTAAATAGCTATAAATCTTATTATATAAAGGAATTTATTACTTTTTATAATAATTATAATATTATCCCCTTTAAATTATTACCTTATTTAACCTATATACTTTAATTATTAAATATAGTTATTTTTTAACCCTTAAAGCATTATTATATAATAACTTTAAATATTGTTATTTAAAATAAAATAATTAATATTATAAAGTTAAAATTCTTTAATTATATTTAATAAGTTAAAATTTAAACCTTTAAACCTTTAATAATAATTAATACCTTTAAAAAGATTAGAATTTACCCTTTTAACCCTTATAAAATACTTTAAGTATTAAAAAAACATATCCCTTATAAGGTTACCCTTATATAATTTATAACCCTTAAATTATTATTTAACCCTTTTATACTTACCCTTATAACTTTATAATATATTAATAAAGCTATATATTATATTATTAAAGCCTTAAAAGGAATAAAAAGCTTAAATTTTAGCTTTATTAACGTTATTACCGGTTTTATTAAGGGGTTTATTTTAAACGCTACAGAAATAGTTTAACTTTAAGCTAACCTTTTAAAAACCCAATTAGCTTAATAAATTTTTAAAGCTTATAGATTTATAAAAAATATACTATTAAAGTTAAAGGGGGTCCTAACTATAGAAAAAGGTTGCTATTTAATTAATTAACACAATAAAAATAAACTTAAAAAAGCTCGAAGGCTTATTTAAGCTATAAAAAAACGGTTCAAAAAAGCCTTTCAACATACCTTTAAAAAAGCAATAAAAATAATACGTACTTAAAAGCTATTTAAAAGGCTATTACCTATATTAATTATTTTTAATAATAAAAAACGCTATTTATTATATAGATTCTAGCTATAAAGGTTAAAAAAGTAGTTATTTTGGTAATGTGGTTAAATTAGTATTTAGCACCTACTTTAGTAGGTGTGCTATTACAAAGCCGGAAAAAGGGTGGGGCGTGGCACGGTTACCTAAGGTAGGTAGCGTAATGCGGCTCACCACTGTGGCTGCACGCTTGGGATACCTTAGGTACCTATCTTGTCCTACACTCACTGCTTTTGAGGTTGCTCATTGTAAAAAGGGCGAGCTGACGATTATCATCATCAAGTTTCGGTGTCGCAGTTGCCATGTATTTATTTTTATGAGTCCCGCATCATATTAGCAGCCAATGTTTGAAAGAAGCCGAGACAAGCAAGCCCGGAAATGGTGTAAATGTTAGGTTGGCAGTGAGGCTTAGGATAAGCTTCGAACTGTGATCAAATACCTACTAAGCTCCGTTACCAGGGCTTTGCAATTCGTGCATGTTTATGAACGCCCAGGATGGTAATAGTACAATAAGGTTTTGTATACAGGAATATTTATTGGTGAACGGAGACAGGTTGAATTGTGTGAATACATTCAGGCCATTCGCCGCCCACTCCATTGAGCCCCGACCACCTAGCGACGACGTAGCTATTTAGATCCAACTCCGGTTCGCTTTGCTAATGTATGTAACCGCTACGGAACCTATATGGCCGTTTCCTATGTGAAGTATGAAGTTGTAAAGTCGACATCCCTTTCACAAATGCGTGGTACCCGTTGATTCCTTCATTCGTCAACCGCCTCCCGTCCAAATGCGTAATCTTCTCGTCGAAATGGTTGTTGTGTTAGCAAAGGCTCAATGAATTTGTACTTTGTTATCGAGAGCTCGTAATGTAGCATACATGGCTTCTACGAGGAGCAATTTTCAATACACAACGGCACACAATATGAGACGGAAGCCTAGATCTGACTAGGTACATACTACGGTTCATCGCACAATGATTCTGAAGAAGATGAAAAGTTAACCAAAGCCGACCTTCAGCCCACAGCATCTATTTTCCCAATCTCTAATCTAGGCATCAATGACCCGACTTGCCAATGATAACGAAATCGATCATCAGACAGACCTACGTTCTTGACAGCGTCCCATTAGGTATCTTCCGATACTCGCCTACACTTACAGCCGTCATACAATGAACCACGTATGTAGGTACGTACGCACCTATCTAGCTCCCCAATTCGTTCAAGCAACCCACCTCCTTTCCCAAGCCATTGCTTTCACATCTCTAGACCTAGAACACTCACCACGGACAACGTAGTCCAAACATCCAAAGCTAATCTCTCCCAACACACAGCCTCTAGAAATCACGACACGATAACCGAGAGGCAAAATGAAGCGAAACAAGATGGACTTAACTCTCCGAGTCACACCCTAACTCTGGAGAAAGATAACTTTACGAAGCGTAACATGCGCTAGGGAGTAATGTACTTTTCCGGCATCTCCAAGGAAACTCCCATCCTCGCCCTCCCTGAAGATCTACCTACATCGGCATCTGTATCTGTCTGTCCTGCAGGAAGCAGATGACAAGGATCAGATCTATTGATCTAGAATAAATTAGAGAAAAAGAGAGCGGGGAGCTTGTGACTGAGTCCACGTATGTGCGTGTCACGTCTTCGCCGATTCGTATACAGTAGTGATACCTACTTACATGCATACCCTAATGGTATGGTGGCGGTAGACGCATAGGACATACATAGAGACACGGAGATACAGGCACTTCTACTCACACCCACAGCAGTATGTTATGTATGCGTGTAGTATGCGCATCATGTTGATCGATCGATGACGGGATGAAAAAGCGCCCCTACGCCTGCGAAGATCGACACAACCTACATGTGAAAAAGGCTTTTTCACAGGAAGTAGAATATTCTGCGTGACATCCATATCCGGGTTGACTCGGGATGATCGATCGGAGTGGTTGTCGCCTATCTGTGATTCATGATCTACGGACGTCAGTCACTAGGGCCTCGGCTTAGCAGACGAGAAAGCGGAAAGGGATGGGCATGGGATGGCGCTTGCCGCGCTGCACGGCGTTCGGATGTATGTATCCCTTGATCTACCTTGGACTATGGAGCCTTGAAAACGCTTTACATACATACATGATCCGCCCTAGCCTATTGAACGTTTCGTTCTCTATGGTGGTCTCGAACGCCACGGTCGTAGCCGATGTCACTCAAACTTGGCACACGATGATTGGGCATGGGCGTGTCTGAAGGGCCTATCTGTATGTCTTTCCCTTGTGATGT